GAAACGCCAACCTGAATTGAATTGAAATGAAACTCCAACCAGAATTGAAATGAAACGCAACGATATAAACTGAGCGAATCGAGTCACCCAGACGGCTCCATACGTAACGGCACATTAAATGTCCAATAGAGCCTTTTCAGGACAACAAATCATTACACGGCACAATAACAAATTAAGAATGATTTAGGAATTCCTTTAACGTTTAGTTCACAAATTTTTTTTTAAAGATTAAATAAAATACCTGATATTTTAGTACAATAGCCAGTTTAGACTGGCTGTGGTTTCTACAAAAAAATAAAAGGGGGAAAGTTGAAGGTAGATGTTTTGATTTCACAAGAAATACATGATCCAGTTGAATTAGTTCGGGCAGGCAGCACCTACCTTCTATTCTTTTTATCGGTATCGATAGTTAGTAACCCTCTATTTAAATTTTAATTAACTTTTAATGCCAGTACTGTTGCAATCGAGAAAAACTCAAAAAGAAAACTGCTATTAACTGCATTAATGGAACCACTTTTTGAAATCGGAAACGAGCAACGGGCCACTAAGCGTTGAACAAACATATGTACATACATATGTACTTATTAATTTTCTGTGAAATGTTTAAAATATTTATTGATATCAAGTGATCGTTTCTTTAGTCATTTCGAACTAATTTGTACATCGTTTAATCAAAAAACTGTCAATATGAAATAAAAAAATAATTATAAATAATTGTCATTTCCACGTAGAATATTCACCTGCAGTTGGTTGTTTTTGTAAATTCGATTAAATTGTTTATAAGGGTTGGCATTCCAATTCGCATTGGTGCCGGGTACGAGCCATATGCCTAATGTTTATTGAAATTTGATTTTGTACGCAAGAATCGGCTCGAAACTTAAATATATACATATGTATGTATGTATGTTTATCTTACATAAACAAATATGCTCGTTCTGCCTGCGTAGGGTAATGGATAAACTAAAATTCAACATGAGAAAATTGCAAAGGAAGAAAACTACAGCAACAACAATCAGCGAATAAACTAAACACACACACACACACATACGTACCTGCACACTCACACAGATACATATGCGCACATTCATGCATAGAAAATTCTTTTATAGCTTTTGCATTTCTGCAGTTCTGGAGGCTTGGAAGAGCGCGACACACACACACACATGCACACATAGATTTGCGAATATAGTAAATGCAATTACCGCTCCCATATACATACATATATGTATGTACGCGTGTGTGAGTATTTTCTTTAGTTTTTATTACAAGTCTTTTTGTTATTTTATGCGTTCAAAAAGTAAGAAAAAAAGAAGAAAAACAAAACGAACGACATTTTCTGTATACGCGTCGTCGTCGTCGTCGTCGTCGTAGTTGTCGTCGCTGTCGACGTCAGCGTCACTGTCATCGTTTGTTTGCACATCGTGTGCGCGCCACCAGTGCGACCCCCCCACAGGTTGCTGCTGTTGCCATCGCCGTCGCTGCCAACGTCGCTGTCGCTGCAGTTACTTTTCTAGCTGTTTTTATTCGTTTTCTTACTGCACATATTTTTTTCTTCATATGCATTTTTACTATGTGTGTGTATGTGTATGTCTTACTATTCGTGCATGTGTATCTACATACATATGTACATACATATGTGCATGTGAACGCCGTGGTTGTCGTTTATACTAGTATGTTTGTATATACATACATACATACATACAGCCATATCTACATACATATGTATGTGAGTTGTGTGTGCGTTTGCCGCGGATCAAATTTGTTGAATTGTTTATTTAGTACGACGATGGCGTTGTTGTTGTTGTTGTTGCTGCTTTTGCTATTGCCGTTGCCGTTGCGTTTTTTCGTTATTGTTATTATCGTTAGTTGCATTCGTTCGCCTGCATTCACTCGTTCGTGCGCTCGCTCGCTCTCCCACTCGCCAAGAAGACGGTGACGAGAGTCTTGTTGCCATCTCTTTCGTTTTTGGTATTTGTAAATTACATAAATTGTCTTGGACTATAAATTACGGGAAGATTATTATGGATTGCTTGTTGGCTGCGTGCTGTTGTTGTTTGCAAGCCCGACGTCGATGAAACGAATGCGAATTAAAAATGTACACACACACATTGACATATACATACATATGTATGTATTTACAAATAAACTCGTGCATACAAAAATAGTTTTATGCTTTTTATAGAGATCTGCAGTTAATGATAGTTACATATGCATATCTATATGTATGTATGTGTGTATGTATACGTGTATATACGACTGCTGGTATGTTTGTCGTTTATATCTGTGAGCTGTGCGCTGCATAAGGAGGAGGTAAGCGTATGTACATATGTACATATGTAGGTATATATACATATGTATTAGTAGATATGCTAATGTTACATGCATATGTATGTACGTATGCATGTGTTTGTGCCATTCTAGCTTGACATAGCGATCCGAGGATCTGAGCTCAGTGGAAAAGCAGCGACATATTCTCGAATCATAAAAGCCGATGCTCTGCGCCCCAGAAATGTCTTTGATTAGCCGAACCATGCATTTAGAATGTCTGCTTGCTTATTTGTTTATTTGTTTGCACATACATACATACATACAAATGTATACATTTGTTTAAAGAGGTGAATATGTGTATATGAGATATGCTTAGATATCTTAAATATAGGCACGATAATAATCTTGTTTGCTACCATTCTTCAGATTAAGTGCAAGAATTTGTCACACATATCTATTTAGTCAAGTTCTTTATTTTTTATCTAAGGAAGTTAATATAACTGTCAAACAACTGTATTATTATCTTTAAGGTTCTCTTGGGGGAATTCTCTATCTACGACTTTTTTACTTATGGTAAAGTTTTTTATGTTTGTTCTAAAATATTTAATGTTTTTGGTAGCCTAAACACAATATATGTTTAAAATAATATTTCTATACAACATGTAACCGGAAATATTTTTGTTTATATAGTCACGGACCTCCTTAGCGTTACATAAAACCCGCAGCACTTGAACATTGTTACCCCCCCTTCCATGTCCATGATTAAACAATGATTCCGTAACATCAAAAAGATAAAATAAACTCGTAGCCCCTAGTCCCTAGACTAGCAGAGTCTACATACCGAGCTCAGCTGTTTTCGAAATCCAGGCGTTTAGCCAGGCAGGCATACGGATTAAGAATATACATGTTTTCTTTATGGGATCGGAGATGTTTCGTTCTAGCTGATACATACTTTTCACAAACCTAATTCGTCAATACTGTCCGCAAACTTTGCATACGTAATAAATTTATTCTCTACAATTGTTAATAATTTCATCCATATCGTTCGTTCTTCTTACTTCTGCTTCTGCTATGGGCGAATATAATTTAGAGCCGGAAGTTTGGCTCAGTACTGGGTATTTCACTGCCAGGCTTGCACGACTGTAACTTTACCTCTTGTTTTAAAATCTCTTTAACTAATTATATTGTTATCAACAATTTGTAATCCATCCCGATACAAGTGTATTTAATGCTTATTATATGATTTTTATCATATTTATTGATCATCTCATAAAATGCGATTAATTTTTGAGATCAACTTCAAATAAATATAATAAATAAACAACAGTTTAACAATTTAAACACACAAATAATGATTTTGTAATACACCAGATTAGAAGAAGGGGTCATTAAAATTTGGGTTTGTTCAGTTTAGGTAGTTGTTAAGATTAATAGAAGCCTACATTCCGTTGCTAGAATAAATCAAATACTGAATAATTCTTGCATGTTGTAAAGCTTATTACATATTCGATATACCCGTTCACGCTTTTGTGAGTGGGGCATTGGGGGGAGGCATGAAAAAGTTAACAACGTGTTAGCGGGTTCTGCTTCAATATCGGCATGTAATTCGAAGCCATGCGCCTGCCAGCCAAGAAACGACGTTTCAACTTGTACAAACATTTGTACATACATACATACATATTGTACGTAACAATAATTTAAGTTCGAATAACAGGGCGATAAGATAAGATCCGTGCCGTGTCCGTGTCCGAAAGATCAGTCGATCAGTAAAAATAAGATAACAATATGATTTTTATTTGTACAAGCTTTTAATGCATAACCAAGATACAAACATATAGTACATACTATATGTACTTAAAAACGAATCTAGAACAATTTAAATTTATCAAGTGCCCGTAAGCACATACATACATGCATATGTATGTATTTACATAGACACAATTTATATCTGTATGATAATAAAGTAGTAGGTTCTAAATTTTAGATCGGCAGTGCACTACGGCTGCGTGTTTAGACATTTCCGCCAACGAGTACGAATAAAATATAATTTCGCTTAATTCAATTTATGCTCGTCTTAACCTGACATTTTCTTTTATCAAACGAGCCGGAGATCAAATGCGAAAGAACAATATAAACAGATACAACTGTGAAATACTTACGTACACACACACACACACACCACACATACTGATATACATACCCCTACATATGCATTCATACTTATGTATGCATGTGAAATATCTAGGTACGTTTCTTGTCATTTGGAACGTAATCTGACACACACACACACACACACACACGCATACAGATACTCGTACAAGGCACACTGATTTAAACCATAACTATTCCTGCTCCAAGTGAGCAAACATAGTTAACAGCTACAACAACAATAATAACAACAACAACAGCAACAGCAGTAAGAAGCCACAGAACTAAGCAAAGAGCAAGAGAGAATGCGAGCAACGCCGGGGCCAACACACATACACACTCGCACACATACACACACAAAGGTCTCGCACATGCATACAAAGAACGCCAATAATAATAACAATAATAAATTGAAGAGTTAAACTAATAATGAAATATGCATGTATGTATGTACATATACATATGTACATACATGTATGGGAGACACACACACACACACACACACACACATGCACACACAAACTGAACACACACATGCGCCGTAGTATAGTAATAATAAAGTAAAACGTCGTCGTCGTACATACCTTTATTTAGTCGAAATTGCTATTTATTTTCTTCTTCTTCTTCTTCGTCGTCGTCTCTATGCTATGCTGTCTTTTTGATGTTGTTGTTGTTGTTGCTGTTGGTTTTATTTTATCGTCGTCACCTCAGCTCACCAACCACTGTTGTGTTGTTATTGTAATTATTGTTGTAGTTGTTGTTGTTCCTTTTTCTTATAAGTTTTTCACACACACAGCAGAATTAAAATGGAATGTGTAAAATTGTATTTATTAGTACATTGCCATCGTCGTCGTAGCTGTTGTTGTTGTGACTGTTACTGTTGTAGTTGCTATTGTACGCAGTTATGGTTTGTGTGTACATGTGGGTATGTATGTATGTGCAATGTATGTAAAGTAAATTATGTTATGTATGTAGTTTTGTGCTTATATAAATTGTATTTTTTTTTTTCGTTGACAAATCGTTGTTTCTGTACCAGTTGTTTATTTCATTCAATTGCTCACATATGTATGTAATTTTTCAAAACGTTTTTCTTGTATTACTTTGTTGACATAGAAAACCACAATAAAAAAAAAACAAAATAATTAATTTGAATGAAAAAATATGTTAATCAAATTTGACGAATGACAGTCGTTGTTGCTGAATAATTCACGCACACACGCAGCCTTGTATGGTAGTAGTTAATTTTATTTTGTATAGTAATGTAACAAAAGTAAACAACACAATAAGAATGCGCTGCAGCTGTGGGCCGGGGCCACGATAAACGGATAATAGTGGTAGACCTGAACCACGCTACCTGCGACGCAGCCGTTGCACTTGGCGGCGCGCTCTGCGAACGACTGTTGTGGGCTTCTTTGGGACCGCCACCGCTTATACACATACGTTACGGCATCGGTAGCGCTGTTAGACTATCGATGGCACTATCGATATATAGAATTATGTTGTCGGGGTACCACTATCGATAGTACAGGCAATTTTTAGTCACTTTCTTACGAATAGAACTTAGTAACAGAGATAATTATGAAAAATAAAATTGCATTGTGCACCTGCTTTTAAAAAACACCAGTTGGTAACTCTGCGTATGCAGAAATGCTTGCGAAACTCCATTACCCACATAAAATATTTGTATATGTGGAATACCGCAATATTAATAGTTAATGACCATTAGAAATACTATTTTTTAAAAGCAAAATACATTTACATGCTGCTAACCCTTAAAAAAATCGACTGGAAATAAATACATTTAAGTGTCTGCATAATTTCATTAATCAAAAAATAAAAACGATAATATCGAATGGCGCCACTATCGATAGTTGTACAGCACTGGAGACCGCTACCACTCACACAACACACAAGCCCAACTGCTCCACATGACTTCCAATAAAATTTGTTGAGCTAAAAGATTGGTAGATTTATACCAATTAAAAATTTAATTGGTTTTAAAAGTTTTAATTAAAAAAAGGACTTACAACGGGGGTCTTGTTATTGTGGATGAGCAAGAGCAGCGGTTTCAGATCTTATCTTATCAATTTGAACATCATCCTATTCCCATTACATGCAATCATGTTTGTATCGTGTGTAATCGACCTACGCGGAGAAAACAGCTGTTTTTCGTAAATTCGAAGACTGATATTTGTTATCAATGAATAATTATAAACTCTCATAATAGGCGAACTCATTTTAACCGAGTATAATATAAACAATTGAATGCAACTAATCCCTCGAGTGAATGGTAAAAAGATTTCACATTAGACTGGTGAAGCAGCTTTAAATGTCGTTAGTGGACCGCAAACAGAATTATATCAGCGGCAGCACCTCATGGAACATTACCAGATGGTCGAATTTTGGTAACTGTGCTACCATTTGCTAGTATGCCAACAGCATTGCATGGAGTTGGCAGCACTAACGACTGCCGGCTTGTTTTTGACAATTGGAAACTGGAAGTGGTGGCCCACCGCCGTTAACTTCCATGCGAATATGGTGCATGCGTACTTGTGTGTGTGTATGTGTAATGTATCGTGGAAGCTTCCAACCAGAATATATGGAAGTTTTTTTCCATATTGATTAGTTATGTCGCTTTTGTTGTTTACTCGCTACATTTTTTTGGCCAGTTAATTGTGTTGCAATACGCGTTAAAATTCGTAAAAAAAAATAAGCGCAAAAATAATAAACACCATTCGCAACATCGATACGCAATTATTGGGCAAGCAGAACGCGCGCAGCAGGCAAAATTGCCGGGCGCCGAGATAGAAAATTCGTGCTAACTGCAATCGGACAGCAAATAGTCGCGACCAAGCGCACAAACCCTCGATGTCCGCGGGTGTGGGAGGCGGAGGGAGCATAACCACAGATCATCACAGCCGTTTGTATTTTCTTAATTCGCCAACGGCGCCGCTCACCGCACGCGATCCCTTCTTTATAAAGCCGGAATACCTCAACTATGAAAATCCCATGCACCATCTCTACCCAAGTAACAGGGGACTTATAGAATATAACAACTATACGACAGTTGCTGCCGCCGCCACAGGAAACACTGCGTCCGCTGCTGCCGCCGCTGCTGCTGCTGCCGCCGCCAGTAACAGTAGTGCGAATACCGCTACGGCGAATAGTGCCACAGTCGCTGCCGTTTTGAATTTGGAGAATACCTTTCAGCAGCAGCAGCAACAACAACAGCAATCGGCCAATCCTCAACAGCAGCAACAACAACAGCAACACCAGCAACAACATCCGCAAGACACAACTGTTGGTGGCCAGCATCAGCAGCAGGCGCCGCATCCTTTGCATCATCATCTCTCCACAGGCGTTGTTGTTGTCGGTGGTGTCGGCGTTGGCGGCGGAGCGGGCCATCAATCGACACGCGCCCAAAAAGCAGCCAGAAGGCGGAGCAACGAATCCGTTGAGGCACGCGAAAGACGTCTGGAACGTAACGCGGCACGTATGCGTGAGAAACGGGCCAAGGAATCGGAGGCGGAGTATCGCCTCCGTTTGGCCAAAAATGCCGAAGCGAATCGGATACGGCGCCAGAACGAAAACGAAGTACAAAGAACCCTAAGACTGATGAAGAATGCCGCCCGGCAGCGCTTAAGGCGCGCCAGTGAGACCGCCGAGGAGCGTAAAAAGCGGCTGGCAAAAGCGGCGGAACGTATGCGAGTTGCGCGCGCAAGTGCGCCAAAGGTTATAAAACCGCCGCTAGCGGATCGGCTGAAGGGCTACTAGGAGGAGCAGAATCAACAAAAAACAACAACAACAGCAACAACAACAACTCAATCACAACAAACGAAACCGTAATTCGTTATTCGTTTGCCGAGACACGTCACACACACACACACACACAAGCAAACAGAAACACACGCACACACACACCTCTACACGGACACACAATTGTACTCACGCCCATGGTGGCGATGGTGGTGATGGTGGCAGCAGCGACAGGTAACCAACCACAACAATAACAATACCAATAGCAATAACAACAACAATAGCATAAGACCGTAGTACAGTACCAGAGAAAACTCTTCCCAGATCCAGCAAAATATCAGCAAACGGACACACCCAAAGCCCACATATGTGTAACATACAGACAAATACAAATGAGCAGAGTTCTGGAACGATAGGAAGGCAGCAAGTAAGCACCAAGCAGCTGAAGCAAGCAAGCAAGCAGTCCAAGCAGTCGTCGTTGCCGTAAATCTAGAGAGGATTAAGCGCTCTTACGGATTGTTGGTAAGCACACACACATACAGAAACAAACGAACACACACAGACAGAGATAAACACAGACACAGACAGTAGACAGCAGACGAACCTGGACGGCTCGAGCACCTCGGACTTAACCTGGCACCGGAAGCACCAGAGCGTCCGGTACAGGGGGAGCAGCAGAAACAGCTGATGGAGCAACGTCATCAACGTCGTCGTTTTAGACAGCTAAGTAAATGAAGAAGCAGAGAAAGGGACAGAGAACGAAAGAGAGAGAGAGAGCGAGAGAGAAAGGTCGAGGAGAGTTAGAAGAAAATGAAGAATAAGGAAATAAAATCTATATAAATATATGTATACATAAAAAAGAAATCATAAAGTTTAGATGAAACCAGTTGTACGGATCGATCGTATGTGGGAGCAGGAACAGATATAATAATAATGAATAATGATGATTATGATAATGATAATGATGATGAAGATGAAGATGATGGCACTTTTTAGAATATAGCGCCGGCAATTTTTTTTTAAGTTAACATTAATATGAAAGATGAAGAGTAAAGTATTTTTATAATGCATGCATTATATTCGTACGATATATATAGTTATATATATAAAAAACAAATATATATATATATACATATATTATATACAGAACACACACAATATATATACATACAATACATGTAGAAAATAGTCATGTGTAAATTTATGCACGTCACCTCACACGCACACACACACACACAGACGAGCACACAGATACACACACAAATACACAGACACATACGCTTACAGCAGCTCTAGACCCAGCCCAACCCCAAGACCCAGCCCAACCCCAAGACCCAAACCGCCCCGAGCCAGCCAAGCACACATCCGCAACCCGAACCCAAACCCCAAGAACTCACACAAAGTACAGCAAAATGTTAAAGTCGAGCAAAAACTTCATCCCCACATGTGTAACCCCAACCCATACAACCACCGACCCACCCACAAGCCCATACATGCACACACACAGACACACTCATAACACCAGCATACGTAGCGTATGTGCTGCGAGTGTCCCAAAAATCAGGGTGATTCGTTTTGTTAGCAACAGAAAAAGGACCAAACACACACACGCACACACAAACACAAACTGTACATAGAAGAAGAAATGCAAACCAGATTGGAATGTTCCCTCTTCCAATTGGAGTTTCCCGCGCTGCAACAAGTGCAGCAAATTGGCAGCACTTTTCTCCCTCGCTCCGCCACCCCCTCGTCCATTAACCCATTTTCTGTCGCACAACAAATCTGTCGAACTTCAAGGACATTTCAATGTTTGCGGGGACACTTTAGATCGTACTATAGCTTAACTTTTCAGACTTAGAAATAAAAAAAAAAAATAAAAAAGCAGGTAGAAAAGCCATAAAAAATTATTTAATTTTTATGTGTAAAAAAAAACAAAATTCAAATTGACCTTTGGAAGCAACTCAACACAACTAGTTGGAATTACAGATCGGTTCCATTTGTATGTACTTCGCTTCCTACTTCAAGGTTGAATTTTATTTGAATTTCCATTTTCTAGCAATAGAAAAAACATATTTATTCTAACTTTCTTTGGGCCTTTGCTGAGCTGCAATTCCCACAACTACTTATGACTAATTGTTTACGTATATTAACAATTTTTTTTTTTAGATACTATGTTTGTTTGACTAAACGTTTTAGTGAATTTATATTTGTAAAGTCTAACATGTAGCGCTCTTCCCCATTGTTAAGATCCCTCTGTATTAATAACGACTTGTTGTATATCTGCATTGCAGGACGGTTGAGTAGGAAAACAACTTTCGAATGTGTGGCAGCAAATGGGTAATTGGTGCATTAAATCACAAATTTTATTGATTTTATTTGCAGTTCTCATGAGAATGGCAGCTTTACACACACACATACACACACAACTCACATACATACATACATACACACATATAGCGATTTACATATTAAAAACCTACATGTGTTACAATAATGGAAATTTGTGCAAGCTGTTAATTCTGTGGCCGTTAGATTTGATTTGAAAATCTGTTTCGCTTGCAGGAATCTTCCAGTAACTATTTTATTTAGTTTTAAACATAAATTGCCTAAAATGAAACACCCTAATGCATACAAGTAAAATACCAACCCTCCTCACACTATTTGGGGGGGTGTGCTTGAGCATGTATGTGTGTATGTGTTTATATAATTTGTAATACACACACACAGGCGTACGCGCAGGCACACCGCACGAAAACGGACATCAGCAATCACATATAATACGAGTATTACAGACACAAACACACACACACACGCACGTAGATATGTACATATGTGGTCCGTTGCCAAGGCATACATATAAGGCGGGCATATGGTTGAGGCAACACTCGAAGCCACTCCACACACGCAACGCGCACACACACACACACAGAGACACACACCCACGCCCAAATGCCACTCTATAAAAAAAGAAAGAATTAAGAAAAAAACACACAAAAAACAAAAAAAAAATGAAACGAGTTAATCTTCACAATCTTTCATAAAAGAACACAAAAAACGACGAGATAATTAATTAAAACAAAAGCAAAACAATTAATATTAATAATGATAAATTAAACTTAATTATTAAGTTCTAGTCGAAATTTCAAATTGTTTAATTATTTTTTTTTGCTTACTCCTTTCAACTATTATTTTGATGTAAAATTATGAATACATTTGTAATGTAATATTCTATGTAAACTAAACAAAAATACACACACACAAACACAACACACACACAAAATGAAAAACAAAACTAAAAGAAAATGAGAAAAAACAAACAAAACAAATGAATACTTGAATAAAGTTGCATTCACAATTTTTAACCGAACCGGCCTTTTAAATGAAATCCCAGTCCATACATAGATACATACATACATATGTATGTATATCTTTGAATTGCTAGCGCGCTGCTAAGTTTAAAAGCAGCAATATGACAGTTAATTTGCTTATGTAATTGGTTTGGCGCTAACGAAGAATTCGAAAAATAGAAGAAAAAAAACACCCAACTCTGCATGTGAATTGATTATCGATAGCATCGGTTGATGACCAGCAACGATAACACTAGTTTACTTCCAATGTCATTCGCTGCCCACAGCCGCCGCTTGTATACATACACACGCACATCCAGTTGTATTTACATTTTTTTAATGTATTGTTGTGTGCGTACTGAAAACGGCGCAGAGTTGAGTTGCGCGCATTGCCGGAAATTTTGCGCGTTTTTCATTTTTTTGTTGTTAACTACGTATAAAACGCACGCTGTTATAAAAAAAACGAGCGCGTCAACTGTGCAATGAAAATGTGAAGACTAAATAAATACCTAACTGTAAACTGTTTGTTGCCAAGATTATTTTCAGGCTACCGTGTCAAAAGAAAAAAAAATATAAGGAAAAAAACAGAAAAAGCCGACAAATTCAATATTGCTAGAACAAAACCAAAGTGCAACATTCATGAAATCATTGTGGACATTGAAGTAGAATATAAAGTGGCGCAATAAGAATATAATAAATGAATTAAATAAAACAACATATTTTCAAAATATTTATGAAACACAACGACACATACAGATAGATACAAGATTCATGCATACATACATTTAGATACAGCCGCGCGTTAATGTACATACAAACATAGATCTGTATGTGTGTCGCTCGCACTTGAGTATGTACATATAGACATAAATACATATACAAGTAGGTAGATGTGTGTGCGTGTAGATACGTATAATCATGTGAAAAATCGATTGGAAGCACTGGAAACCGTATATTCATTGGAAGCTACAGCAGCAGCAGCAGCACCGCCAATTGTCATTTACTATGAAATAAGAAGAAGCACGCGCAAGCACTTTAAACGAAAAAGAAATAAAAAAACGCCGTAAAAAGCCAAAAAATTATAGTGCACAATAAGCAAAGCGCTAATATTACAACAATTGCCAACCAGCTGCGTTCATAAAAAGGTGCGCAATTTAATTAGCCGAGACGCAAACCCAATATGTAATTCCATTTGTTGCCATCTTTTGTGCATTATGAATGATTTTTGACATTTGCATGTGCAATGCGACGACGAGTCGAGTGCTGTAGAAGGAAGAGGAAGATCGCAACCAGCAGCAGAAACAGAAGCAGAAGCATTGCAATAATCCTGGCCGACAGTGAAGAAAAAAGTTAATACCAAGAGACACACACAATTTATAGCAAACAAAGTAATAAAAACGCATTGCAATATTCTACTTGATAACAACACGCAGAGGCGCACAACTTGGGCTAAAAGGCGGGGGCGCGCAACACTAAAGTGCGCAAAACAAGCGGAGCGCAGCGCATAAGAAAACGCCGCTAAACACAGCAACTAAAAAAAGACAAACAAACGTAGCGCACAGCGAGTGTGTACAAGCTGGAGTGAGCTGGAGAGGAGGAATCTAAAGTTGTTATAAACGCGCGCACTCACACATGCAAGCGTACATACATAATACATACATACAGAGAGAAGCATATAAACGACATTTAAGCGCATTTTTCATTTTTTATATAACTGCAATTTTGGGGCCGCCAAAAAAGCGCCACCATCTGAAAGCCGCCACAATACCAACAACAACAGCACTAACAGCGGCAGCAGCAGCAACAACAACAACGGCTGTTAAATGCGGCGTCAAAAAAGTTCAAAAAGTTCTCTAACGAGCAGCAGAAGCAGCCAAAAAGAAAACAACAATAACAGCAGCAGCAGCAGTAGCAATAAAATCAGAAACAACAGCAACAAGAAGAAGAGTAGCAGCAAGCAGGAGCAGACGCAGGATCTGGAGCAGGACATTGGGCATTGTTGACTGTAACGGCAACAACAGCAAGGAATTGAGCTGACGTCGACGACAATTTCGATTGTTGTTACGGTTTCGCCAAATAATGGAACCAAATCCCAATGGGATAAAAATAGAGCCGACACTTGACCAGCTGCAGCATTCGCAGCAGCAGCAACAACAGCAGCACTACGCAACGCAACTACTTGCAATAAATGGCCCAAATGCACGCTTACTCATTGAGCATCCATCGCTGTTGGTACCATTGTCGTCGCATCATCAACAGATTCAGCTACAACAGCAGCATCAGCAGCAGCAGCAGCAACAACAACAGCAGCAGCAGCAGCAATTTCAACAGCAGCACCATCATTTGCAGCCGCAACATCAACAGCAAGAGCAGCAACATCAATTTCAACAGCAGCAACAACATCAGCAGCAACAAATACAATTAACACTACCCGCTTACCCACAGCCATTGTCGCTGAAGCAACAGCCGCCGCCAACACCATTGGGTACAGCCAATTCCACCACCAGCTCATCGGCCCCCAATTCACAACAACACCAGCAGCAGCAACATCAGCATCAGCAGCGCTGGAACGAGAGCCCGGAGGCACGCCAACGCCGTCTGGCCAGAAATGCTGAGAGGATGCGCGAGAGAAGGCAGCGTGAAAGCGAAGACGAATATCGGAAGCGTCTATTACGTAATGCCGAGGCGAACCGCCAGCGGCGCCAAAACGAATCCGAAATGGAGCGTGCCATGCGTTTGGTACGCAATGCGGCAAGACAGCGTCTGCGACGCGCCATGGAATCCCCCGAGCAGCGTGCGAAGCGTTTGGCCAAGCTGGCCGAGCGCATGCGCATGTATCGAGCCAGCGAGACGGTCGAGCAGCGCAAAATACGGCTTGCCGAAATGGCGGCACGCGCACGTCAGCGCATCGCCAGCGAGTCCGTCGAGGAGCGCAAGGAAAGACTGAGAAAGCTGAATGATTACGCCAAAAAGGTCAGAGAAAAGAAAAAACTTTTGAAGCATGTGCAAGGGCATAATGCACAGACTATACAGAACAACAACAATTCTTCGTCGTCGTCGGTGGTGGTGTCGTCGTCAGCAGCAGCAGCGGCAGCCGCCGCCGCGGCAGCAGCAGCAGCAGCAGCGGCAACAAATCCCCATCAGCAACAGCAGCAGCAAGTGCTGGCTGCTGCGGCTGCAGCTGCCGCCGCCGCAGCTGCCAATTGTAATAATAATGAGCATAATATAAATAATTTAAATCAGGCAAGTGTTGCAATTACCCAGCCAACAACAACAACATTGGCCAACGGACCTGGGACCAGTGCGGCAGCAGTGGCTGCTGCAGCGGCTGCTGCTGCTGCTGCCGCCGCCGCAGCGGCCAATGAAGAACAACAGCAGCAGCAGCCTCTGGTAACAGCAGCTGCCTATCAGCAACATCAGGCAATAGCCGCCGCTGTTGCCGGCACTGGTAATCCCATTGAGTATATGGGTCAGAATATGTTTATAACTCCCACAACGCTCCGTCCAGCTGTCCAGCTAAAGCAGGAGCCATCGCCCCAGCAGCAGCAACAACAGCAGCATCAGCAACAGCAGCAGCAGCAACAACAACAGCAGCAGCAGCAGTTGCAACAGCAGCAACAAAATGCACGCTATGCTTTGAGTGGTGGCCAACAGCAACAAGTGGCGGCAGCTCTGCTCGATAGTAGCGGCAGCGGCAGCGATTCGGCCGCTGGCAGCATATTTGTGCAACAAATCTATGGCGATGATCCAACCGGCAAGGGGGCAACAGCCACAAAACTGTTGCAGGCCGCCCATGTACCGCACTTTGGCATTGCCAATCCGCTCGAGTTCTATCAGCACAAATACGCCAAGAAGCAGGAACTTCAGGTGCGTATGACGACAGCGACGATGACGACGACGACGACGCCGCCGCCACCGCCAGCGCAGGCGCCACAATAGGTTCATTATTTGCCGGTAGTTGTTATTGTTATTGTCAGGCGCGCACATACACAATCACACATATACACACACATATATATATATATATTTATATATACTCATATATACATGCATACAAATCCTCACTCAAATTTATTTTGCTTGCAGAGATCGAAGCTATCGGGCCAATAGCCAGGCACTTGGTCCCTAGACTTCAGCAAAACAAAAAAAAAAAAAAACAAAAAAAAGAACAATGAAAAAAGAAATAAATACAGAAAAAAGTACACTCTGCACAGGCAACAGCAATTCTCCCGTCGTCTGCTGACCCAACACCACCACCACCAAAAAACCACCATCATCATCATCATCATCAAAAACATGAACAACATCATCATCACCACAACAACAACATGTACAACACTCTCTACACCACAACCACCTCCACCACAACCACCACCACTACCAACAACAACAACATCTTCATCATCATCATAAATATTCGGAGCAGCACAGCAACAGCTTCCAGCCATGATCGACGCCTCTAAGCAACAATATCGTTGAGTCGTTCATTCATTTCCGTTTCCTGTAATCGCAGATATGTATAAACACACACACTCACACACACACACCTCCATTTCACACACACAAACACACACACATACTTACACAGCATATATATATATATAGTAGATGCATACATATATATATATATATATAGATATAAATATATATATGTATATATATATATTATGTATATGTGTAGTATGTAGAGTAGTCGGCATAAAACAGAATTTACGATAAAACAAAAGTGTCATTCTAAAGTAATATTTGTTTTAAAACCCACGCGGAGAAAGCAAAAACATTACAAACAAATGTTGTTGCAAAAAATTTTTTTGATAAGCGGTGCAGATATCCAGCGAGCGGACTTTTATGTTCCTTAAGCTCATAGCTTTCGTAAACTTTAAAAAAGATTTCTATCATCTCTCGCTTGAGATTTCAGAGAGACGAGACAACGCTTCTCTTGCACTGGTTTATCATCCCCATTGCAAGCTTTTAGTTCTTAAATCTCAACTCAATTTGAATAAGCCAGTTTAGTTTTCGATTGAAATTTTCGAAAATAAGTTTCGTAATTAAGTTTCTATGATCAAATGAAAGAAAGCAAATAACAATCATTTGTGTAACCATCGTATTTAGTTTAGAATCCAAACTGAAATTTCCAACGAGTTTCAAATTCAAAGTTTTAATTAAATTCATATTTGAAGTGGATTTCAGTTTCAATTTAGATTTAAGCAAGTTTCATATTTAATATAAACTCGGATAAAGTGAAGATGAAGATTCAAACAAAAAAAAAAAAAATTAAAGAGCACACATGCAGCATTTGTAAGCCAAAAAAATTATATATTTCTATATTTAGGGTATATCTGGGAATGTTATGCGAGATCGGTAAAAACAATAACGGATGAGTGCAAAGAATTTCTAATCAAATGAATCAAGTAGTAGTTAGTTAAAACAGAGAACCATTAAAAATTTGTTAGTTAGTTGAATACATTTTCAATATTTCAAAGCAATCCTCGAAAAATGGAAATGAATGTCGATCTGTGCCGGGTTGGAAAGAATTTGCAATTAAAATATCTTTAGTTAGTTGAAGACAACAGCTCAAAACTTTCAAAACTCTATCTATGACGAGCGCATATTTAATTAGTTGAAGAAAAAATGCAGAAAACAATCCCCGAAGAATTAAAAACGCTTCTATCTATGCCGAATACTTCACATGCATCACTTAATTTAAAAAAGAATAAAATTACACGGATCACAGAATAGACAAAAAACAATAAAAATGAAGTTGTTGGCGCATTCATTTCAGAAGACAATAATATGCGTCTTATTCAATCCAATCAATCAATCAATCAAAACATTTAAATGCGTGTTTGATTTCAGTTCCCATTTTCTTCTTGCTTCATTGTTTTTATTCGAAATGATTTTTTTTTTTTTTTTTGAAGAATATTTAAAACGTACGCCTTAAATGAATTGCGAAACAACTTTTTGGGACAGCAATGCCTTGGGGTCTAGGGCACAATACCACCATATACAGATACAAATATACCCGATATAGACATAACATTTGTAGTCGTAAAGCAAAACAAACGATATGATTGTAGAGAATTACTTTAAATTATATTTTAGAGAAATACACACAAATGAAACAAAGCAAGATGATGATAATGATGCTGATGATGCAGTTGTTAATCAATCAAAGATGAAAAGCTTACATACATACTCGTACATACATACCTACTACTACTACTAAATCAATTGAAAAATCGTGTGTGTAAAATGTTTTTTGTATTTGTAATCCGAATCCGAAACAATATTAAAATCTATTGCATCGACTGCATGCCCAGAATTTCAAAAAAAAAAAACAAAACAAAAACCGTCTACAATTCATTTACCTGCTGTGGTGTGCGTGTGTGTGTATATGAATGCTGTTGTTGTTGTTGCTGTCGCTGGCGCCTGTGGTTGCGGGATGTGGGTAAAAGTGATGGGTAGTGAGGGTCCCTTGGCCTCTGTTGTTAATACCGTTGGTCTCTTTCATTTCTCTGTTGTTGTTGTTATTATTATTATTATTATAAAAATATTATAAATTTAATTGTAATTAACGGTTGTACTGCAACTTGTTGAGCTACAACTATGTCCCTTTCTCTCTCTACCTCTCTCTCTCTCTCTGCATCTCTCTGTCACACGCACACAAATGAAAATTATGAACACCCAGACACTCTCTCTCACTCACTCTGTCTCACGTTCTCGTTCTCTCTCTGCTCTCTTCCCACTCTTTGCAGTCAAACAATAATACAGATGCGAGGGGCAACGACGGCGGTGCCAACGACAGCGGGTCTGTTGGTCTGGCACAGAACGAGGCCAAGGTCATTGTGGCGGCAGCAGCCGAACAGCAGCAGAAGGGACTAAAGCCCGGACAGATACAGAATCCGCCCACGGCCCTCTATAATCAGTTCCCCTATTTGGCCACATTCCCGACGGCCAACACGAATGCGACGGCTGCGGGCATGGTGACGACTACGACGAGCGCTGTTGTTAGCGGTAGCACTGCCACGCCCACCACCGCTTACTATCCCATGTATCACAATAGCTTCCAGCTGGGCATTGGGCCCAATACGGTGCCGCCGCCCTTCACGCCCGTGCATTTTGCAAATAATAGCGGCGGCCAGAGTCCTGCCGGACCCGGACAATACAATCTGTTGACAGCGGCCGCTACCAATCCGATCGCCGCCAGTCTGGGACAACAACAGCAGCAGGAGCAGCAATGCGTACAGGATTTTCCAAAAATGGTCCGCGGTCGCCCTAGAAAGAGCAGCATCGCCCACCTGGTCAGCAGCAGCGGCGGCGAGGAGCTCAAGGCGAACACGCTATTCGAGCAGGAGCTGAACCAAATGCTCGCCACGCCCCAGCTGGTGGCACAGCGTCGCGGACGTGGTCAACTGGACATTCATGGACATTCCACAGCAACGGATGCGGCCACTAGCAGCGACGGTAGCGCTCCGGCAACGCCTCGACGCAGCGGCGCCAACAAATACGAAACCGAGGAGGAGAAGCGACTCCGTCTCGATAAAATGGCCGCTCACCAGCGTGCTGTTCGTGCCAATGAGTCACCCGAGCAGCGATCCGCACGCCTTCAAAAGCTGAGCGAACGGGCGCGTCTGAAGCGCGCCCAAATTCGAGCAACCGAGACCAGCGAGGAGCGCAAGGAGCGTCTCTCCAAACAGGCCGAGTATGCGCGCCTTCGACGCATGCGCAGTCACACGCCGCGTCGCAGCAGCAATGCCAGCACCGAGTTCCATGGGAAGACCGAGGAGGAGCAGTCCGAGCACGAGCATCAGCTGTACGATGGCGGTGCCGGCGGTCCCGGCAACGATTCCTTCGTCACTGTTGTGAAGACGGACTCGCAGCTCGATGGCGATGCCTCCAACGATCAACAACTGGCGACCCTCCAGCTCCAGCAGCACGAGCTGCAACAAATTACCGGAACTCTTCAGCCCCAGCAACAGCAGCAGGCCCATCACGAGGCCATCGTGCTCAATCAACAGCAACAGCAGCGCCTTTTAGCCCTCAACCAGCACCATCAGAGCTACAAGCTGCAATCTGTGAAGGATTACGGCAGTGGAGGTGGCGGGGCCAATTCAGCCACTGGCGGCTCTGGAGGCAGCGGTGCCGGCGAAAACAATGACATGCTCAAAATTCTAGAGCCCATCATTGTCATGAAGACCAAATGAGATTCGCGCACGTGTCGCAGGAACCGCACCAAATACCCAGTCATGGCCAGATCCGTGGACATTTCCTGACTTCGAGCCAACTAAGGCAGCTAACAGTTAAAAAAATAAAGGCGGTTCACACTGCGCTAAGAATTCTGTTTGGAAGAGAGCAAAAGCGAGAGAGAGAGAGAGAAAGCTAGTGTGTGAGAGAGAAGTGAGCACAGAGAGAGAGAGAGAGAGATAGAAAAAGAGGGAGAGAGCGAGAGCCAAGGAACGTTTGAACTGGCATTCAGGAATGTACAGTTGACAATATAGACAAAACATACATATATATACAGAGACACACACAAACTGGGACGCTTGCGCCAGACACTAACTATCATATGCATACATATTACTTACATAAAACATAACTACTTATACATATATAGTATATATCTATATATATATATATACACACATCTATATGAATAGCTATATAGAAGGCGTTTTTGTACAATAACTGTAAAAGTCCTCTCGGGCACAAATGTGTCCGGAAGTAGGCTTATCAGATAGAACATTTGTGTTGGTTAATGATTATTAATGATAATGCTGATCATGATGATGATGATTATGAAGAATATGAAAGAATGGAATTTTTGGAAGTATCTTATGTATGTAGTTTATAGGCAAGTCATTTAAATGTTTAAGTTCGGTTGACAGTTAAGCACAGTGCAATACAGCGATTATCGGTTCGATTACCGATTGCCACCGATCGATCGTTTGTATGTATATATTAATAATTTTACTACAAACACACAGATACAACACACACAAACCTATGTATGTATATGTATGTATGTAACAGTATACGCCCAATTATCGTTAATATATCGATATTCCGAGCGCACACACACACGGATTCGTTGGTGCTCACTCCGATAGGTAACTCAGGCGGGGATTCACATTTACAAAAAACAAACAAGAGTATAAACTAAATTGAAAATAAGTAAATACTTATGAGTGAGATCCGGGAAATCCAAAAACAACATATAATTCGTACATATATATTATACTTATATATTTGTATATGTTACAAACACACCCAAACAAACAAACACACACACACACTATTAACTTTGTAGCTAATCAATGGTGGTATTCCTGCTAATGGTTTGGATTTCTAACAGATTTTATTTAAGAGCAACTGTGACCGAAAAACAACAAAATTCGCAATATACGGTCACACAGAACTTGTTGATTTAATTCCATTTATAATAGTAACTAACCAAAGCATACTCGAGTGTTTTTAATTAGTGTTTGTTTTCCACCGATATGCCATTTTGTTTGTTCAGTTTTTTTTTAAACTTTCTTCATCTCTTACAAATTGAAATCAAACGCTGGAATACCACGATTATTATGTATTTGTATTTGAATGTAGAGGAGAAATGTCTACGTTTTTTAACAACTTAAATTGTAACGGTAATACTGATAACGGATAACTTTTTTAGTGTAACAACAACAGCAACAGGCAAAAACATAATTAAAAACAACAAGCAGAACAACAACTAAACTAAACAATTAAACTTAAGTCAGATTACAATTATGGATGTATTGTATGTAGCGCATAAACAGAGAGAGCACTAAAGAAAGAAGTAATAATTTTTTAAAGTAGCGAAAAATCATACAAATAAATATAATAAGAAGCAAGTGACAGTCTCGGTCGCTAATCATTGCATTAAAGGCATCACATGGGTAAGTATAAAGGACTATCCCTCTTAAAATTGTAGAATCAACATGGGATCATAGCAAGTGCCTTAGTGGGTAGCTAGCAAGCAATTTAAAAGATCTTCAACAAATTAGCAATATGGTGCTTTCTACTAAAAACTACCTATACTAGTTGTAAGAAATAAGAAGAAGATCCTTGCTGAATTACTTGAAAACACTTCAAGGGATAAAATTAGTCTTGTTGTGTACATAAATAGATTATGAACTTCTAGGAAGCTCTAGAAAATCTGGACCTTATTTGAAGACTCTAATTGTAAGTAAGGGCATGTTATAGGCAGAAGGAGGCGATACGAATGATGAACCGAGTCGAAAAAGTTAGACCAGTTTATATGAACCCCAAGAAATTTTCCACCACAACAGTTAGAAACATCAGACATACGCAGAGCAAGTTGATTACAAGCCATATATAGGCTCATTATTATTTTATATAGCTGAATAGGAAAGCTCTTTTTTTATGAAGATATCTGGAGCCAATCTCGTTTCGATCAGATTTTGTATAATGCCACATGAAACTATAAAGTTTTATCATCAAATCGGCGCACTCTATCACATATAAAAACGATCAAGTACAGAAAGCATTCTTTTTATAAAGATATCCTAAATAAATCTGGAACGCGGCAGTATTTTTATATACTAGTGCCTCACTATAACATGAAGTGCCATTAAAATCGGTAAACTATTCACAAGCTCTCATAGCAATGATTGGTGTACGAATATTTATTTTAGTTATATGGCTGTAGCAAATAATTTGGTCATTTATGCAGTGCTTTGAACAAATTAGTTAATCTTGAAGAATAAATTACCTTACCTGCCGTTTCGCCTGCTGTTTAAAGTTGTATTTAAATGTTAAACGCCAATAAGTAACATCTTGGTTAGCTTCAGCAAAAAAGTTTAAATTTGATTGCACATCGAACTATCGATGATTAACCAGCAATAAATGCCAAAAGGAAAGCTATCGATAATGTCATCGAAAGCTGGACAGCTGTAGAGCCAGCCATGAAGTTCACGACGCTGCACAACATCGACACCGAATACTCGGCCGACTCGGTGGAGTGGTGTGGAGTGGACGAGGAGCATAGTAAATACTTTGCATGTGGCACCTACCAGTTGGTGGAGGGGGCAGACGAGGAAAATGGCAGCGAGACGGCAAATCGGAAGCGCAAGGGCCGCATCTATTTGTATGGCTTTGATGCGGCCAGTGGGGCACTGGAAAGGCTGCATAGTGTGGATACGGCTGCTATACTGGACATGAAATGGCTGCCTGCGTTGCGTGGGAGTGGCGGACCACTGCTGGCCACGGCCAATGCCATAGGCGAGCTCGAGATCTACGAGTTGTTGCGCGCCGACGGTGGCCGGCTGGAGCGGCGCACGTGTTTGGCGCTGGAAAGCAAGTCGGAGACGCCACCTTTAGCTCTAGCCTTTGATTGGCGCCGAGATGGCGATGCACTGCAGCTGATTGTATCGGATTCGCTGGGCCAGATAAGTCAGCTGGTGTACACGCCGCAGGCTGAGCTTCGCCAGCTGGTGGCTTGGAATGCGCACGGTTTCGAGGCTTGGACCTGCGCTTTCGACAAATGGACGCCGCAGTGTGTATATACGGGCGGTGATGATGGACTTCTAAACGCCTACGATTTACGAACGCAGCAGCGTCTGTGGACGAATAAAGCACACCAGGCCGGCGTCACCGCTCTGCTAAGCCATCCACGCTTCGAACATCAGCTCCTCACCGGCAGCTATGACGAGCAGCTGCGCCTCTTCGACACGCGCGCCATGAAACGTACTCTGGCCGAGCTGAGCCTGCACGGCGGCATATGGCGTCTCAAGCCCCATCCCGTCCATGACGAACTCCTCCTAATCGCCTGCATGTACAAGAATTTTAGTGTGGTTGGCCTGACTGCTGCCGATGGCGATGCTCGACTCTCACTGCTGGGCACATACGATGAGCACTCGAGCATTTGCTATGGCGCCGACTGGGCGCAAACTGTGGCGCAGCCTTCGGGAGACCAGAAGCTCCTCCATATGGCCACCTGCTCCTTCTATGATCATAAGCTTTGTGTATCCGCTGTTGAGATTGACTAACTAAAGTGCTTAGATAGCGTTATACAGCCCGTATTTAGTTAATTGTTTTCAATAAATCAAAATAATTACAAATCGAACTGATGTTAACGTGTTTGTAACGACATTCGCAAATTGAAATGATTTCGATTGTTTTCTAACAGTTGATTGCCATTCGATAGCTTAGCCTTCCACAAAAGAAGACAACTTCCGCAGAGGTGGCAGCACTGCCACAAAATGGCGCTTCAATTCGACACAACAGGATAGCATTTCCGTTTACACAGTCACTAGCTTTAAGTACACGTAGGATAAGTTACTTCTAGTATTAGGTAAGTAAAACTATAAAATTGAGAGTTATTCGAAGAAAATGATGGGCACGTGTTTCACACTTTTAAAAGATCATTGAGAAGGCCGATTGAAGAAATGCGTTTTTAAACCAACACGAAGAAAATTTACCCATGTCAGCCAAAAAGTGATTTAAAAATTAGTATTTATTAAGAAATTGTAAAGAAAATGATCCAAAAATTGATTTCAAACCGTTCTTTGTGGAAAAATCGTGTTTCAAAATTGAGAACGAACTGAGTGAAATTTTTTTAATATGAAAAAATTCAGTATACCCGTTTTTAAAAATATAAGAAAATGGAAAAACTTAATTGCGTGTTTTAAAAACTCACGTGTGCATGACTTGCCTATTTTCTAGATTTCCATCAAATTAAGCTTTCAGTAACACTTTCTGAAAAGTCATTGACAGTCATTAAATTTTCATTCCATTTCTAGGTCAGGGCAGTTCGGTCCCGCAATCTCAATCTCGCGTAACCCCGCGGCCGAGAAGTCCCACTGGCAGCATACCCAGAATCCAATTCCACCCGGCACGGACATGATGGGCGCCTTCTGTACGGGACCCTATGATAAGGTGGCCGACCAACCGCTTTACAGCCGTCGTCTAAAGGGAGAAGGCAGCTTCCAGCCCCAGCGTGTCAACTTCTGGCAAGGAATGACAGCGCCAGGCCATCCCCAGCCCGATGAGACGCCCGAAGAGAAACTCGATCGTCTCTATAACCGAATTTTCGAGTGCGAATTACACAGACTAAACCAAGATAATGGGGCTGAAGAGAGTGAAGGCGGCATCTAAAATGTATGTGCATGCAGATAGAATTTTTTCAATATAAAAAGATCTTTACATACATACATACGTATATGATCGGCTTGGCACGTCAAATGGACCTACACATGCCCGTCGGTTCGTCCGCCTGTATGAGCCCCAAGAGCTTTTGAACCCTATCAGCTAGGGAGAACAAACTTGGTATACCGACTTGTCATATCCATACGCAGAATTTTGTTACCATATAGTTGTATGTATATAGTCTCATTATTTTATAAAACTGCCATTGGAACGATTGCTGCAGAAAAGTTTGGAATTTTTAAAGATTTTGCTAAATTTTAAGTTTTATATCCAAAAAGTAAACTGCATGGCCGCGTATGTAACGAAAAAGAAGAAAGGATTGCTAGACTCGAGCGGGCTCAACTTTTAAATACCCTGCACCAAGTAAAGAACAATTTTTAAAAAATCTGTGTATTACATTCGCACAAAACTAATAAAGCCTTTTACCCTTTGGGTACTACAGGCTATAAAAAGTTTAAAATAGAAGAGTATATTTTGTTTTTCTAAAACGCATATGAACTGAAGAATCGTACGTAAACATTATGGTACTGAGATGGGATGTTGTTGTGCAATAATTGTGGATGTTTATTTCACAAGAATCGGTGACAATTGGGGCAGCAATTGAAAACAATAACAAATGCGTCAAGGAATCGTAAATATATCAACAACAACAACAATGAGTCACCCATAAGTGTAAACAGACAATTTTGGCAGCTATACTATTAGAAACCTATTTCACAAGTCTTATGATGAGTTGCAAAATATGTAATTCAAAGTTCAATAAATGAGATGAGCTGCCTCCCGGTATCTATAATTGTAAATTCTAATTAGTGTGCTTAATTATAAATGTTTTGTTTTATCATAATATGAATGAAGTATTGTTGATTCGTAAAAGATTCGTTGATTTTCGCAGCAATGCCGCCGCTAGTAGTTCTCTATATATTCAAGCTTTATAGGATCTTTAACAATTTGTTTTTACTAAAATAAACGTACTGCTGCTTAACAAGAATTTTTACATATTAAACTAAACGAAAAAGCAACTTTTTTGTTTATAACTCAACATTTTTGCCGCAAAATTAAAGGTTGGTTTTTGGGTTGTTTTTTTTTTTTTGGCTAAAAGTGTTTGATAACGGGCAACGATTGCTGCTTTTCCCTCGCCGTCTGCATTATGTGGTTATCGTATTAGTTGTTGTTGCTCTCCGCTCCTTGCACTCTTCCCTTTATTGTAAGTGGTGCTGGACCTTGCATTGCCGCAGCGCCTCGTTGAAGCCCTCGCAGAGCGTCAAATCGGATTGACCTTGGGCGCATTGAAGGAACTGTTTGATTTCCCAGGAGCAGGGACCTTGCGGCTCATTGGCTTGCTGTCCCGGCTGTGCATAGTATTGTTGTTGTTGTGCCGGTGGTGCAGCAGCCGCCGCTGGTGCGGCTGCTTCCTTATCACCAGATCCGCTGAACATCGATGTGAGGCCATGGCCGACGGTGTGGCCAATGGCCGATCCGACGGCTACGCCACCAGCAGTGGCAGCCATTTGTTGGAACATCGATGGCTGCTGCGGCTGCGGCATACCAACCGCACTGGGTGGTGCGGCAACGGGTGCCGGTGGCTGTGGTGGTGCAGCGGCACGTGCTGGCACATGTTGAGTAGGGGCGGGCGCAGGTGCGCTGCTGCAGTGTGAAAAGAATGAATATATTTATGGTTAGTTGGATGTGGACTTTGCACAAACATTGTTGTTGCAGACACTAAAGTCTTTACAAAATCTCATAATTTAGGTTACGTAACTGAAACCTCTTTGCCACGGAAATTTCCAGAAACCTATACTAAACGCATTTAAGGACGGCAGAGAAACAAAATGCACAATGCCATAAGCATATGTCGTCTGCCTTTTTAGTTGCATTACGAAATGCTCAAATATTAGGATTGGCCAACACATTAGGCTGCTTATTGTTGTTTGTTTTTCTGTTTCGGCCAAAATCGGCTGTAATTTGCAAAAAATGTGCTCGCGTTATTTAATAATTTCCAACTTACCGTCTGGCCGATGGTGGTGGGCTAGCAGAACGTCCACGACGAACCATTTTTATTTAATTTTATTTTACTTAAATATTTTAACACGAAATTCCAAGTGAAGTATATGCTTCTGTTGCTTTTCACGAACTGATGTGACTTTCAGTATTTATTAACAAAAACCTCACTTCGCTAGAATATTCGGCCTGCTTGTGCGCATTGATAAGCATTTGTCTCTTTCTCACACTCAGTGGTGCCAGTACAGCAGTCAAACAGCTGTCGATAGCAGGCGGCAGGTGTAGTATTATCGATAACGATAAAAATATCAGGTATTGTTTGAAAGAGGTGGCTACGCCAATTGGAAAATTATACACGTTTAAATTAAAAAAGAGAAAAACACGATATTTGCTTAAGATCCTATTGCAACTACTGTTGAAATTGTATCCAAAAGAAGCTTTCCAACATTATTAAGTGTAGAAACAGAATTTGCCTGTTTGCATAAACAGCAAGCCACAAAACGTTTGGTTTTAATATGTTGCTATTATTTAAACATTTATTTATTATTTCGTTAAGACATGAATCAGTAATTGTTTACAATCTCTGCTTAGCTACAAATTGATATTTCAAACCCGTACTTGTTGACGCTTTACCCTTTTTAACAATTAACAGCAGCCAAAATACGGTTTTTATTGACAAAAAAAAGTTGCGAATTTTGGCACTTACGATACATTTGAATGCCTTATTTAATGGGGAATAATATTGATAAGCTTTACTGCCACTACAATTAATCAAGAATACATACGAATAATAAATACCAGGTGCAAAGTATTCACAAAGTAAAAATGCTGACGAGTCACGGTCAGACATGTAAATAATTTGCAAACATACGGTATTTGGGTTATTTTATAAAAGACATGTTTATTTTTCGCAAAAAACTATATTTTCTTTAATTGAAATATCACTTTATTAATGACATACAAGAAATGTGTGTGCAAATTGTTTGCCTCTCTGTCCACACTTTAAGTTTGAAAGCTTATCATTTATAGTTGGACAGTTCCCTTTAACTTAATGATCAGACATGCAAATAATTTGCACACAAATTTGCATTTTTAAAATTCACTTCGTTTTTTTATGGAAATAACATATTCATGAACTCGTTTTGAAAATCGACATTTTGTGTGCAAATTATTTGCCTGTCAGAGCACACCTTAAGTAAGGATGTAAGTTTATCATTTTTATTTGAATTAGAGTCCGATACGTGCGGGTGTGCGGCGTGGCGTTGTAGTGCCGGGCGTGGCAATCTCCTGTTTAGCGGCCAATTGCTCCTCACGATGTGCAGCCCTCATCTTGCGCTCCTCCATTTCGTGCTGGGCCTGCAACATTTGTGCCTCCATCTCCTTCAAATGTTCCGCGGCCTGTTTCTTCTTTTCGCGGCCACTGCGTCCCGACTCTTTGACGGAGAAGAACATGGGACCCAGCTCGGCCAACCAATAGCCGTCCACCGCTGTGGCGCACTGCATGTATTCCTTGGCCGTCATAATCAGCTCGTGATAAACAACATAGTCGGGTGTGGTGCCCAAGCCATAGAGTGCCGATGTGGGATGCAAATGGCAAGGCATGCCTGTACGCAAATTAACGTACTCGCCAATACCCTTTAGACGAGCCGCCTGGTAGAAGTAGGCGGAACAAATGCACTTGCGTACAATGTCCCAATCGGTGCCGCACGACTTCACATTCATCTTTTGCTGCGTCATAATGTCCTTCAGCTGCTGCCGCACCTCGCGCACCTTTCGCATGGCCTTGACGTGAATAAAGTGCTCATTGCACCACGAAGAGCTGTAGCTGCAATGGTAGGATGGGGAAGATATATATAGAGGGGGTCGAATAGTTGGCACTCACATTACGTACTTATTTTGCTTCCATTGCAGGTAGACATTGAGGTAGGTCAGGTGATCCGATTCGGGCACTTGGAACTTCTCACGCACACCATCCGCCTCTTCCTCGCGACCCTTGGGCCGATAGAAAATGGACGGTACCGAGAGCATGGATACTGCAATGAAGAAAACATTGATAATATTAGTATTCCACAGCTAATTGTTGGCAAACTGGGTTAGTGGCTTAATACTAATGGCAACACAAAATGGATGGCCAAATAATTACAGACGCTGATTTCGGGAGTTTCTCGCCTATATATATAGTATATCGCATTTTTATAAATAAATATAAATATATAAATTGGACATGTCGACTCGTCCCTGTCTATTTTAAATCTACCTACATAGTTTAATTTTAACGCTATTTCTGCACTCTTCCATGCTTCTTATTCCTCTTTCCTCTTACATCGTCTACTATGATATATTATGGTTTCCGAAAACAGTCTTCTCTTATTCCTTTAAGGGAAGAAAAAAAATGGGAAACCCCATTTACTTTTCAGCAGAATAATCCACGAATTCATATAATGTTCCATAACATATTCGCCGGATTCAAAATCGATTGAAAATATATATTATTATTATTATTTTATCTAAAAAAAAGAGGCAATTTAAAGGGATTGGTTAGACTTGAAAGCATTTGAAAAATGGAGGCCATTCAAAATATTAATTAAGAATTTGTTAGCATAATTTTTGGCTTTATGTTAGAAATATACATAGGTGTCCTATAATTATGAAAGGCAATGTACGTTTAGAATAAAGCATTAACACTACTCACCTATAATCAATACCTCGGAACTGCACTCCATTTGGCAGGCAACGATCAGCATTTGGCATTGGGGCGGATCTAGCGGGAATTCGGCCATTTGGCGGCCGAGGGTTGTTAGAGCGCCAGTGTGGTCCAAGGCGCCCAGGATCCACAGCTGATACAGCGAGTTGAGTATATTGTCCTGTGGCGGTGGATCCATGAAATGGAATTGCAGCAAATCGACGACGCCCAGCGACTTCAGCAACAACACCGTATTGGCCAGGTTGGTGCGCTGTATTTCGGGCACGGTCAGCGCCAGGAGTTCGTCCTTGTACTGACGCTGTGTGTAGAGTCGATAGGCCTGTCCCGGACCTGTGCGTCCGGCACGACCCGAACGCTGATTCGCATTGGCCTGCGATATGGGATAGATCTGTAGGGCATCCATGCCGATGCGAGGATTATAGACCTTCAGCTTGCAGTAGCCCGAATCAATGACATAGATAATGCCATCGACCGTGAGCGATGTCTCCGCTATATTGGTGGCCACCACACATTTGCGTATGCCGTCGGGTGACTTCTGGAATATCTTCGCCTGCAAATCGGAGGGCAGTTGCGAGTATATTGGCAATATGCTCAGCTCCGGTGCATTATCGATCTCGGCCAGACGCTCCTCCAGCACCTCGCAGGTCACCTCGATATCCTCCTGGCCCGGCATAAAGATCAGCATATCTCCCTCATTGGGCGTCAGATGCACCTGCAGGGCCTGCTTGACCGCCGACTCCACATAATCCTCGCACGTATTCTTGCTGAACATCACGTCGACGGGAAACGTCCGTCCAGGTATCGTAAACGTCGGCACGTTTCCAAAGAAGGTGGCAAACTTGGTCGAGTCCATGGTGGCCGACGTAACAATTAGCTTCAGGTCATGACGTCGTGCAACAATCTATGATAAGAGCCAAAGAAAATCGTATGGTTAGCAAATAAAACAAAACGAATCTCCACCAGTGTTGGAACTAGCAGTCCTTTGTCAGCTATATGGTGCGATATGGTGCGTCGATATATGGATATTTGCAACTGTATATAACTTTTGATTTTGTTTAGGAATCATAAAAAACGTTCGCTACTAAGAGATATTTCCAGCGATCGTTCCTATATAGAGATATATATAGAGCAACGAGCTTCATGAAACCTCAGACTATAGTGAGGCATTATCAAAAACTCATAAACACCAATTTTGGTGGAGATATCTTAATAAAGGTAATAGTTATTCTACTAATTGGGAGTTTTTCCCCGATCGTTCCTATACCAGCTTTACGATATAGTGCACCGATTTTGATCACACTTCAGAATCTGATGAGTTATTAAAAAAAATGTAGGTAAAAGTTGTTGGTTTTAAAATTATTTTATAAGATATCGTTCACAGATTTTTGATCAAACTTAAATAAAAAAAAAAAAAAAATTTGAAATAAAAGTTTTTCAAACTAAAAGTGCTTTTATCCCATATCGTTCCTATGACAGATCTATAATTCAACCATAAACGATTTTTTTAAGTAAATGTTCTCTACATATGAATGCATAAGAAAAGTAAATATATCGAGTTTGATATTCCCAGTTGTTTTTGCTTAAAAGTTGGCGATGTTCATAAAGATGGACTTATGAACAAATAGACAGATGGACATGTCTATATGGATATGTCCCAACAGGCCAAGCATATGCGTACCTATAACATGGGACCTGCAACGTGTCCTACTGCCCATTAAATATGTGTATATAGCGATTCAACTTTCTACATATAAGTACATACATACGTATGCCTTTTAACCCTGTCAGGCAAAGGGCATGGAGAAAAGCATTTGGCAGCGACCCAACCCAGCAACGTTCTTGGCTGACCCAAATGGTACGAACTGAAGTCGTTGACCGAGCGCCGCCAGTAGGTCAAGATTATTGTAAAAAGGGTGTATCCTTAAGACCCATGGCGCCAAGTGGGTTGAATTGGGTTTGAACTCAACATACTTTGCAATTTCAAGAACAATTCGTAGCGAGTACACTGCACAAAAATTATATCTCAAATAGAAAATTTAAAAAATTTTTAATATAAATCACAAGACCCATCAACCCTTTTGCAGATTTCTGTTTCTCAGAATATTTTGGCATTTATATATTATATATTTTTATGACAAATATTATGATTTTAGAACACGAAGTGATGAAACAACTTCAGGTTCCCTTAACAAATAAATAAATTGATTTGTTGATTAAAGTTCATGGTAAAATTACAAACAAGTATTACAAGACCAATGTATAGCAGTTAATACCTTTATGGATGCGGCAGTAAATAGCATGTAAGTAGTTCTAACTCGGTTATATATAGGAATTAGTTTTATATTAAACCCCTTTCTTCTGTAATTTTCCGCAGTTGTTATCGCAGGCCTAAATAAATAGGTAATGCTGCCAGCAAGGGAACTCAAGACTTACACTTGGAAGAAAGGTGATTACCCACCTGAATGGTTAGTAAATCCGCCAATTGAAAATAAAGAGGTTAAAAATGTTGAACAAAACAAGCTTACGAAACCTTTTTTCTTTATTTATTTTTAAAAGCGCAAATCTATTTTGAACAGCGGAACAAAATGAAATTCCAGAAATAAAACCCAAAGGGAATGGAAAATCCACAGGTGCGACAACTCTTTACACACTGTGGGACAAATAAGAGTCAAATTATTGGAAATAGCAAAAAAAAAAAAAAAAAAACGTGTAAAAATATACTTGTTTTAAAACAAGAGAGAATCCCCTTGGACCGAATAGTCTAAACTAAACATTAAATTTCAGAATAAGTTGGCGTTACATAAAACTCATAAATACCAAATTTGGTTAAGATATCTTTATATAAAATTATATAACATTTGTAATAAACAAGCTCCTACATAACTACAAGACAAGTCTAGATGCCAAGTGTGATGTCTCTAGTTATTATTGTTTAAAAGATATCAATGTTCATACAGTCGGACAAACATCAGAAAACTGGCCTAGCATGGACACTTCTTGAGTTGGAGTTTTTGAGCAAATTAATTACAAATATACTTATTAGGAATACATATATTTTAATTTCTCAGCCTTTGAGAAATATTTGTATGTGTATATAGTAGTTTAAAAAAAGTTGAAGTGTATTTCAAAGCACGGTACATGGCAGAAAGACATTTGATAAACGTTTTATCTGTCATTTAAACTGCAAAATATCACAAAGTGCTTGTCCAATAGCATAACTAGTGGCTGAACTCATTGAATTTTAAAGTGAAATGGGGAAACTGCCGTTATAGAGAGTTTAGCTTTGTTTGGAATTGGCATGAAACAAAATTTAGAATAAATATAGAAACCTCAAAGTCTACAGTTAGCTTCCTACTTATTTGGCGTACTGAGGGAAATCCTCTATTAAAATTGCATATGTTTTCTGTGCGTCCTCCATCAATAAATACTACATGTGGCATGCATGTATGATCATGTGTATGTGTGTTATTGCAAATAATAATAAATCAATAAATAAAAAGCGCTGTGAAGGTGTAATCTGGAATTATGATTTCTTGTAAAAACTTTTGTAATCCCCCCATATGGCGTATTAAATATAACTGTAAAACTGCTGCTCAAGCACGTACATACATGTGAGGGCGTTCTATAAACAGGCAAACATTCAATCCTGTTTGGAATTCGACGGGCAGCTACCATGTATATATGTATGTACATGTCCATTAAGTTCAGTTACATGTCGAGCACATACATACATACATATGTATGTACAAGTATGTACAGCAACGTGTGTGGGCGGCAAGAGGATGGTGAAGTCAAACAGTCATTAAACAAGCTTTTTCCATCTAGATATGGGGACATACATACATACATACATATATGCATATGCACAAATGCACATGCACATGCATATGTATGTATGTATGTATGTAGTTGCAATTGCAGGAATTGTGTGGTGAGTGCGGCAGCGGTAAGCTGCAATTTTAATAAAGAGAGCGCCGTGTGGTGAGTTCCTGAGCAAGCGAGTTGTGCTGGCTGCGTGAAGGCGAGCCCATTAGCCGGCTCGTGACACACCCACACAAACAAACCAGTGGTTGCTGGCACGGGGCAGGGGGTCAGCTAAAAGCTTCATTAACAATTTTGTGCAGTAAATAGACCATTTAACAAGTTCCACTCACAGAAACAAACACAGGCTGGGAAAATAAATAAATTGCTTCGCTTTTTCTGCGTTTTCAAACTCTAAATTGATTGGAAAACAATTTTTTTCGTTCTCATATGCTATGTATATTATCCAAATATTTTGTTCAAGTTCTAGGGAATGTACAGAGTTACAGAATTTCACATACAAATTTGAAATAAAATCGATTTTAAATGCAAATATCTCTTAGCAGTTGCATACGAGTATAATTTTTAATTTAAAATAAAATCACTGCCTGCTCTTAAGACAAAGTTTAAGTTTATACTTACTTTTTTTTTTGAAAATCGTTAAGGATTCAGTTATTTTAAAATCAATCGGATAAAACCCAAACTTTTCGTTTGAATAAAGCGAAGAAATGTTAAAATGTAAACGATGGAACTATTTAGTTGACGAGCAGCGTTTCAATTTGGTTCTCAGATTTATTATGACAGATTTATTCGCAATATTGTTGTACTAAAATATATGTACATATGTATTTGTTGACCTCGAGTGCTGTACACATCTGTGATATAAATAGGAAAACGAAAATTAAAACCCTAACTGAAATTGTTTGGAAGAATCATTGTGATTCTTTCATCTGGAAATAGGAACAATACTCTACTTCAGCATTGCCCTTGACTTGCTTTTATAAAAGCGCTCGGAAATGGTAAACGATTCACGTCCTTCTAACAACAACATCTTTTAAAGTGTTTGCAATGCTGTCATTTTTGGATATTTTACTTTCAACGTCACGTTTGTAAAACAGAGCAATAAACGATGACAAGAGAGGCGACATATGGCGAGTAAATAAAAAAAAAAAAGAAAGACGCAAACAATGCTGTGAAAAAACGAGTTATGTGCCCCTTTCAGTGCAAAAATAAAACACATTTAAGTAGTATACAGTATATATATCTTTAAGGCAGAGAAGAAAATAAATAGCACACGTATTTCATATCAGAGAGATACGAACTGGCAAAAATTAAGATATTGCTGCGATAGCAACATCTTGAAGATTCCTACTTAACGAGTGTGTTATCTTTCCAAACAATTGGTATGATCTATTTGCACTAATTGTTCATGCTTGGCCATGGAGAATTCAGTTAAATAAGATAAAGATGTTGAACTGACATAGACCAGAAATTTAAAAAGCAAATATATAACTATTGGATGGGCCGTTCAGCGAACTTGTGAGCCATTTCTGGCATTTTAGATAATCATTTTCAAGCTTCTAGTCTTAATTTAACACGATGGAGATTATAAAGATGATGAAGTGGTTTCATGTATTCGTAGAACGTGCAGGAGTAATTCTGCACATCAGATTATTATCAGTAAACATGTTAATCTTTTCTATTATTATATTATCTCATAACCATTTAAAGGCCAGTTATTACCTTCTTATGTCAGTATTTGAAAACAAAGTTTAGTTCCTTTTAAGCATGTAGATAAACATTTACAGGTAATGTATAGAATTACTATCTTTCATAAATAAATGCAGTGTTCAAATACAAAACGATAAACATTATGAAGTGTTGTTACATATTCAAACAACCTTCAATAGAAAATCTATCACTAACAGATTTGAGTGAGTTATGAAATTCAACAACGAACTAATAACAAGATAATCACAACCTTCAATAGAAAATCTATCACTAACAGATGACATGCCAGGTTTGAGTGAATTATGAAATTCAACAGCGAACTAATAACAAGATAATCACTAACAGGCAACTTGTTACCTTCTAGTCTAAATATTGTCAGACAATCCGTCATATCTATTCAAGAGTTACTCAATATATCGATGTAACAAGCGAAACTTTGCCGTGTAGGGTATTAGCCTTGGTCTATAAATCTATATATATGTCTGAACATCACATTCTTTACACATATTTATACATATGTATGAGCGCGTATTTTATGATTTTCTAAAAATAGATGAAAACAACAACAGCAACAACAAAAATGACGCAGTTGACTTGTCTCGTCTGTTGGAGGTTTATATGCAAATGTGGATATACAGACGGGTACTTGTCGTTTACATTGTTTGGAATTCGTTGCCATAATCTGATAATACGCTTCCGTTTTGGGGGACTTGAGAATAGCTTGATGATAAGTTCTTTTTGTTAGTGGGTAGTGATGTCAAAACATTGATAGCTAATGGAGGAGCCTGATGTTCCATTTCTTCTACCTTTCAATCATTTCTTTCTAGTGTTACTTATTAACTCCAAACTACAAAACGCGAGTTATTTAAATCACAGTTCCTACACACTGCTTAAACGAATAAGCCGATTACAGAACGATCTGAAGACTGTTGATAGAATATAATTGGAAATACGATGCCAGTGGGAGGTTTTACATAACAAGCTACTTTTCCATGTTCCGGATATCTTTGTCAATTGAATTTCGTTCAAATATTGCTTTTTAAATGTAAAAGAAGAACAACGTATAATGGCTGTCATATTGATTAATAATTGCAAAAAAAAAGGATTTAGAAGGTATAGATTTCAATCAAGCCTACTTTATTCAAAAAATAGTTGGTATATGCAGATGATGAAGTACTGTACTGTCGGATACAGTCTAAATTATCATTTACAAACAAGTTAATATCTTCTAGTCTAAATAGTATAACTTTTTAGTAGCAAAACGATGAAGATTATGAAGATGATGTACTGACATATTTTAGCAATGCTTAACAGGGTTGCTCATGAGCATGAACACAAAAACGGGGAGAATGCGATCCGTGGGTAAAACTTAACCTAAGATAAAGTAATTCATTGCTGAAAACTTGTCTGGAATTCTAATTATTACCTTCTAGTTTAAATAGTGTCACTATTTAGATACAAAACGATAAAGATGATGAATGTGGCTGAAGTGCTGCAAAACTTGAGACTATGACGGTTCTAGAGTTAAAATTATAGTTTCCTTGGCACTATTTTAAGGTTTAGCTCATTTTTGCCCATACTAGTTTTGGAGTGTAGTTGTTATTGATTAATATTTCTCAAGATGTTCACTTGAAATTAAATGGATTAGTAACCTGAAGACACCATCATCTCACCAACCGCAAAACTATCTAGCTGTTGTTATATTATAAATGGGAAATATGATGCTGAGCATAGGACTTCTCTTCAAGTGTGGGAACTAGTTCCGTTTCTTTTGCTTCCTAAGTAGTTGTTTTTACGTCAACTTCAAGAGATTGGTCAATCATTATGTAGATTCCGGACCGCAACTTTATACTTATATGCGCATGATATCATCTACAAATATGCAGAAATCGAAGATACTTTTATACAATCTTTAAGGGAATTTCTTCCATTAAGCATACAACCATTTAAATATTATTAATATTAAATAATTAATGTGGCATAATTATTGGTAAAACCATTACACGGATTAGTCTAATCGCGTTGTACTTTGTAGGTTCCTTAACACCTCCTGGAGCACTATATATTAAACTAAATGTAGATTACTTGCTGAAATCTACTTTCATCCAGAATTTGTCTTACTTTAGGGAATTTATGACACTTAATTAACCGTTCGGTTATCTGTTCTACTAGAGAGTTCAATTCACGAGCATCGAGAGAAGATGACAAAAACAGAAATAGCGTTCTTGTTTTGCTTTTTTTTTTTTTTTTTTTTTTTTTTTGGACGCGAGCGCAAAGTCCGGTTATTACCAGATATCGGTGGCCACAGCTATGTACACACATATGTGGGGCGGTAAAGCTTTTAAGAAAATTGGCTTACATATTTAAACAAAAACTCGTTTCGCTTCTAGATTCGTACACATATCTGTATATAGTATATAGAGACATGCCGATTAGCTAGATATTGGAAACATCATTTGTCAAAGGTACGATCTAAAGATTAATAAACGTACTGCCAAGTATTAACAGTATTTGTTTATGTGTTGGTTAATGAAAAATGTGTTGATATATGTATATGCAAAGTATTGCTGAAAAGGGTGTGTTGGTAGGGGCCAAGAAATTCAGATAGTATTACCTGTGCCATTAGGAGGTAGGATTTGTAAGTTTTACTCGGAGTATTTGCGGACAATAAACTACAAGCTGACTGGACAAGCCGATGAGCAATTCCGGCCAGTGTATATAAACAAAAGAAAAAAATATTGTTGAAACAACCACAGACATATAGCCAGTTTATGCAAATAAATACAGGTGGTTTACCATCGAAACAATGAGGCGGAATGAGCGAAAAACGCAAGAGAACGCGACGTCTACACACGTAAGAGCGGTTCAGAGATCAGGCGTGTGTCTATAAAGACTACTCGTATATACTTAGTAAGAAAACAATTTTCACGAGCATTCGGCCAAATCAGCGAATTCAAAGACATCTCTGGGCACTGACCTACACACACGTTCCTAAAAAGATTACGCAATTATCATTAAACGGCAATAAAAAGAAAGAAAGAAGAAGGAAAGAAGAAGAAAAAAACGAGCTACAGAATCGTAAACATTGGGCGTATTCACCAAAGCAATTTGAGCACTGATCAGTCGTATAAATAAATAAACATATATGTATTATTGTTTACACTCAACTGTTTAAAATCAAATTTGTTCAACAATTTGTTGGGACAGTTCCCAATGCAACGTGCCGCATCAAAAACAAATCAGACGCAGACAACATCATCATCGTCAGATAAAAGTGATTGCTCAAATATGTATCTTTCATCATTGATCTCTGAACTAAGTGAGATGAAAACCACAATTGAGAATTCGGATCGCCTGGAAAAGAAATGGAATATGACAAACCAACACTTTCGTCTTTAAATCTTTTTCGAAACACTTTACTTATGGTCTCCATCTCCATTGTTATATGATGAGCATTTGTTTTACTTTTAGTTTTGTTCCCAAGCTTTGGTGAAAGTCAAAAAACTACTTATTCGAGAATCTGGATCCCTGATCAGATTTGAGGACAGTTTGTATGAAATGTACGTAAAATAGAGTTTTCATCAAATACAAGAAAAAATTAATATTAATGAATTTAGTTAAATTCCTCTAGAATTTTCCATACTTTTACTTTGAATATGTTTGGCACTCTATTAACCATTTGGTTATCTGTCTACCATTTTAAAACCCATTGTTGCTGGGAAAACCGCTTTTGGCGAAATTTCAAAGAAATCTTTAATCACAATTGTTTTGAAGGTAATAATCGTGTATATACTATATGCACGATGCGACATTGACTTTTTAGTGACTAATTGCCGATTGTATGAGTATGGGTGGACCTTGTACTAAAATAATGCTCTACAGTCACCTTAACTTAACGCGATAACCCACTTAGACTGAATTCTGCTCGATTTAATCAAAAGAAAACCCGTGCGGAATTCAGAACTAGCAGAAATACAATAAAATATATAAATGTTTGTATTCATGAATTTCGAAAAAGATAACGAAATTACGTTTAAACTGATAACAGATGATACGAGAAAAGCCTTTAACATAGAAAAGATAATACCATCTGGCGAAATTGCATTGTAAATTGTATATTGCTTTGCGGAATCGGGAACAGGCCTAAGATATGTACACATGCACATACATACATATGTACATAAGTATGTGCGTGTTAAAGCTGTGTGTGAAGCTAGAGGAGGCATCGAACACCTAGGGATGAATGAGCTTACACATATGTATGTACATACATATATACGCATGTATGTAGGTATGTATGTGTGTATAAATGTATGTGTGTGTAAAGCGTTTCATTTTTTATTTGTTCTGATTTACAGTGTTAAGTTACTTTTCAAAGAGGCAGGCACAAATGTAGATACAAACTAATATACACATTCAGGCATACGCACACGCATACTTAACATACATACATACATATGTACATATGTACAAATGGGTTAAAATTAGTATTCAGAACTAAAAAAAGAAGGTCAGACCCGCGATGTCGGTTCTATTATTACCTGTTATTATTACACCTCACCTGGCGCTTAGCTCTGCCAAAGGCAATTAAATTGACATGAGAAATTCGAAGCAGCGGCAATAAATCTCAATATCCACAGCCATACAACTTACATACATAGTAACATATGTATGTACAACTACAAATATGTGTATGTATGTATGGGCAAAGAACAAACATACCACAATCAATGGCAATGGCTATAGCTATGGCTGCGTCCCAATTCACCACAGCAGAGAGAGCTACTGAGAGCACGGAGACTGGAGGAGAGAGCCGCGTAAGCTCAAAGAGCATAAATGAGAGCGTGGGGGCTGGCAAACCGGCTTTGTTATAAATAAACGTTGGCGACGACAAGCGGTTGGTATTTGGCTTTCGAGACTCTTGTAGTGCAGTAGCAAAGCAAGCGACAACAACAATATCATCAGCAACAACGACGACAAAAGCGGCAAAAGCACGAAGAAACCGCAACAAAGACTATACATGAAAAAAAATACGAATAAATAAAAATTAAGCAAAAGCTAAATATTTCATTGGAACGCGTAGTGCTACCACAGTGGTCGCGTTTGTTTTTGTTTTGTGCATACTCTACATACTTATAATACACAGGTAGTACTTACATATGTGGGTACAAACACAAACACACATATGTATGTACGTATGTATTCACATACATATGTAAATTGTTCACAATTGTGAAATTGCAAGGCGCATTGTAAACATGCTTGCCCATTTTTGATAAACACGAACTAAGTGTAACTGCACCGAAGCGACAATAACAATACCATCTCCCATTGCTGCGCTCTCAGCGCCAGTCGCCGCTCATTGTTTACCGTAATAAAACAAAATCAAATTAGAACGACGAATGAACATAAATACATACATAGAGGAGATAAAACACAGGCGCCAATAGGACCGGGCGCAAAGGCGAAAGAAAAACCGCCCACAAGTGCAGAAGAGTGTTTTTTTGTAGTGAAAGTTGACACTAAAAACGACAAAAAAACAATAATACCAACAATAACAGCTACAACAACAATATTAACTGCAACAACAAGAAAACAGTTAATTGACAAGGGCATCCGCGCACCTAGACTCGGACACATCCATTCCAGTAGGATTAACGTTATTTTTTTACCCACACACATACATATAATGAACCGTTCGAACAGTTTTGTTAGCTCGTTAAAATGGTGGCCACTGCAGGGCCATAATCACAACAGCCAACAGGCCACAGAAAATGGGGGTGCCTCGCAATCAGCCCCCTCCTCACCCACCTCGAATTGGCCCACCTCAGTGGTGCTGCAGCAACACAAAACCGGTGGCGCCAACGTCACCTTTGGCAGCAGCGTCGCCGTCCAAAAGCTCCGCGAGTCAAAATGGTTCAAACCGGAGGAGCAGCGCATCTTTTGTGCCGTCGTCGAGTGCGGCTTCATTGTGGAGGTCCGCAGCAGTGCTGCAGCCGATGCGGCCGCTGCAGCAGCAGCTTCAGCCGCTGCCGCCGCCCTGGCCAATGACGCCGACTCCCTGGACATTGACTGTTCGGGCCTTACACTGGCACCACCAAAACCAACCCAACTATCGCAACCACTCATCATCATTCCGCGCAACGGCAGCACCAGCATCAGTTTTATGGAGGCCCAGGACGAAAACGAGACACCAGTTACCTCCTGGTTTGGCATCGTGCTGTGCAAGGTAGCCAAAGGTGAGTCTATCAGAGAGGGAGCAGGTAGCACTGACTTACTCTATTCCCTCATTGTTCTTGAAAGATCGTTAACTGAATTATTTTGCATGCTCATCAACTAACTAGGATACTAGTGTCTGTGAAACATATTTGGAACAATTACATGCGCATAAGTAATATTTTTATTAGTGAAATGTGTTTTGTATTTTTTGTAAAATCTAAAACAGCTCGCAAATATTATGAATTTAAAAGTAGGAACGTATAGAAACCATATGGTAAACATTTTCTCTTATATTCGAAAATTTCCTCTTTATTTTCTTTCTACATATACACTTTCAATTTCTGAAATTCTGAAAGAAGCCTCAATTTTAAACTTAGTCTTGAGCAAAGCCTTAAAGAAAACCTTTTTTCGAAATTCGATTACCGCGAGATTACAGAATTACGTACAGTTGTAAGAAAAAGTTGTCTTAAGAAACCCATTTCAATCGCTTTAAAATATCTTACAATTTCGTTAAAAAAAAAATAATGAAAGAATTTAAATTTTCACAACAAATGCGGAAATAAAACATAAAAAATTATATAAACGCCAATGAAATGAAAACAAATAATACGAATAAAACAAAACAAAAAGAATTTCAGGAATTGCATTATTTTAAGCAATGTCTGGTTTTTGTCTGAATTAATGATATTTTCACGTTTCTCGAAAAGAAAGATGTTCGGACTGAAAGATTTTAAGCAGACCGATGTGGAAGGAATTTGGTTGTAAACAAGATTGTAAAGATTCTCCATCTATTTATACTAAAACAGTTGAAATTGTTTAGATAAATTGCTTTGTCCTTAAAAAATGATTATGCTCGCTTTATATAGGGTATCCCATGGTTTTTGCCTGTAATCTACAGGTTCATCTAATCCCTAGTGGTGTAGGCACATTTATTTGTTCAAATCACTCAGCCATAGCCACAAAGTTGACATTTATGTACATATGTACTTATGTATATAAATAGATGTACGTACTACGTAGGTCGTTACCTGTTACGTGTGTAGAGGTGTTGGTATGTATGTACATACATACTTGGGTATTGTTTTTGTTTATCTAATCAACGACACATAATGTCGCTGACGTCGATGTAGAAGTAAGGAAAGATTATTCTAGTTGAGCACTCTTCAAAATGGAAAATATCTCCAACTAATGAAAGCCCGGCATATGGAAATACAACTTGAATTCGAATAAGTGAACATTCCATTCCAGAAGCTTCCATGTTAAACAGTTATGGTTAAAATTATAGATACAGAATGCGGCTTAAAAGATTTAACCTCCAACAAATGAACCAGACAGTGCTTAAAATAATAAATAATAATATATTTGATTGAAAACAAACTACTTGCCAAGAAGAGACACTTTCAATATTACATTCATCATTCATATAGAGATGTGCGTCTCCTCTAATGATGATGTGTCTAGACATTTCAACCGTCCTAGACGAACAGAAATATTTGAATTATTTCCTAATTATTGCATTTCAACAACAATACCAATTCTTTGTAAACCTACCCTTGCTATGGGTTTTAAACATCTTCGTGTATTTATATTAGTGAACTCGACTGTTTGCATGTTTGCACAGATACATAATACACGAGAAGACAATGGGCACGTTTTTTTACAACAACCACATATACAGGTGGGAATAACAAAACAATAAATATAAAATTAAAACAAAAATATAAACAACAACAACACAACGAAGTCGTTTTTACTACTCTCGCTCAATTAAACGCATCATGTGCTTTGAGTCACGCATGCAATTTTTGTTTTGCTTCTTTTCTTTGCCACATGCCGAAGAGCAAAAGCTCACAGTGCTCAACATGAGCGAGGGAGAGAGGGTAGCAGAGCGATTGGTTAGCTGGAGAGGAAACTACACTTCAAAAAATGTTGTCAAAAACAAAAACCAGGAGAGAGCGCGACAGTGTCCACCGCTGTATTATACGTGCACTCAATAGGAGAAGAAAAAAATGGAAATGGGGGGAGGGAGGTGGAGAACTTAGTACGTAGTACAATTTTTTCGCTTAAAACTTTTCTTAATATAAGGGGAGCCTGCACAGCAAGTTTATTCAGTGTGGGTCTGTGGCCTGTTACATACATTTGCGCAAAACTAATATACACTTTTTACTGGATAGGCATAGGGCATAGAAATTGGTGGGATAGGTTGGGCTGCAATAGTTCAGTGACGCTAAATAACTGGACTGATTGATAAAAGTATGGACTATGGATTGAGGAACACCCTTGGAAAATATTTTGAGGTGGCTTCGAAACAACGACAGTTAATTGGAAACATTGCAACATGTTGCTGAAAACGATCGTGTTGTACAAGAAATGCGCTTAACATAGCCATTGGACTTGAAACGGCACTTTACTTGTTTATTTAAATTTTCTCTCTCTCTGTGCCGCTCTCTCTGTGTGTGTGTGTTCTGTCACGTACGACATGTGGTGAATTGTATGCTCTCGGCTCTAAAGAATATTTCACCACATCCCCGGTTCTTGTACACGAATGCGTTACAAGTATACGAATGAGTTGGATTCTATTGCACTGTAAACAGTCAGTTGCGATTCTTGGGCATATCCTACGTACATTGAGCTTATATTACATTCTACACGACACATTTTTATGTGTGTGTGTAATTATCTTGCGTTTAGTTGTATACAGAAATGCAATGTTCGTGCCTATTACGATAAGAGGCGCCTTATCATGCAGCAGCAAGTTGCCTGTACATACAATTATTTACATTTCATATAAACATACATACATACACAGATACTTGCACCCAAGCACTACGCTACTCTATACATACATATGTACATATATATGTAGGTTTTCATTTGTCTTTTTTGTGTATTAAACTTTTATTGCATATGTCTCGGCGCGCTATTAACGTCAGGTTTCTTATTGACTTCACATCATTTCAAATATGTCGAATAAAATGATGAGAATAGAATTTAAGTGGATCTGCAAAGTAACGCCCTCAGCAATTCCAGAATTGTGAAAATTTGTTGCGCATGTCGCAGAACGAAGGCAAAAACAATACAAATAGAAATCAGCAGCAAGGTGTGAAATACTGAACAATATTAATTATTAACGATAAACACAAGCGGCAAAAGCTAAACAAATTGCGCAACAATTATCCCCAAAAAAAAGTAGCACTTCCAAATGTGGCAGTTTAATAATTAATCGTTAAGCAAACTTCGGCAATATTTTTGAGGGTGAATATTGAATATTTTCTATAATTTTCAAAAGTAATTTCATACTGAATAGGATTCTGCAAGTTCTGCTTGAAGTGTGGAAAGCAATAAAGCGTTACGGGCTTTGTTTATCGATGAGACTAATAAGCTTATTTTTTCTGTGACACAAGAATTGTGAAGAATTACTGCTGAGAGGAATATTAATATCGGGTTTTACATTATTTAAAATCGAGAAATATATGCAAGCAAAAGAGTGTTGCGAAATGTTTTTGGGATGAGACGCAAATAGGAAAGTACCAGTGAAGAGTGTTGAGAACTGCTTTATAATGAGCTCAAGGAAAACCAATTTGAATTTAAATAATGTTCAAAGTATTTACTAACTGGGATGGGAATCACTTTATAAAAACGTTGCTCACTAAATACAAAAGCGACATGTTCTGAATACTGTTTTTTCTTTTTCGAATTCTATATATATTGAAAGACCCCTTCTCTCTCTTTCTTTCATTTTAACTCGGATTAATTGCAGACAATAAACCAAAACCTGAAACCATTGAGATATTTTCTGTGAAAATACGCGAGAATGGCACATATAAGCTCATAAAAATGTCTCTAAACGACATCTGGAGCCATGGCTGGGAGTTGCGTATCAATAATTTTGCGGACAAGGAGAAAATGCCGCATAACGAGAAGGACATACGCAATCAGGTGAGCGACATAACAAGACCATGCTACTATCTATATACATATTTATGTATGTATGTGGTAGATTCTCTTCTAAATGGGCCTTTCATTTGGCAGGTGTCTCTGGCCCGCAAAGCCAAGCAGAGTCTGTGGAACAACAACAAACATTTCGCGTATTGGTGCCGCTATGGCAGTCGCCAGCAGGATGTCCGCAAGAGACAGGTAACGACGAGTGCAAATCACGTCTTGCTGCATCTGATTAATTGATAAGTAAACCAAAAAAAGAGAAAAAACATTAAAAAAAAAAAAAAACAGAATCGATAGCTAAATAAGGATGCCTGATTTGCTGCCATTGCAGCAGAGATGGCAACAAAAAAATACACACACACATATATATATATACATATATACGAGTATATCTCTATGTTATATATTGCATTTGTTTTGCATAAACACACACATACGTACATTTAAGAGGCAGGTTAGGTCTTAATACTGACTGAATTGTTTTGAAAATTGTTAACGAGACGAAAACAACAACAAACAACAACAACAACGACGACGAAGACTTCAACAACAACAGGAACAGGGACAGCAACGTACCATTTTTTTTTTGGCCAACTTGCCAACACAAAACAAACAACAACAATAACAACAACTGTCCTTTTTGTCACTGTTGCAGCCTCTGCCTCTGCCTCTCAGCATACATATATGCATAAATTTTTTTTTTTTTGTTCGAAAATTACAAAGTAATCTATTTACAGATGTCGGAGTGCGTTAAATGGAGCAGCGTTGGCATGAATGCGAGCATGCTACTGGTGCTCAATAATAGACAGAATCGCTACTCTCAATCAGAAACAAAATCGAAATAACGAAACTGTAACTTAGATGATTGCTCTGTCTTTGTTTATTTTATTTGTTGATTGTTCATTCAGTTGTACATAAGTTTTCGATGTGGCGCCTATTCTCTCAAAAACAATACTAAGTAGAATATATACATACATACATATACATATATAGTTGATTCTATACACAATGCGAAACGCCTATCATCACGAATTTCAGTTGTTATTTTCTAAATTGTTTTTGTTGGCAAATTCAATTGATTTATAAAAGTATTAAGTCAAGTTATGATAAGATAAGGGCATGTCTAAAGTCAAGTCAAACTGACTAACCAATTCGTCTATATACATATGTAGGTATAATACATACTCGTATACCTACATGCATACATACTTGTATTATAAGTGCAGAAAGATCGAAGTGTCAACCACTTTGAGTGCTGTTTATTGATTCCAAGATAATGATACATACATACATACATATATGTGTAAGAAACTATATACCTACATGCATACATACATACATATACACATATATAGAGATGGCGCCGCGCCCCCTTGAGAACATTGTGACTAATAATGCGTGAATTGCTTAAATATTTCAACACTAGTACTAGTTATTACTTAAATGCATACATACATACATATTTAGCCGATATACTGAAGCATCAACTGCGTAATTACACACACACCTCTAGACACCCACATATGTACACCCACAAATACATGACACATGTCCATTTAATCATCGATTGCTCTATTGTTACAATCTGGAATATCTGCGACTACGAGTCCAAAAGAGACAGCGCGCGTGCGCGCGCGAATGTGTGTGAGAGAGAGAGAGCGAGACAGAAATTCGAAAAGACTTATTATCATTCCAGAATGTCTAGTATATTTTTTCCCTATTTAGATATTATAACCAATAAAAATGTTTGCCCATGGAACGCACCAAATTTTATATGCGTTTTTTTTTTTATCGCGTTCTCTAATCATTTTATTGTGTGGTAATCGATCTTAAATGATACCTACATACCATGTACTATACATACATATATATATATATAGACCTATATGAAAGATAACTGATTGACGTACAATTTGTCCTTACAAATGCTATCATTGCGTTGGCAGTTTTATTTGCCAAATATGCAACGACAATTTTGTTTCAAAGTGTGATTTACTATCTATGCTTGAGGAGGGTCCAATAATATTCTCTATTCAATAGGACCAACAGGTTTTGCCCTAGAAATGAGCAAAAAAGGCAAATATTCAAAGAAAAAATTAATATTTTTCAACATCACATGCAAACCACACATAGATTTCTGTTTATAAACCATAACGTTGTGTGAATAACTATTGAAGATTTCTCCATCCAAAATACTTTGAACAACATTCTGGAGTTACAAGCGCGACCTTTTCCATCTTAATTTTTTTTTGAAATATTTGGTTACTATTACCACTTAGTGGAGTTTCGAATGGGAGCGTTGAAACGAAATAACATTTGTAAGAATATTTTGTCTGGACAGTCAGGAATAGCTTCCGTGGACAAATTTTTATTGGACTTATATGTATTAGATGGAAAAAAGTATTTCCATGCTGGAATGTAGGATTTTTTTTTCTTAAATGTTGTTGCCTATTGTTATCTGAAGAGCATGTTCGTTATAGCCATCTAAATACTATATATATTCGTTTAAATTCGTTTTGTTAACCCATAATGTTCAGTTTACACATGCAATGCATTTTAGTGTGTATGGATGATACTACTACAAGTTTTTATAATAAGTAATAATTATTGAGGTTTCACAATTTGGATGGAACGTGCATTCAATTTTGTTTTTAACAAATTTCAATATTAGAGCCCAAAATACACACACAACACAACACTATCGCCTAAACATTCGTAATGTTTCAAAATTTGGATTACCAATAATTGTAGCCAAAAATCGAACACACACACCTACTATATATGGAGATATATAGGCATACATTTTATATGTAGTATATAGGTAATAATTTTTTTTCTTGCGCCAATGCCTACGCGACTTGTATTTGTAATTATAGGTATAGGATTTTAGGTGTCTGGCGAAGATATATTTCTATATATATATTTGTAGTATACCTGCTATATATATATGGAGAGACGCACTCTGTGAAATTTGAAAAGACTTATTTGCTATTTTATTTGATCGATATTACTATTATTATTTGATTTCTTTTTGTGGAGTTGTGAGAAACCCTTTACCAATATTTACACAATAAGTCTGTATTATACTTTTATTGTTTGTTGAACAATTTCAATGTTTGTATATATATACATATATTTCGTATAAATCTTAAGTAATACTCGTTAGACGGACATTTGAAGTGCTTAGCGATGGAATAAGAACATTTGTATTTGCTAAAAATATTTACCACCCCATAAATATGGGAGCAACTATTTATAGGCCATGCATATATACATACACACATATACATACATACTATATGTATAAATATGAATATGTATATACATACGAGTATACAAGTATTGTCTCTGATAATAGTATGCGCATTTGATTTGGTGCTGCAAGGCTAGGCATCGATTTCATAGTCCTTTAGACGGTTTATATAAATATTTACACACACACACACACACAAACATACGCATACACACACATCTATATATACATATATACTACATATATATAAGGTATATACAGTTTGTGAAAGCTTGTCTATATATCAATATTAAAAGTTTACCTTCGATAAAAATTAAACATATGTTGTTTTAATATGGGAATTACTGGTGGGGAATACTCGCAAATAGAGCTGGTCTTTTAAAATCAGGCACGGCCCAGTACGAAATTTATGGATAATACGTACATTAAAGTCGTGTCGATTCCTTTCCCGCTACAGCCTCTCAACGAAAATAAGCATTGTTGCACCAATCATTGCTATGATAGCTAAAAATTTCTACAGATTTTGATAATACTTCAGATTATTGTGAGACACTAAAAGAAACTCTTGAAAATCAAATACCCCATTTGGATGCCAAAGAGCGATTTTTGAATAGATGATCGCTATGATATATTGCACCAATTTTGATGAGACTTCAGAAATCATAAAGTAATAGGCAAAATATTTGCTTGAAATATCTTGGGATTTCTTTTTAAGAAAAAAAAGATATCCCACTAAGAATAATTTTTCTACCGATACATGATTTTTAATAAACTTGCTCTGCGTGTGAATAAGACAGGAATCTATATACAAAGTTATGGCTGAAAAGTTCTCGGAAGACGTTAATCGAATTATGAACAGAAATTGATAACTGTTTTGAATTTATAGTATACCAGTATATGATTGCGTATCGTAGAACTGCATTATGAAATGTCCTAAAAATGTCAAATCTAGATTTGGCCAAAATTTTGATTAAATTTCTAATTTTAAAAAGATAAAGATATATTTAGTGTGCAATGTAGATAAAAGGTTTGATATGCTATACTATTATACAAATTTAAACCCCTAATAAATGAGCAGCTGGCTGAAGGTGATTCGTTTCAATGAACTTGGCCAAACACGCAAATAATTTGCACACAAATTTGTGTTATTTTAAATCCCAAAGAGCAATAGTTTAGTCCAGTTAGAATCATAGTACAGTGAAAACTCCCTTCATGGACACCTCTTTTATCCGAACACTCTCTTCGGCGGACACTTTTTCTAAAACATTCGGTCGGTGTATAAAGCATTTAAGTATCTCCTTAAGCGGACACTCTCCTTGGGCGGACAAAAATTGGCCGACCGTGAGTGTTTGGCCAAGAGATTAATTATTTTGAATTTTGAAGCATAACAAATTATTTGCCTGTCTGACCAACAGAGTTGGTTTTACAAACTGCATCCGAAATTAGTAACACAACTCACCTCTCGTAGCAGTCCAAAGAGAACATCGGTGGATAGGGAACGTTCGTGCGCCTCGTCCATAATGATTGCCGAATAGCCATCCAAGTCGGGATCCCTTAAGCTCTCGCGCAATAAAATACCATCAGTCATGTATTTAATGACCGTTCGCTCTGAGGTGCAGTCCTCGAAACGTATCGCATAGCCCACATCTTCGCCTGCAAATATTGGAGAGTTACTTGGGGAGCTGATCAGTCTGACAGTCTGTGTGGACTTACCTAGTTGGGTGTCCATTTCATCGGAGACGCGCTTGGCCACAGACATGGCGGCCACACGACGTGGCTGCGTGCATCCAATCATGCCCAGCTTGCTGTAACCATCTTCGTGGAGATACTGTGTGAGTTGTGTGGTTTTTCCGCTGCCTGTCTCGCCCACAATAATGATGACCGAATTCTCTCGGATGACGTTGAGCAGCTCCTGGCGCGAAGCGAATACGGGCAGGTAGCGACGCTGCTCCGAAATGGTCTTCTTGCGGGAGAACTCGCTTTTGCCACTCGAGTCTTGGTCGCGCATATGATCGGCAAATTTTTGATCCTTGCGGTAATCGGCCGTGTCGCTGTCCTTGTCGAACTTGGCGTCCTCATCGTCCTGTGGACGCTCAATGCCCATAATGTTGCCCAGCTTTGTGCCGCCCAACTCCCAGTGCTTCTTCTGGGCTTTCCGACGTTCCTTTTGTTCGCGATACGTGCGAACGAGAGCGCTGCCTTTGCGTGCCAGCAGCGCCATGTCCGAGGTGGGATCTTTGACGGGCACAACCGGCTCTGGTTGCTTTGTGAATACAATGCGACCGTCCAAAAATGGCGGTATGATGTGATGCACCAGCAAATGGACACGTTCCAGGGCCTCCTCGTCAAAGTCGTCGTTCACGTTAATGGATGTGACGACGCCGGAGGTGAGCATTCGATTGCGCTCCCACAGTTCATTGTCACGATTATTCTGTCGCTGCTGCGCGCTGATTCGCTTGGTGCGTCGCTGCTCCAGTTGCTCCTCACGCTTACGGAAGTATTCCGAATTGGTGCCGGAGAAGGGATTGTGCTCATCATCGTACCCCTCGTCTATATTATACCACTCGCGATCCAAACGTCGCTGCTCCTCTTCCCACAGATCTTGTGACTCACGATCCTTGCCCCAAGGCGTGGCACCGCTGTGTTTGCGGTCTGGAGCCCATTGATTATATCGATGAGCCGGTGTTGGACGCTGTGTATTATCATGATGCCGACGACTGCTGCGATTGTGGGAGCTGCTGAAGCCGCTGCTATTGCTTCGTGCGGACCATTCGCCTTTCTGGCCGCCACCACCACTGCCACGTGGCGTTGGGAAGTCCCAGTCCGATTTGCGGCCACCAAAGCTATCGCCATCCTCGTCGTCCCATGAACTGTTCGAAATGCCACCACCACCTGGTGTAGCCGGTTCTCGGGGTGTGCGCACGCTGCGCACTGACGAGGAGTGCGAGCGACTGCGATGCCTGTCTTGGTCTCTATAACGATCACGATCGCGTTCCCGGTTCCAATGCCTGCGATTGTCATCGTATCGTTCACGGTGTCTGTCGCGATCCTTATCCCGTCCACGGTCACGTTCCCGATGGCGCTGATCGCCAGTTGACGATGATGAGGTTTCCTCGCGAGTGGTGCACCGAACCCCTCCAGCTTTGTTTCTATCGCGGTGAATGTGCTCACGTAGACGCTCACGCGCTTTCTCCGACACACCACCTGTGTGCGAAGGCGTCTCGTCCTTGTGCTCGCGTAGCTGACGACTCAGTTTTTCAAAGCTCTTTGTATCCGGCTTCTTGAAGGCAAATTCACTTGTTGAGGCCGCTGCCGGTGTGTTTACCTGAGGGGAGGCAGAGCCAGCTAGATCATCATATTCGTTATCATGGAACGAGATTAGGCGTTGAGAACTCTCCTTTTCAAGGCGTCGCTTGGCTGCTAACTTGTCCAGGCCCAGAAGGGAACCCTGAGGAACTTTGAAGCTACTACCGGGGGCGCTGTCCTTTGGCTTTTTCAACACTAGCCCACCACGCACCTCCTGCCCAGCTGTGCCCTCAAGCCGATGCATCTCTGCATCTTCGTCATCCATGCTATTACCGCTATTAACAATATTAGATCCCGCAACTATTTAATTATTAACAAAATGCGTTATCTTCTATGCCAGCCCACACAGCTGATGGGAACGCGATACCGATACCAATAAAAAAAACATTTTACAGCACTGCTTGCGCGGTCTGCAGTTCCATCATCACTATTCTTGGTAACACACACACATGCAAACGCATGTGGCCATTAGGACATGTAAATGAAAAGATACCCGGTTGTTGCATCCTTTCGCCCGGAATTGATAACCCTTTTTATGATTTTGTAAAAGAAATATAACGCTTCTTCATGCTTTGGTTACAAAATATGCATATATTTATTTAAATTCGCCTTTAAACTTTTGCTTTGCCGGTTAGTCTTTGTTCTCCTCTCCCTTTGCTGGCACTGTAGATGCAATCCAATTGAGGTACGGTGTATTTCCGTTCTCTATGGGAAGCGATATGACCTCTGCCACACTATAAGGATGATTTTCGCGTACATGTTTGGTGAGATCATCAACGCGTTCCGTGCGCGTTTTAATCATCAACAGGTATTCGTTGTCCTCGTTGACTTTACCTTCCCACATATAGATGGACTCGATCTGTGGCACAATGTTAACACATGCCGCCAGTTTCAATTCAATAATGCTGCGCGCCAAGTTCTTGGCCGACTCCTTGTCTGGTGTAGTGACAAAAGCAACGGAGCTGGTGCCGGCCTCATAGTTCGTTGGCCAAGAACAAGCTTGAGTGGAGCACATCTTTCTGCCGCCACCAGTGAGGGGCAGATACGGTTTACAAACGTTAACGCTAACACTGGAGCTGGAACGACTTGGTATTGCAAACGCAACACACAGCAGACCACGAGCGATTAACCAGCGGATGGATAGGGACTGCAGATTGCTCAGATAACGCATTTAGTGCCAACGCACTTTGTATTTCTTTTTTTTTCTGAAAAAAGACAAGACCGCGGGCAAAGGTAACGAACGTTTCGGCGAAAATAACAACAAATCATGCCAATGAACTGCTACGGTACTGCCATACAATGCAACGTATTTTCGTGCTGCCACACATTGCAACGTGTGCTGGAGCTGCCACCCTGTCAAAAAAGTAATGCTGCCGGCTGCAAACTGTTACAATTAGCTATTAATTGCATTGTTAATTTAAATCGGCATGTCCCATAAATCGCAGAAATTTGGAAAGCTGCAGCAACAGTTTCTTTGTTGCTACCCCCTCAATAAAATCGATTGGGCGGTAAGAATTAGCCAGAGCTTCGCGTTTTCTCTCAAAACTATTGCACGTTTTTCTGTGTTCCCCCCTCCAATAGAGCTTGGAACTACCCGTTGATCTTGAAACCCAAGAAGAGCTCATGTTGGCGACTTTTGCGCATCCTTTAAATCGACGTTGGCCCGTGCGGCGCAAGTACAAAGAGGCGTTCATTAAACGTCTGCTGGAGCTGCTTAAAGACGAGGAAGAGGTGCACGATGGCATATACAATAGTCTCTGTGGCCAATTGGTGTGCGAAGCTGCCGTGCCACAACTGTATGATTATAAGCATTACGTGCTGTCGCATCCCTACGAGACGACTATAACGCTTCGCGAGTCTAGCAGCTTTGTCAGCGAAGGCACCACCGGCCTGTGCACTTGGGAGGCTGCTTTGGCGCTGTCCGACTATTTGCTACAAAATAAAAATGTAGCTGAGCATAAAAACATAATCGAATTGGGTGCGGGTGCTGGTCTATGTGGCATTGTGCTCAAGAAGTGTCTGCTGCACGTTCAAGAGGTACTCTTAACGGACGGCAGCGAGCCATGTGTGCAGCTTATGCGCGAAAATATAGCTTTGAATTTTCACAACGCTGTGGATCAACAGCCGCCACAAGTTGCTTTGCTGCGCTGGGATGAGGTCGAAAGCTTTCCGTGGGCGAAATATGCTGCACCCGATCTATTACTGGCTGCCGATGTCATATACGATGATTCTCAGTTCGAAGCTCTGCTGTCAGCCATGGATTACATCTTTGAAATGCGCGATAATCGTATTGAAATGCTGTTGGCTAGCACCGTACGCAATACGGCAACGATGGCGAAGTTCCTAGATAAGTTAGGTGGGTCCTTCTCAATTAAATAACCAATATTTGTTATTCATGGGATTTTTTTCAGATACGAGAAACTATAAAATTACTCCATGCGCCAGTACGCAGCAAGAGGACAGTCTTTTCTGTCGCGACTATACGACAGAAGTAAAGATTGTGTGCATCACGCGTTAGCTTCGAAAGCTGAATACAGAACGAAAGAAAAGGCAGTAGTTTCTCTCACTATGATGTATGTATGTACTAAAGCGTAGAAATGAAATTGAATGACCATCAATCTGCCTTTATTTATACATTTTACAATTATTTGGGAGCATCAACTGAAGCAGCATTTGGCCAAACAACTGCACTAATCATGAGACTCTATAATACTAAAATATGTGATACCATTTGCACTGTTCATTGTTTAATGTTCCATCGAGGAGCTGATTGTTGGTATCTTGCCCTCGTTTAGCCAAGCCACGTTCAACTGTTCAATCTGATGCTCCAAAAATATAATGCCGCAGACGGTCTTCTGAATGTCGAGGAGGCTCATGCGATATGTGCGCGGAACCTTAATGGCCACAACAATTGCTAGCAGTGCCGTAATAATCATAAAAACGAACCCATGTGCCATTATAGTGCCTTTGTCAGTGAGGTAGAAGAACGATTCTTTCGAATCGTAAACAAAGTAATAGTAAATCAGGCCGGTGCTCAGCAATTTCAATATATAAGACACCGAAATGGCGCATTCAGTGAACCGTAAATGCGCAACTTCGATGAGAGCGACTTGAAGGCTGGCATGCGACAGTCCGAAGAAGAAAATAAGCACGCAAAATGGTATTTTTGTCTGCACAGATGTGCAAATAATCAGACTGAGCACTGTGAGGACTATGAGGCATAGCTGCGAGAAAACAAAGTTGATTTTCACCGAAAAGAATCGCAAACTTATCGTGCCCGTAACGCCGCCAGCGAACAGCATCCAAACCATTATATGGATAAGTCCTGGCTCGGTCAGCTGCATGGATGTGTTCAGACTAAACCAGAACAAAAAATATATGAAGAGTGCATATTGTATAGCCTCGGTGAAGAGCACAACCAAAAGCACATTCCACTGCTGATTTTTGGTCACATAGAAAAATTGCGTCCGCTTAATTATTTCCTGGCGTTTATCAAAGACAGTGCCATTCAAGTTGGCAATTCGCAGCTCATCGTCCCGACTATTCGCCACATCCACATGCCCCAAAAAGTTGAGCACTTTCAGCGAAATGTGCAGCGCCAGAAGGACAGCCGCCACGCACAAATATGTGGCCGCGAAATTTATATAGATGCCATCAGTGAGCTGTTGCCCTGGATAATCCCGCAGATTCTTTTCATACGCAGCGTGTATGAGACTCACTGCCGTCGCCAAACCCAACAGATAGAAACTGCAGCAGCTGGATAGGAATAGTGCGCGACTCATTTTAGAGCACATGCTCTGTAGGAAGCTGAAGCCAGCCACAAAGCTAATGCTGTGACCAACATATGCAATGAATGCGCCAACATAATCTGCAAATTAATAAAAGATTCAAGAATAATTGAGGCCATACTTGACTGGCAATTGACAAGGACTTACCGAAGTCTTTGCCAAAAAAGAAACAACTGGCTATTAAATGGAATATCCCTCCAACAAGCAACAACAGCGGCTGCCAGAAGATAAGGCGAGAACGCATAAACTTTAAGGTCAGCATGGAGAGTGCCACAATAAGGCTAATGCCGGCGCCCAGAATCAACGGGCCATATGCAATGAGGCCTACATGAATATTCCTTTCAGCCACAAAGGCGCATATCGTATAGCCAGTGACGAGGCCACAAGGTAGAAAGCATAAGCACGCTGCAAATCGGGAGCTTTATGTAACACAACGAGTCAAATTCTAGGGAAAAAGACTACTGACCAACTACGCTGGGCGCGTATTCAAATATTTTGTGCAGAAACTTTTGCCACAAATTTGACATTTTTCCCATGATTTCTTGTGAAGCCGTCCGCTGCTTGTTGTTCGTTTTACCACATTCTTGAGTGAGGAGGTGGTCATCGACAGATGGCTAACTCTTTTGGTTTGGTCAAAACACATCCAGCACTTGCAGCACATATGTATGTAAGAAGCAAGGCAATAGCCGAGCAATTGTCGCAGTTGATTAGATAAGATAAGCAAGAGAGGCAGGCGACTATTTGGCTTAGCCACAGATAAGCTCGAGGCAATATAGTGTGAGAATATGTTGAATATGAGCATAGGTAAGAGATGGCCCCGTATCGTGATCAAAAGCAATCGTGAGTTCAAACAGAACATCAAGAAACTTCACGACCTCCCGCAAAAATGAAATGAATATACCAAAATATTTGCATTGAAGATAATTGAAGAGTAAGCTGATAGATGAATTGCAAAAAGTGCTTTAATGTGCGCCTTACCCCTTCTCTCAGCAATCTCATTCAGTAGTGGAGAATCTCATTCTAAACAAAATGCCCACAAACTTAACGAAATGCTAAAAAGCAAGAGCAAGCAAATAATTGCGCTATCTAAAAGCCCTCAAAAGGTTTCCCAACAAGGCTATGAATCATTTGTGCACATCTACTCTTCAATTCACAGGGAATCTAAAGTCGGGTGCTTTAGTTAACTAGCTTAATCTGTTCATAAGTGGAGCCACTCCTAATCCGATAAGATGTCTCAGCAGACAGGGCTATGAGTCAACTTTAGTGATAAAGGTTTCACCTCGAAAAAGCTGCATCTATTAACTTTGAAGTTTGTTTTCTGCCTCTCTTCAAAATAAACAAATATAGATGACATGCAAAACACATACATATATCAACAAAATATAAGATCTTATCTGTAATATAGGATATAAAGTATGTGGAGAATGCAATAAAAAAAATCTTTTTACCATTTTGATAATATGAGGTTTGTTGTAAATCCAGTAACAATCCTACTATCTCCACTGTTACATCTTTGAATTGGTCACAACAAGAATTAGTTTATAACAATATATAATGTACAAGGGTAGATTAATAAGTAGTCGTGTTTGAAATAAAGACTAATTTTTTCAATGTTTTTGTTTTTTTGTATTTTCAAACTTTGTCTTCTTTAAGGCTTATAGACTTTTCCCAAAGTTGGTGCCATTTGCTGAACCCAAACTATTATTTGAGCTGATTTTTTTTTTCCGTCGAACCATATTTTCAAATCAGCGCATTGAACAGACAAGACGCTGGCTGCCAGGTCGGGCTGACAGATATCCTGGCCATTCTTCATCGAAACCATTTGTAGACTCGTTGAACCAATACTTCACGGTTGTCGGAAATGGGGAAAGGTACACATAGACAGTATTTAATGTAACTTTTATTTCTTCGCGTGTTGTTGCATCCAAAATTAAAAACTAATTACGATATTGATATTGTATGTATGTCCTTTTTGCTGATAAATGCAAAACACGTGTAATTAAAGAGTTTTTTGGTAGTTTTTAATCGATCGACCTAATAGAATGGTCCAGTAAAAATTTCTAATCAATGCCCACTGTCGTCAAACACGGGTATTTATTGATGGGTTTGCCGTTTTCAAGTACTACACCGCGAAAAACTATTACTCAAAATTTGTGATGAATCATAGCATATTCTATAGGAATATAATGGTTAAAATCAATCATATTATCGCAGCAATCGTTAACATAATAACAACCAGAATCTTGCGCCTCCGGCTCTGATCACTTCTTTCCGCCAGCTCTTGCGGACTACACTTCATGCCCTTAAGCATTTCTTCCCAATTGGCTTTTTCATCATCTGCAATTTTGAAATCAGATGTGTGGCTGTTATAAGTATAGCCTATTCGCATTCCATATCCTTACCCTCTACCTCGATCGGCTTCAGCGACATAGTTTCTCGTTTGTTGGTTTTAATGCTACTGCTGAGTATATATGTACATACTATGTACTAAACATACATAGTTCTGTTGTGGGTCAGCACAGAAGAAAGCTGCACAAAACGAGCTTTGATTAAACAAGCTAATTGTTACACCCAAACAAAGAAAATGTGATTCATGGCATTACGAATATAGGTCCGCTTTTAAGTTGTTTATCGGTTTGTCCCGACCACAATGCGATACTACGAATCACACCCATATACTGTGTAAAAATATAATAGTATGATCCTGAAATCAAGCTGGTGTTTCGGTTCAGACAATTTGTCATTATAATTTCCATTCTATTTTCGGCATTGTGTACAGTTTTCTTCTTCTTTTTTTTTTACAATATCCGAATTTACAGAAGTACGTTTAGTTTAATAATGCTAATTCTTTTGGCATATCTGATGGATAAGTAAACACCTTTTTAAGAAAACTTTTGTGTCTCAAGCCGAATTAATTTCCACAACCGCCATATCCGCCTGACTTAGCGCCGAATTGCAGAAAGTATAGAGTTAGTTATAATTATTATTACTTTGCTGGGCGATTTTCTGTTGACGATTTGACAAATTATTGGTTTATTTCGCTTGTATTTAAATGCAATATGATGTATTGAAAGATCATTCGAGAATGAAATCAATGGTGAATCGTGTTTGTGGAATTGAAAAAATGCAATGTTGTAATGCATTGTATATATAGTATATATTTCACACTTGAGGCTATATTACGGAAGAATCTTTTAAATCGTATGCGATCTACCATCTGATACCTTATTCGATCTTGACTTAGATCCTTTAGGATCACGACTTAGCACTGATGGGGATGGCTGATGTATATATCCTATCGTATTCTATTAATCAATAACCAAATGTATTTTTCTTTTGTTTTAAACTATTATTAACATTTTGGTCAAAACTCGAAGTAATATTTAAATCATGCTTTAAGCGATGATGGTAGCGCCGTGATTCGAACCGAGTCATATACTCAGGAGCTATGCCAAGCCCCAAAATAGTTTATGGAATTGAAAAATAGTTTATGCGAATTAGTAGTAGTTTCTTTTAAAATGAAAAGTATTTCATGGAAATGTATCGTTTAGGATAGAATTCACAGTATTGTTTATATACAGGGCAGGAAGAAGAAGACGACACCGACAAGACAGAAGCAGCAGCAGCAGCAGAATTTAATTTAATAAATCGAATAACAGGGAATGTTATAGTCGAGAATGTCCGAAATAGCTAATCCGAATCCGCTCCTGAATTTTTGGGGGGCATACATTTGTTTCGCTTATAACGTCTCTTAGCGCTTAGGGCTCAGGCTTTCCCCAAGACGGACAGATGGACCGACTAGACCGATTTGTTTTCGTCATGCTGGTGAAAGACTTACTATTAAAGGCTTAAAAAGTCGATATACTTGTATATTGTTCATAAAAAGAAACGCAATTTTTGCGAAAATTGATTTATTCATGAACTTCCAATACCTTAGACCTAAACATTTGTATATAAAATAGTTACAGATTGTTAACTAAATGGGATAAACTTACACAGAAATAAGTTGTGGTACATAGACGAGTGATTCGCGGTAATTCGAAAAATACGGGCACGGCCTGCATCAGAACTTCTCGTTGTCTGAAACGGCTGGGTATTGCTGGAAGACTCGACTCTTGGCCACGTGGATAGCCTGGAACTCGTTGGATCTCTTGTCGTGGGCCAGAAATTGGTTGGAACGCCAGAATTGGGACTGCGCGTCCGGTTGCGGCAGTCGTCGAACACCCAACAGTCGATTCCGTATATCCACGAGGCTGGCGGACTGCGGCAAGAGCCATTGGACAAGTGGAACGGCAAGCAGAGTCAGCAACAAGGCTGTCACACTGCTGGCCAATAAAGCCCGCCATTGATTGTCCACGCGGGTCTCGTACTTATAGCCCTCGAGCACGGCTAGCTGCAGGGCTAGGCTCGTGGCCAGAGCCAGTTCCGTGTAGAGAAACGGAGTGCACTCGAGCAGCAGCTGGAGAGCATGGCTGGACAGGACGCCCAGCGTAGTGTAGATGAAGCAGAGAAAGAGGAAGCAGTGCTCCGACTGCTGGTCATCGTAAATGCACAGCAGAGCCACCACCAGCGTGAGAAATATCAGACCAAAGAGCATGTACACCAGCTTGGGTGTGTAGCGGAGCAGGAGCAGTGTGCCGAGTAGGCAGCCAGCGGCGTAGATGGCGAAAGGCGCATACAGCTGAGCCCGCTCCAAATAAGCTGTCGTCGCACTCCACATGAGATGCAGATAGACGGGCGAATAGATGCAGCAACAGCGCTGCAACAACATCACGATCCCGCCCAGCAAGAGGACTCGCCACTGGCGACTGGGCAGCAACTGATGGTCGTTGCGATCCACAAACTGTGCCAGAATTGCTCGGCGCGGCAGGAACACCAATCGCTCCTCATTGAGCAGCTGAAAGACCAGATCCGGACTCTGCTTATAGTTGTGCCATCCCAGATGCTGAAGCAGCTCGTTCAGACAAACGCCCACTACCAGAAGCAGAGCTACACTCAGCCCAATCAGTCCGCAGTGTTGCGGCTCGAACTCATTGAAGATGATGAAGCCCGCACAGAGACCACAAGCATGCGCCGCATTCCCAAACGCTATTCGAGCTGGACGCACACCGGTCGCGCTGCTCCGGAGGCTGATAAAGCTGAAGCATGCAATGTACAGTATGCCCAGACCAATGAAGCTGAAGTAGTAACTGACGGCTGCAAGGATAATCAGGCAATAAGGGGACGTTTTAGGCCACATATTTGAAGTAAATTCTTCAGTTCGTCTGTATGAACCATCAAATCTTGTAAACCATAATAGCTACTGACCCTAAACTTCCTACAAGGACTTCTCTTATTAATGTACACATTAGGTTTATTTCAAATCGCTATTGCTTTATATATGTACGTAGTAGCTGCTTTAAGCATCTTTAAGCATCTGTGCAAAAACGGAAATTTGTACCAATTTTTGTTTTTACGATATCATAGCGAATCATAATTTAAAGTTTTGTATAAATAGTATAAGAAGTGCAATCAATATATTTTTTTTTTTTGTTAAAGACATTTAAACCAAATAAAGTTGTATCGAAAACGAAGTACTATGTTATATAACTGATATACTATAAATCAGTGAAAAAGCACTCTGTTCGAAAATTTGTTGTGATTACAAACATTGTTTTTATAGGTTTACTGAAATTTTATTTAAGTTGGTGAGGTATACTATACAGTAAAAATTCTAAGGGCAATGTCCGCTTAAGAGGATACTTAAATACAAGTACTTAGTACACTACTTAGTACTTAGTACTTATACTTAGTACAAACGTTCTAGACTGGGTACAAAAAGTGTCCATTAAGAGAGTTTCCACTGTACTTTATAGCTGCCATAGAAACGATTGGTGCAAATAGCACCAAGAATGTTTTAATTGATTGAGAGTAAGGGGGCTTTTCTGAATTCGGACTTGGGCCAATATTTTCATTTCGATCTGATTCATCATTTTCGTTTATAATTTTCAATTCCAGTTGATTTGATTGCTGATTTAATAGCCCTTGTTGATTTCTTGTTGGTTTGTTTAGGCGATAGTATTGATATATAGTACAAGACTATTTTATATGCTGATTAACCGAATACCTATAGGTATATATGTATGTTACCACTTATCGCAAATTGAAGCCAAGATTGGGAAAGCAAGAAAATTGAAGCAACCTACAACGGTCTTATATAAAGAATTTCATATTTATTTAAATGATCATTCTGTGATAATTAAACCACAGAATTCAATCTAGAAAATCTGATCCTTTCATTCTTCACAAAGGTTTTCTACAGCTACTCCTGAGTTTAGTCCACGACCTTATCTTGAGGTATGATAGCTAACATAAATTTCCTCCGCGTTTCTTTAACAAACACTCTTCTATACAAGTTTTGAAATGGTATTAGTGATACTGTCGTTCTTTTCTAAATTACAAGTAGTTAGAAGCACTTATTTTTATTGGGATAGGTCCCATTGAACAGTTCTTATGGTGGGATATTGGAAAACTCACCCAGTTGCTTGCTCAGCATAAAGCAGCTGCTCAAAAGCTGGCAGAGAAGTCCATAGAATATGATATAGTAGTGATCAAAACTGTAGCGCTGCTTGCGGTGCTTTCGAAATGTCCAGATCAGGGCCAGGGCGAAGGCCATTATGCCGCCCAGCAGAGAGTACCAATGCTGCCATAGATTGTCATAGGCAAAGGCATATTTCAGATAATAGCCAAACGACAGTCCACACTCCCAAAGGCAGCAGAGAACTGCAAGAAGAATTGGAGAAGGAGAAGCAACGATCAAGGATTATAGAGACATCTCCGTAAAAGCAACCAGTACCAAGCAAATCGGGTAGGCAGAACATGCCGCGGACGCGTTCCCACACACTAACCGATAGTGGCAACATTGAGGGCAACCACTATGGAATCCAGAAGAGCTCTGTGCACATCACACCAGCAGATGCGAATGCATTGGGACGGCCTTCCCGCATCTCTGCCCCCAAACGCCAAACAAATGGGCGAGGTTGGCTATAATTATCGCCAGATAGCGCATCTTGTTCGAATGCCGTTCAAAATGCCGCCGCAAGCACCACCAACCAGCACCACCGACGCAATCGCAATCGCTGCGCCGCTCAAGATAAGATAACCGACAACTCAAAAAACATGCAACGCCATAATTAAAAAATAATGATGTACCAACTCAGGCCCTCCAATGAGTCTAAAACGTAAATAGTTGCGGCATCGCGCGAGCTTCGCTGTCACATGAATCATCTCGAATACTTGTATCAATGAATACGTCTGCGTGACTAGGCTCCAAGCCCATCTGGATTTATTGTTGCCTCTACGAGTTATAATGGGCTTGATTTTCAACCCATATAGATTGATCTTTCATCTTGAAGTCTGTCTGCAATTCGTTGCTCGTTTAAGTTTTCCATAAAATATGTAAGAACCTACGTTATAATACATGTATATACAAGTATTTAAAAGATGTTTCCCTGATTTCCCGCATGCATCAAAGAATGTTTAATTCTCACAAAATATGTTGGAAAAAAGTCTAAGCAAGTGTTGTAACTCCACTCCAAATGTGGGACACACATGAAATTCGTTGTTCGTAGTTTTGCAAAAAAAAAAAAAAAAAATTATGGTACTTTTTATACCCTGTACCCGTAGGGTAAAAAGGGTATATTAGGTTTGTGCAAAGTATGTAACATGCAGAAGGAAGCATCTCCGACCCCATAAAGTATATATATTTTGAATCAGCATGACGAGAGAAATCGATCTAGGCATGTCCGTCCGTCCGTCCGTCCGTCCATCTGTCCGTCCGTCTGGATGAACGCAAGGATCTCAGAAACTATAAAAGCTAGAATAACCAAAGTTGGCGTCCAGATTCTCCTAGATCCGAGAAAGGACGAGTTTTTTTTTTTTTAATTTTCCCCCAATTCCCCCGCTACAGAATTTCGTCAGTAGCATCCACATTTCAAATGCTACCTAAACCAAACTTTGCACACATAATTTATATATAATTTTTACTGTTGCTTAAAATATTATTCAATTCGGTAAATTCTAAGAAAAGTTATTAGCGAAACAAATTCTCGCCAGTACAACCCCCACAAACTGCAGCAACAAGTTCGCTCTTCTTCTTCCTCTTTTTGCTGCTGCTATGGGCGCATATAACTCAGTGACGGAAGTTTACCTGGGTACAGGGTATTTCACTGTCGGGCTTGCTCGACTGTAGCGTTCTCTCTTGTTATATATTCAATAGATTATATATACAAAGATTATATATTCAATAGATTATACATATGTTTATTCCATAAATGAAGCTGAGATCTATAGCTTATAAAAGAATGAATAGTTTTCACGTTTTAAAATATTGGACATGAGTTTTATATATATGTATAGCTTTTTACAATATGCTGCTGAGATCTACAGTTAGTTTGATTCCCTTAAAACACAAAACATTGATTCAAGAAAAGGTATTTACAGTATTGTAACTAGCTTGCACCTAATCTATCAACAAATTTTCAACTACTGGTAGTTAATTTAAAAAATAATTCCTATTCCTTTTCATTCCATGTTTAGTGAAAATCATTATGAAAACGAGTCATTAGCAATTCTTAAGCGAATAATATTGGCAATAAGCATGCTTTTCCCTTTTTCAAAGTAGTCTTTACCCAAAAAATTAAACAAAAATCAATTTAATTGAAATGCTTCATAATATAAAAATAAATAAAATACATAGCTGCAGACTAATTTTGCAAAATTTTCACAAATTTCTCTGCATAGCCATCTTCAGTATTTATTAAAAAAATAACCATTATTTTCATTCAATTTATTCTCTTGGCTATTATTCTGCTTGAAATCTATTAATTTTCGAACTCTTTTCAAATTCTTTGCCATATTGCCGATCAATTTACATTTCTATTTTGAACGAGCAGTGCCAGCTCGACCCAACATATTTCCAGCTACATCCATATCATGAAGTAGAAATCTCTTATGTAAAAAAAAGTCGTGACTAATAGTGATTTTTCTACCGTTTCTATGATATAGAGCACTGATTTTGATTAAACTTTAAAATACCGTGAGACATTATACGAAGCTCACTCATTGCTTTAGATCTCTTCATAAACGAGAGTGTTTTTTCTACCAGTTGGTCCCATAACAGCTTTATAAAATAATCTTTCAGCTCGTATATATGGTTTGCAATAAACTTCATCTGTGTGTGGATAAGACAAGTCTATATACCAAGGTCGGTGTTCGTAACTATTATGGTTGAAAAGTTATCGATGGTCATACAGACGAACAAATCTATGTCTATATGGATTCGTCTATTCATGCTATGTACACATAACATGGGGCCTGTCAAGCCTCCTTTTGCGCTTTTCCTACAATTGGCTTTTAGACTTTCTAGTATACAGGGCTTAATATTAACTTCATTATATGTAGAATGTAAAGTTTTTTATAGGAAAACTTTTTTAGAAGAACATTTTCTGAATGCAAATTTCTTGTAAAACATTTCGATTGCCAATTGTTTTGAATGGACAGTTTCGATAGCAACTCCAAATTTCTCTTGTCCCGATTGTATTAGCGGAGCCAGAAAGCCAAATGGAGAGAATCGAAGAGTACGGAAAAGGAATGCGCCTGCGCTCGAAAGCGCCTTCCGGCACGCTCATCCTGGGGGCATTTCCACTTCCCCCACCAACAACAACAATAACAGCGGCATTGTACTTGCCTCTATGTGTGTGTTATCCCTTTTATCCCCAACTGTCACTTCCGCAATTTCGTTGCGCAGACAACGCGAAGGCCGCGCATTAAGTGGAAAACGTTTAGAGCGTTTGGGAGTGCAGGATTCAGGGGGAGGTAGTGTGTGTGTGTGTGTTTCGTGGACGGAATAAGCCGCGGCGGTTTTTCACGCTGCTGTTGTTGTTGCTGTTCAATATAAATAAATTTTCATCAGAATGAAAATGGAATCGTCGCGCAAATGTAAATAAATGCATCCATTTTGTAGGCTACTTTAAAAGTTTTGGGCCAGCCTGCTGCTGCTCCCCACTCGTATGTGCGATGGATAGGAGGGAGCCGTGTGTGGACACCACCGCTGGGAATTGAGTGCCAAATTGAAATGCTTATCAATATTTGGTTTAATAATTTAAGCAGTCGCGCCCTGGCCATCGCTTTGGTGCTCTGCGTGGTCGTCGTTTACTTCTCCTACAGCTTCAATGCCTGCCTCTTTGCCAGCATTAGTCGAACGCTGCAGAAGGTGAGTGTGTGGGAGTGCGTGGGAGGGTGTGGGAGGGTGTGGGGTGGAGGGGGCAGGGGTGCAGGGGTGCGATGTTAACAGCTGGTGGCGACTGCCTAACCCGCCAATCTATCTACACTTACAGAGCAACTTACGCAATTTCTTGGCCCCGTTAACAGTAACGCGCACCGACAACGCCACCACCACCAACAACAACAACAACAACAGGAACAACAACGCCAGCAACAACAGCCGTGGGAGCGGCAACAACACCAGCACCACCAGCAGCAGCAACAACAACACCCACAACACCAACTTCTCGAGCAACTATAACATAAACAATATCAGTGTGGATAGCCCCTTAACTGGCCATGATGGTGCCCCAAAATATCAGCTGCTGCGACAGCAAGGACTGCGTCCATCGCGCCATTTGCCGGACACACTCATCATTGGTGTTAAGAAGAGCGGCACACGGGCTCTGCTCGAGTTCATACGCCTCCATCCGGATGTGCGCTCAGCCGGCTCCGAGGTGCACTTTTTCGACCGACACTATCAGCGCGGCCTGCGCTGGTATCGCCATCACATGCCCTACACCATCGAGGGGCAGATCACCATGGAGAAGACGCCCAGCTACTTTGTGACCAAGGAGGTGCCGCAACGCGTCTATCACATGAACACGGCCACCAAGTGAGTCCCCCTACTCTACTGGCTTATCAATCCGGTTCCTTATATTAACAATCGAGAGCTCAGTTTTTTCCGAATGCTGATTCCAGATATTTTGCATTTCTCCTATAACTCGTATGTCATTGATTAATTATTTTATTTATTTTTTTATTTATTAATTAATTTATTTATTAATATTTTTGGAGAAAAAAAGAAAGCAACTGCTTTGGTTAGATTGTAATATTAAGCTTGAGCTCTTGCTTCCATTTACCAAAATCCTCTACCTTGCGGAGAGTTGAAAAAATCCCATCAGATCAAAATAAACGTTGCTGGAATTTTTCGGTTCGAGTTCTAATTCCATAAAAAACTTCTACATTCTATATCAGAGGGTTGAAATGTAGGTATTGTAGCAAAATTGATGTCTTAATCCTTCAAATATTGTAATAACAGGAACCACAATTACAAACGATCAACTGTTCTAAGATTGATTGGGATTTTGGTTCCATATAGCAACATAAACGTTTCAGTTTTTTAATCCTTTAAATTGATCTTTAATTCTTCAAATATTGAAATTTATGTCTTAATCCTTTAAGTATTGAAATAACAGGAGCCACAATTAAAAACGAACAACTGTTCTAAAATTGATTGGGATTTTGGTTTCATAATTAGCTTCTACGTTAAATATCAAAAGCCTGGCAACATAAGCGTTTCAATTTTTTAATCCTTTAAATTGATCTTTAATTCTTCAAATATTGAAATTTATGTCTTAATCCTTCAAATATTGTAATAACAGGAACCACAATTGAAAACGAACAACTGTTCTAAAATTGATTGGGATTTTGGTTCCATAATTGGATTCAATAATGAGCTCCTATGTTAAATATCCAAAGCTGATGTTAGCAACATAAACGTTTCAGTTCTTTCAAAAATATTGCCATAACGGGAATCTCCACCCGAAGTCGTCATTTTTAAAATGGGGGAAGCTAAGGTTCTCCAACGGACACGAATATTTCCAACATAAGCTAATTTTATGGTATTATTTTTCCCTATCCATATGCTACTTATACGTTGAAATTCCCCAATCATTTTTTACGAACTCGTGTGTCAACTTTTCTATTTTTAATTTCTTATATTCTTGGGGGGCCAAAGAAGTTTCTTTCTCCCAAATTTCGCCTGAAAACCAATTCTCGTTGCCACAGAAATCTTTTTTGGGATTTTGGAAAAACAGTCTAGAGTTTTCTGGGGAACCCCTGATTGGTTTTAAACAATCACAATTATATAGGGTCCATTATATTTTCTACACATAATTTACCTTCTAAAGTCTCAACATTTCCACCTTCTCCTGCAGGCTGCTGATTGTGGTTCGCGATCCTGTGACGCGTGCCATATCGGATTATACGCAGGCGGCGAGCAAGAAGACCGACATGAAACGCTTTGAGGAGCTGGCATTTGTGAATGGCTCCTATTCGGTGGTGGACACCAATTGGGGGCCCATCAAGATTGGGGTTTATGCACGCTATCTGGAACGCTGGCTCCTCTACTTTCCGCTTTCGCAGCTGCTCTTCATTAGCGGCGAGCGTCTGATTATTGATCCAGCGTATGAGATTGGCAGAGTGCAGGATTTTCTGGGCCTGAAGCGTGTCGTCACAGAGAAGCACTTCTATTTTAATGCAACCAAGGGCTTTCCTTGTCTCTTCAAATCGGAGGCACGGTCCACGCCCCATTGCCTCGGAAAGACTAAGGGACGGAATCATCCCCATATCGATACAAATGCCATTGAACGACTGAGGGAGTTCTACAGGCCGTTCAATAACAAGTTCTATCAATTGACGGGCATCAATTTTGCCTGGCCCTAGGGGAGAGGGGGTATAGAAGGGTACTGAGACTGGATGGTATAGCCCGTCATCTCCCTACACTGGTCGCTGTTATTGCGGGATTGCAACTTTTGACTGATATTGTTGACTCGCTGCGTTTTTGATATATACATACATACATATACATATATTATACATATGTACATGCATAGATTATATACAAACAAACAAACATACATACATACACATATATAGTTATATATAGTATACATACATAGCCTAGTTGAATATGTATTACGAAACGTAATTACGTCTGTGCTCAATTAATACGTCTAGCTTTATCAAAAAAAAAAAAAAACAAAAACAAAAAAAAAAACTCCAAAGCAATTCAACGAATTACTTACTACGGTTCCTTTCAATGACGCTCCTACGCACAATAATTAATAAAACAACAGACTTACATACATACTATACATAACTGAGCCTAAGCACAACCACACACATACATACTTAGATACATAAATACATACATATATATACACCATGTACGAGTATATATCAAATATTTGCATATAGAAGAAATAGAGCTTACAACGAAATTCCTAAACAGACACGCCTCCAAATTATTATAGAGACTACCAACCAATCCAATATCCTATTCAATGCATACATACATACATACATACGAGTACATGAGGCAACACTTTCTAGTCTGCAAATACATACTTACATAGTATACTATACATAGTTCAAGATACTTACAAACGGCGTAGCTAATTTCAATTAAAAACAAAACTAAAACTAAATAAATTGCAAAACAACGAAGTTCTTTACTTTTTATTATGGTCGGACTCCACTGTAGTGACGCTACCTTTAATATGTTTTGTACCCTGTTCCTTGAAGTATCTGCTTGAAAAATAGAATGGGAGGCTCCATTAAAAATAAATAGTTTTTGGCTAACATGAATAATATGCTTAACGGAACTATCTTCAATACTTTTCGAATTATTAACGTTCATACAGACAGACAGATGGGCGAACGAGCCTCGAACCGCTCTGTTCCTACTTAGCTAATTTCAATAAAAAACAAAACTAAAACTAAATAAATTACAAAACAAGGAAGTTCTTTACTTTTTATCATGGTCGGACAGGCAAATAGTTTGCACACACCGTCTTTGGAGAGCTTGAAGACCGAGCTCAGAGAGACTCTACCTTTAATATGTTATCTACATTGTTCCTTGAATTATCTGCTTCAATAATTTTTGTGAGAAAAAAAGAGCGATAGAATGGGTGGCTCTATCAATATTAGTAATTCTTTCTGAGTTCTCTCTGCGTTTATGAAGACGTTTATTCGGGCGTACGAACTACCAGTATTTTCTAAGATCCAGTTCTTTGTGTTCACACAGATAGAGGGGTAGACAACGAATAGTACTATGAGGGTTATCTAAAAATGTTGCATAGAAATTCTTTCGGTACAGTCGCGGATTGTGAAATTACTCACCCATTAAGTCCCTTTCGTACGCCCCACTTTCTTGGGGAGTTTTTTCTTATTGCTTTTTAAATTATAGGAGCTTCGTTTGATATGTTATGTTGGATGTTATATGCTGTTCACGTTCGATTTCTTCCATCATGCTGATTAAGAATATGAATACACTTGATACATTGTTGAAATCTGGTATACCCTTTTCAAACTGTATTTCCTGTTTGCCAATATTTCCAGCCTAGTTTTAAATAGAGTGTCAAATGTTCAAAATATAAAATCAATCGAAAGAAAACATATTCGTCTATTTTCGCTCTATCTCTCTCTCTCTCTCGGGGGAATAAAGAAACAGACAGTTGAGTGATTTGATAACTAATTCTTTGTTTATTTGAATAGTTGGTAAGTGTTGTTTATTAATTGTTTTAAGTACAATTGAGTAAATGAATTGCGGTGGTTTTTGTTGATTTTGCTTTTGGGTATGCTTATTTCCATTTTTCGCTTTTACCGTCTCTTTTCCAATAGTTGGTAAATATAAATATTGTGTTGTTGTTGCATCTCCTGCATTTATTCATATAAAATTAAACAATATTTTTTGGATTTTGGTATACCTTAAGAGTTAATAGCAATAAAAAAAATGTTATGATACATTCATATAAGTAAAAAGTAATAATAAAAAGTAGTGCGATAAACTTATATTATTATTTCTATCACTAATATAAATGTGTGTTGTGGTTCTTCCCTCTCTTCATGTTCTCCTTCTCTCCATAATTTTTTCTTTGAATAATATTTTAATTTTATTTAATTCCATATGGTACCCTAATGTGTAAAAAAACCGTTGTTTTCAATGCCTTTTATAATTGTTTTTTCTTTTTCTTACAATTCTCTTGTTATTGTTAATGTTTATTATTTTTGCTTTAGACTTACGGAACTATCGCAGTTTGGCTGTTTCTATTCATTTGTTTAAAGTTTAAACCCTTATGCCTTATATTTTGCTTTTATTGTTCGTTTCGCACATACACACACACATACAACGTTTACTTTTACATTTTGTCTTTAACTTTGCATTTCGTTTTGAATGGAAACACTATTGTTGGAAAGTAAATTCGTTTACACACACAGAAGAGAAAATGAAATGGAAAGAAAATATTGAATAGAACAACAAATCGAAAAAGACATACATATATAGTACATACATACATATATAATATACATACATACATAAATACACTTGCATACGTTTCTAAAATTGCTTAGCGGTTGCATTTGTTTGTATACTCTTCAGATTATTATTATTATTTTTTGTTTTGTTTCTGTACTGCTCCCCCTCGTAAGATCCCTACCTATTCTATCCAATCACTGTGCTGCTTGGAAATAAACTAACAACAACGAAACTAAAATATAAAAGGGCTGTGAAAATACAATGAAAATGGTTGGAAACAGCTTTAGGGAGCTCTAGGATGATGGTCTACGAGGCCGCTGGCTTTGACGTCGGCGCTGTGGTGTTAGCTTTCCATTTGACGTGCGGTGCATTGCCACAGGCCAGGACTGCCTCAGACTTAGAGCTCTGGAGACGTTTCTCGCAATATAAACTGCCCACTGGCTTGGCCATGGAGGCGGCCAGGGATTTTGTCACATTTGAGAATTGCAATGAGGATTCGTTGCTGTGGCAGAGCTGCGCAGATGTGGGTGCGCTGAGATCCCTTGATATGGTCTCCTCCATTAGATCTATTATGTCTGGAAAGGGACCCTTCCCATGGCCTGCTCTTACGCGCTCTTCTCCTGTTGTTAGGCGACGTGTGCGATCGGTGATGGGGAACTTGTTTTTGGTGCAGCTCAGATCCAGCTCGAGCGTATAGAAACGTCCACGCGCAAACTGTGTGTTCTCATTGTGCATGGCCGATATCTTGGGCGTTGTTGCTGTGGCTGCGACGGCTTCGCCAGAGTGTCCGCTCGGCTGCAGACTGATGGTGCAGACGCTGCTGCGATTGCTGTTGGTTGTCTGATCGCTGACACTTTGTTCGGTGACGGGCACCACTGTGGCGATGATTACGTTGGGGGTTTGGGTGCCGGCACCGCTGCCGCTGCCATCGCACACATCCTCACCCGTATCGCTTTCGTCGTTATTGTTTGCATCGCTCTCATCATCATCCGCTGTATTGTATTTACTCGACGTCGCATGCAGATATTTCTGTAAGTTGCGAGGGATCTGCATTTTGCTCAGTCGTGGCGATTGTTCCATTAGCAGATTTTCCCAGCTGGTCTCGTAAACGCTGGCCAGTGGTTTCGACTTCAGCTGTGTCTTGTGGGGCAACCCCAGTGGTTGGGTTGGCGGTAAGGGTAACAGTATCGGATAGCTAGAACCTGGTCCAACCACTGGCGGTACGGCCATCGGATTATATCCGCGCAAGTCTTGGGTGTCGAGTTCGCTGCCATGCTTGGACTTTTTGGCGATAATTTCTTGCGGCTCCGTATAGAATGCATCAAAATTGAGGTCGAGAAAGAGCTCCTGCAGGAAACGGCGTGCACTCATCCGATAACTGCTACGTCCCAGCGCCTTACACGACTCCGAGTACAGGCAGATGTCCTGAAAGGCGTTCGGATGCTTCTGTTTCAGTTCCAGCAACGACATTTTCGATTGCTTGGCGCTCACAGGATTCGCCAATCTCTGCACATTGTACAGTATAGAGGCGGTCAGTCGATCTGGCAGACTCTCCTCGCTTAGAATACTTTCTGGTGAGTTGAACGAGATGTCAGAGAGCTGTATGGTGGAGTTGCTTTCCGTTGTCGCATTCCCCATCTGGTGATGTTTACCGCTGTTTGTTGTATGCTGCTGCTGCTGAGAGCCCTGTCGACGAATGCCAGAAGCAAAAAGCGACGCGAGCTCGCAAAGCCCTGTCCCTGCCCCTCCATTGGTGCCGGTGCCCCCCTCCTGGCCATCTTGACGCAACGCATGCACTCGCAATTGGCGGCGAGCACGCGTGCAATGCAGACACTGATTTCGTCCGTGTTTGGCATTCTGATGCCATTTCGTCTGACGCTTACTCACCGAAGACACGTCCGACAGCGAGGAGATCACCGAAGACTCGTCCCCGCCCTCGTTGTTCAAGGAGTCGTTGAGAAACTGTTGCTTTGCCGTCAACAGATTGATGCCAACCAGATCCTGATCCTGTATGTCTCGCGACACATAGGTGCGCGTCAGATTGCGTGTAGGAAACAAATCGAGCGCGTTCTTCGGCAGACAAATGCCCGCATAGCAGGGACCTTTCAGGTCGTTCTGTGAGAGGAACTTTGGGGCATTCAGTGTTGGTAGCGGCACTTGAGGCTGTTCCGAAAGTCTGTAAGGCAAATTAATGATATTTTAAGCGAAATTGTCATAAAGAGGAAGCGAGTGAGAGAGAGGGAGATAGTTGGACCAGTTGTAAAATATTTTACTATCTAATTAACTAGAATTTGTAGTTAAATAATTCCTGTGAAGAATATTTTTCTAATGACTTTAATGCAGCCAAAGAACAAAGGGTGTTTCATACACCTGGCGTTTAGACTTTCTAGTATACCCTTTCAAGCAGACACATGCTTAATAAGCTTTTTGCACAGCACTAGTGTGCATCAATATGTCCTACAAATTTTGTTACTTTGGAGGCGATACTCACGTGAACACATTGAGGAACGCCTGACGGTCGAGGCTGCGCACCTTTGTCCGTCGCTGCGACTCGCCCCACGAGGATTTGCGGGGACGCATCTCGCGATCTTTGATGTCGATGATGTCATAGAGAATGGCCGCCGATTCATTGAAGACGGGACGACTGTGAGCTCGCAAAAGACGTAGTTGGGCATAGCCCTTCATGCCCAATGGACTGAGCGCATGCTGAAGGTAGCTAGTACCGAGCAGTGAGGTGCGACGCAGTAGTTTGTCCTTCAAAGTGGGCAGCACCAGTAGATTCGATATGCTAGGTATGGGACTTAGGGGGAATTGTGGAAAGTCGCTGCAAACAGAAGGGAAGAGAAATTAAAATTTGTTAGAACGGAACCAACGCAAAAATTCCGATGCGCAACATACCCCATATTGGCAGCAGCTGTGCGACCCGTTACGGATTCACAACTGCTTACGCCGGACGTATTGGAGTCGGTGCAAGAGTTGACACGGATGCGATGTTGAAAGGGGAAAAATACTGGATAGGCGTTCACATTGCCACCGATTAAGCTAATTACATCTGTTGTCTTTGACTCGGAAAGCGAACGCTGATGCTTTCCAGGACGCAGATGAGTGCCTTCGGGTAGAGTTTTCGATCTCGCCGCCGTGGCACTGCACGCCAGGGTCTTCGACGTGGGCAACTGTAAAAAAAAGTGCCAAATTGTGGGCTTTCTTCCTTTTACAAAATGGTTTGCTAACTCACCTCATCTATGCCACGCAGACTCTCCGTAGTCGTGTTCGCATCCTGCAACTCCGAGCTGGCACTCGTGGCAGGCCCAAAGGCGACAGCACCCTTACCATGCCCTGTACTGTGCAAATTCCAATAGCTGCCTGTATAATAGGAACCATCGATTTGATCCTCAATGCCCGTATAGTTGTACGGCGGCATATCCTCGTAATGATGGCGCACAGGCGTATAATTACTAGACATCCAGTCTTCAGGTTGATGCACCGGCCACATAGTGTTTCGATCGTGACGCACGCTCAGCCAATCTACAAGAGTTCAAACGTCAAAACGTATCTTCAAATCCTGACCAGAGGCACTTACTTAGTTTGAAGAGTATATTGGCGCCAGACTGTGTGCCCGCTATAAGGCCTAAAGCGCTGAAACATGTCGCTCGCACCGAATACACCTCGCATTTCGTCACCAACAGTACAAGCTTTTCGTACAGACTGTAAGAAAGAGATAGAGAACAATCATTTATTAATTATTTCTAATTATTATCAATTAGAGTTGTGCGTGATCGAAAAAAAGGAAATCTTAACGGCTACTGAACTCATGATTGGACAATAGTGGTACGTGGATTAAATTATACCTTAAAATAACAAAGGAATTGCAATTCTTAGTTCTTCGCTACTAAATAACCTCTCTCGACGTTCAGGCGAATTGCTCAAATATGTGCTATTTTCTTTAATCCTTTGATAGTGATGAGATAGTTTGAATATTAACTAGGGATGTAAGTCGAAGGGAAAACATCGATGTCTCTTTATAATAAAGAAAGAAAAAAAACATAATGATAGTGATGAGATAGTTTGAATATTAACTAGGGATGTGAGTTGAAGGGAAAACATCGATGTTGATGAACATTGATGTCTCTTTATAAAAAAGAAAAAAAAACATAATGATAGTGATGCGATAGTTTGAATATTAAATAGGGATGTGAGTCGAAGGGAAAACATCGATGTTGATGTACATACCTTCTTCGGTAAACCACACAAAGAAATGTGACCGCCAAAAAAAACATGAATAATGTTCGATGTTTGGACAAACATCGATGAATCGACGATGCATCGTTAGCAAAAAAAACATCGGAAAAGATCAATGCATCGTGGTAAAAACATCGTCGCTGCTCGATACATCGATGTTTTTTTACATCCCTAACATTAACTTGCTTTAGGCTGTCATGAAAAAAGTGCTCTAATCGATCTAATAAGATTATTGTAAACTCCTAAAAACTTGTACTTTTTCATAAATTAGTCAAATAAATTCATATCAATTCCCTTCATCTAAAATTCATTAATCTTATTTCAAATTCAAACTAATTCTTCAAATGCTGGTCCAAACATAGTTCCCGTTGTTAAAAACAAATCGAAAATATTGGATATTAGTTTGCCTTTCGAGAATTTCACCTATAGCTGGATAACCATAAACTATTACCCTAACTCTCTGTTTATAACAATTATTCATTCTTCCAATTCTTGCAATTGATAAGCATCCTACAAAGTCCATATCTAGTGGAAATGGCCGAATAGCCAAGCAACTGATCCATCATCCATCCATCATGTTCCACTATCAGGAGGTAGTTCTTTAGCATTTATTGGAATTTATAGTTATTGTGTCTCAGAAAGAGACGATGCAATGAATAATATTTCAATAAAGATATAGCTCGATAGATATTTAAATTTATAATCAAGTATATTAATTTATGAACAGATAGATCAATAGATTAATAGATCAATTAATATAAAGCTAAATAGCTAAGTATGCAATAGTGTAATAAGACTATTAGAAATGTAAAATACAAATTAAAAAGGCAAGGATAACATTGAATATTAAATCAGAATCTTCAATGAATCATTCTACATTAACTATAATTAATTAATTATACTCACTGAGCGCCAATTTCGACAAAATATTCGATGCCGTTGGCATGTGTGGATGCATGGGAGACTGCCCAAATGGCCGCCTTTAATTCGAGGCACTCGGCCTCATCCGTGCATTTGCCACGACTGACAAGCTCCACCAGTTGGGGCAGATCGCCGTGCTTGCGCAATGCTGTCGTTCCCTGAGCCGTTTGCACCATTTGGCCGTACAGATGTGGCGCAATGTTCGGTGGCACCACCGTGGGTCGTGTGTTGCAATTGCGTCGAGAATAGTAGCCATCCTCGTTCCGCACGTGCAGCGTTAGACTCGCGTGGGTGTCAGCCTCCACAAGCAGCACGTATCGTTTGTTATAGCCATTGCGCCAGTATTCGATTTCCTCTTTGACGCGCGCCTTGCTGTTGTTCATGCCACGCGGCAGCGAGTAGTAGCGGGACATTACCAGACGGCCAACGTCGCCCAAATGCTTCAGATTAGGCCACAGACTAATGATCTCCTCTAAATAGTATTTCTCATGGCATGCCTCCTCGAGCACATCCATGGCGGCGAGCACAACACTGCGATCCGCATCCTGGGCCTGTTCAATGATAAGCGGAATGCCCCAGACCTCGAAGTTGGGCAGACGGGCGCGTAGGAGCACGCTGAGGAACTGTGTGGCATAGAGACGTCCGCTGCGCGTCTTTGCCGAGGTCAGCGCCATTTTTAGCACTTCGCGTGGCTCCTTCTCATAGCTATAGTTAAGGCCAGACACGATGAGCTTCACGTAACACACATGATCCGTGTGGCGCACAAGTGTTTTGAGGCTGCAATGCGTAATGCAATGAAATTAATTGATTTCTCATAAGGTGTGTAAGAAAATAACTTACTATTTAAATACAGTTGTATTCTCTAATATATTAATGCCCTTCTGGGTGCGGCACATGCGTCCAATAAATAGGAAATACTGCTGACACATTGTGTTGTTCATATGCTGCGGACTGAAGAGGCAATCGTGGGCACGATTCGAGGTAGTCACGGCCTGCAGATGTTGGCCAATATCTGAGAAGTAGTCGGTGATAAACCGCATGCACTCCAACTGAAAAATAAATAAAGAGTTTAAAAAGCGGGCAACGTGTGATATTTTGCTTTCAAAGGACAGACCTCATTGCTGTTGACCAGCACATCGATAAGATTCAGACCAGCGGTTACATAGGCAGGCACCGTATGTCCTGCCATTAAGTCCTGATGTGAGAAACGATTGTTGCTCGGCTTAAAGTAGTCAACCAGTCGTTTTAGGAATTTATTGAGGAATTTGCTGACTGTATAGTCCACTTTTCGCAATAAAATCGACTGCAAATAGAATGGAATTATAACCTTAGACGTTTACCAAATGCACAGCAATAAGAGATGGACTTACTCTTAGTATGGTGCTAACTACCTCCCAGTCCCAGGCATTTGCATCGGTCTGCACCAATACATTGGACTCTGTTAGCAGCCGATTGAAGGATCGATATGTGTCGAAGAACACATTCGGCATAAGTTTGTGCCGCAGACGAAAGCTAGCGCGTAGCGGATTCGAGGTTTGTGGACTTGGTTCATCATTGGACGAAACAGAGTCAAGCCGTTGTCGCTCCATTGTGACGTTCATGCCCGAAGACATGGGTGCTGAAGCCGCTGCGGCCAATTCCTGCAGACTAAGCGCATTTCCCTGCTCCTGCGCATTGATATTCCGGCGAAACAGGCGAGTGTGTATGAGGGCTGTAAACAAAGCAAATATTAATGCTGGATAAAGGAGCTCTACGTTGTACTCCCGACTTACCACCACCCTGTATAATACTATCTAAAAACATGCTACACGACGCCGGTCGTTGGCGTAGCATTTTTTGGTAATTCTGCAAAGCAGCCACCGCCGCATTGGCCTGCTGATTGCCCTTCGTGGCGTGTCCGATGAGCGTCGGTAATGCCGGACTGGTGCTGCATATATCCGCCGGTAGATGCGTATGCATTAGCTGTAATATTTTGCCAATGAGGACGGTAGCTCTCACGGAGACGAACTGATCGCTGGAAACGGCCACTTCGACAAGGGCATTCAGCAAACCCGTCTCCAAAAAACAGTAAAGCAGCAACGCCAAATGCTGCTCCACAACATTGGGCGCACGTGCCGCTAGGCTTGGTAGTATGGAGCGTCCTTCGGCGGCCACAAAGCCGTTGGTTAGTAGCCAACTGTCCTGGAAATCTGAAGGATCAACTGCCTGCAGTGCCAGAGCATAGTCATCCGTCCAGGCGGGCTGAGGCAATGACAGCAACTGATAAAGCAAGTCCAATATTGCTTTCTGCATAGGACAACAAAGAAGGAGATGAGCAGGACCTATAAATGGTTGTTTATATATTTGATATACTTACTCTGACTTCGATTTGGTTTAAATATAGAGCATCGACTATTGCTTTTAAACCGGATGGTTTGCTTGGATCACAGAATTCGAGCGTGCCTGTCCAGCTGCGCAGCACAGAGAGCAAAGCCAGGCGGCAGCTGGTGTAACGCAATTCGCGTGCATCCCTACAGGAAAAGAGGGAATTTAACAAATAGTTTTGCCAGTTGAAATGCAACTCTCACTTGTTCTTGTCCATGATGCCCAGTCTATAAGTGAAATCACAGTACGGCGCCGCCAGGCAGTCCAAGCGGACTCCGCAAATGTTTCGCGTATGCGGCCATTCCAGCAGATAGAGTAGCACGCCGCAGAGACTCTCCGCAATACGAGGATTGTGGCACTCGAGCACATTGCGGGTGATCGATGTGACGCCTCCACAGACAATCAGAAGAGCCGGATTGAGCACTGCAAACTCAGCCAACGTGGCTAGACAGGCCCGCAACAAGTTATCACTCTCCTCAATTCCACTATCCGCCAGCGAGACCAAACAGCGAACCACCACCGGACTAATATCCTCCGGAGCGATGGCCAACATCTTCCGCACCAGCTTCAGCGCCTGTACACGCTCATCATCGTTTTTCAGCATCAGATCAATGGAGCGACAGAGCAGATGCTGCAGCTGCAACGAATTGAAGACCTTGATGTCCTTGGGTGTAGTCAGCGCGTAGCGTATGGTACGCAATGCTGCCGCCCGAACCTGCGTAAATGTGTGAACCATCGAGGCGCTCAGGCTGCACAAAAGCGGAGGAGGGAGAGCAAAACATGTATCTTATTAATATTACTACTTCTTCGAGGTTCTATAGCGTTAATTAGTTAGTAGTTCGTCCTGAAACTTATTGTAGTGTAGGCAAAAAGGGACTTCTAACACAACTTCTTTTGCCATATAACTCACCAGTAGAGCAGCTCCTCGGTGGTGAACCGCAGCTGATTGAGTGGCGCTCCCGTCGTCGCAGCCAGACATAGTGAGGCCAGCTCATTGAGCAGAAATAGTCGCTTGTTGTCACGCGTTTCACGGCAGCAGAGCATCTTGTATATATCGTATGCATTTTCTGCAGCCAACTTCTTTGGATCCAAGCGATAATAGTCTTCGGGGTCTTGGGAAACTGCAAAAGCAAAAAAAAACCCAATTAATTGTAATTGTAATTAACTAATTAACAAATGCAATGGGATTTTAATACTAATATATGCATGTATGTATGTAACATGGAATTGTATAGAAAACTCGTAGCTAACATTTACTATATTTATCAACATAAGACCTTTGCTACTACGGATGATCTTTCCACCGATATGCTTCTTGTTTGGATAAGACAAGCCTACATACAAGGTTTGATGTGCATAGTTATTTTGGATAGGCGGCCAGGTCCTATAGTTGTACATAGCTGCATCTCATCATGATGATCATATTCTACTTAAAACAACCGTTGCGAACCCGGTTTTGATTAGAGACAATGCGGGGGCGGTTTAGGAGGTAGGGTGTTTATCCGAAAACCGTTCGCACCTGACGAAATTGTGGAGAAAGCCAATACTAATGCCACTACTTTTTCTGTTCAGGTAGAATGAAGAAGCACTATTGGTGCTGTTGATTCTAATTTTATTTTGAAGGGCATAGTTATTAAATAATATTCCCCCAGCGGGGCGGAGGCGTTTATTAGATATTATTGTAATATGATTATTTTTCTCCTACTGAGGTTTTTCTAGCTTATAAGGTTTTTAAAATAACATTTTAATGTATTCTTTTCCTATTTCATTAATAAATAAATGTAACTAACTTAATTCAACTGTGATGCTTTCATGCCCCTGGGGCTAGTGTAAATTATTATTATAATAACAACATAAGCAAAAATCTTGGCACCAAGTTTTGTCAAAATATGCTGCACATTTCCAAATTTCTCGCATTCTTATGTTCGTTGAACATCTCTGTATGTACATATCTAAGTATGTATGTACATACATATGTATGTCTATATTGACAGTTGAAGAATTTGCTTTCTCGTGTCCATCGCCACGGAATATAACAACAGCTACAACAATAATAACAACGACGACAATTTGGCATTGTCGTGCACGTTAATGATGTCGTTGTCGTGCCTTTAGAGCAGCATATTATTGTAAACAACAAAAATGTATGCCAATGGCTAAATAAAAACAAAATAGAGGCGAATCGTTGAAAGAAACAGTTGCGCCAATAAGCTGCGCTGTTTACTAAATAACATTAACAACGAGCACAGCTGATGCTGCTGATGGGGCCACCAACATCAAAGGGGAAAATAGTACATGTAAACAAATTTATAAATATAAACATCCATATATACATATACATATGTATGTATGTATGCATGCATGTACAATATATTTTAAGAACAAGTGGTGGCTATATATTGGTGGCGTGTGGTGTCCTGGTTGTTGCTGTCACAAATCAAGAATCAAAACATATAACATACATATGTATATAGGCCTAATCAAAATGGAAGATACACCCTCATGGCTCAAGACGATGGCTGTACAATGTCTAAACAATGACTGACAACACATAATTGGTAAATTAACCTTTTAAAGACCTTAACAAACTCATTTAAAAACCATTAGTTTAATTTTCCTGTTACTGTGCTTCGGTTAATGTATACAGTTAATATGAATATACATACATAAGTATGTATATGTATGTACATATGACCGACAAGGGATATTTTGATCATGTAGGTAGTAGTATATGACGAGAATTCGCAGTCCGATAGTTACTATCTGTTATCTGTTACGATTGTTAAGGATGGTCAGTCTTGTAAAAATAAATTGCTGTTTACTTTACTTACAAGTACAATGGTATGTACGAAGTACTTATGTACAGAAGTATGGTATTTGTTATCTATTTTTTTTGTGATTAGGTGTGCAGTCGTGTGTTAGTATGCATGTAGGTGAGTAAATAAACAGTAAGCCTCATTACCTTTAATGCGTAATTTGCTCCTTTTGCCAAAACGCCAACTGGAATGTAAGGAGGCCATCGCGGCTGGAGCACGGCCGCTCTCAGTGCCGACCACAAAAACCAAAACAACGTGTGCAACACGCTCTCCCGCGCTCACTTCTGCTCTCCTTCACACACATAAACACACACACAAGCGAGCGTTTGTTATTGTTGCTGTTTCGCTGCTACATTTATGAGGTTATTATTGTTGTTGTGTATTTTTTGTTTTTATAGTGATTTTTTTTTCAATTTTTTTTTTATTTTCCTGCTGCTGTGTTTATTTTACGTTGTTAGTACGGCATTAAAATAGCGTTGTCGTGGTCGTCGTTCCTATTTGTTTCTCTCTTGTATTGTTGTTGTTGGTATTTTGTTATTGTTGCCACAAAAATTTGTGTCACATTAGGCTTTTATTTTTGGTTAAAGGCGCGAATGCAAACAAATGCAATTGAACGGTAAAAAGAAAACGTAGAATTGTAATAACATACAATATTGCTTAAAATAGGTTGTTGTTCCCACTTGCTGTTTATAAATAATATGTCACAGTTCGTTAAATTGATTCATTTACATGTTGTTGTTGATAACAAAATTGTTGTTGCTGCCGTTGCTAAATCAAATAGATACTGTAGGGATTAGATAGATAGGAATTACGATTCAGCCAATTATCTTTTGCATATCGATAAGGCACACACACGAACACACTCATAGTACGAAACTCATTCATGAATGAGGAGAGGGTAACTGATTTGTATGTATATACATATGTACATATATATGTAAAATGCATGTGAACTACACGTGCAAATATACGTTCATCGGATAAGGATGGTTGTAGATGCGTTTAGCTGTTATTAATTTGTTTTTCTTGCTACCAAACTGATTAATACAATATCTCAATTGTTGCCGCTTAGCGTTGAATTTTTTTTGCTGCAGCGTGTGTACTTATCAGCGTGTGTGTGTGTGTGTTTGTGACGTGTGGCCGCAGAACAGTTCGAGTTCGAACTATCATCGAATAACATTTTATACACTTGCGTACGCACACAAACAGATAAATATATACATATGAGTTTTTAATTAAATTATATTCACATACATAGATATTTATGCATATGCATTTATATACATATGTACACATGTATTTAGGTGCCGCATTTGTAGCTTGTGGTGGACGGACATTTGACCAGAGCGTAGTTTACGTAGTGTGAGCACGAAATAAACACGAAACACTAGCATTTACAACCGACAAAACCGCATGTCTCAAATTTATGAATGAATAGCAATGCTGATGGCAGCTCGAGTTTTTCTTTTTGGATTATATAAAGTAAACCGTATGCTCTTTTATGCACAATTTCCATGGATGGGCAATCACACACGCACAGCAGACACACACGCACACATATGTACATATACATATGTATATGCATATAAAAACGCGGCGCTCATGAGACAGTTTTTACGTTGTGGCGGCTACCGTAGGGTATTTATTAGTTGCCACATTTGCACTTTCAGGTCAGTAAACAACAATTGCATTTATGGCTTTCAAACTTCGTGCACATGGATTCACACACATATTATACAATACACTTTTATTATTTATTGTTGTAACCCAGGTACTGGCCGTATGTACCAATTGTGTGTGTGTGTGATATGTGTGTTGATATAGTGATGCAATTCTCGCAGTTATCGACCACAAACAGTTTGCTTGAGCGATAACAATAGCTGGCAGCCGAGTATGCGCGGTGGCGAGGCAATCGTCATGTCGATGATCTGGCAGCACCGTAACAGCGTAACGGAGCCATTCCAATGAGTCTAGTGTTGATAAACAATATTTTAGAAGCGACTGCGTTCAAATAAGTGACGCCGCCACCAACAATATTTGTTTAATCTTCGCAATGGATCCTGCGGTGCGCGTTGCTGTACGCGAGGCCCCCTTGAGGCGGCATTTTCAAAATAATAATAATAAAAATCAAACGGCAACAATAGCTTTAAATCCACAAAGAACTGTTCACTATCCGCCCGATTGCAACAATGTTGGTATTCAACAGTATATTTGAATTTAGGAATGTGTGTTTATTTGTTATTTTTATTGGATTATTGCAGGCTTTGGTAGTCGATGGCACTGTTTACAGCTTCGATCATGTTTTCGAGCGGGGCGTAAGTCAGGCAAAGCTCTATGAGGAGTTGATACATCCATTGATCTTGAAGGTATTATCGGGCCATAATTGCACGGCATTGGCTTATGGCCAGACCGGAACTGGCAAGAGCTACTCTATGGGTTTGAGCCTAGATGCAGAGGTATGTGTGTGTGTGTAATATTTTTAAAACAAATGAGTATTAAAGGTACATCTTTAGTATTTGGATGATGAACATATTGGCGTTGTGCCACGCTGCCTAGCTGATATATTTGATGGACTTGCAGCGAGCCAAGAGAATGCAGAATCTACAGATGTTTCTGCCTCCTTCATTGAAATATATAACGAGAATGTATATGATTTGTTGGCTTCTGCAGAGGCGCCTGTACTAATTCGTGTCCAAAAGTTCAGCGGCAGCACTCGGAAACCGATTCGGAATCAAAATGAGTTCCGGGAGCTGTTGATTCAGGGCACCGCCAGCCGTCATGTGCGTTCGACAAACATGAATGCGAACAGCTCCCGTTCCCATGCCATATTTACCATTCATGTGCGCAATGCTCGACTCAATATCGTCGACTTGGCCGGCTCGGAGGGGCTGCGACGCACCGGCCACGAAGGTGTGGCCCGGACCGAGGGAGTTCACATCAACCAGGGCTTATTGTGCATCAATCGTGTGCTGCTCGCCATGTCTGCGGGCAATCGTGTCATTCCCTATCGGGACAGTGTGCTAACCACAGCGCTGCAAGGTGTGGACAGCTCTTTATTTATATTTCCTAGTATATATTATATTTACAAATCTATTCTCTATCAACAGAGTCGCTCAATTGCCAATCGTACTTTACGCTGTTGGCCTGCATAAGCTCGGAGCCGTGTGATTTGAGTGAGACGAACTCCACGCTGCGTTTCGCCAAGAATGCCAAACAGCTGAAGCTGACGCCACAACAGAATCAATTACAAATGGACTTGCTGGTGCGTACTTATTTCTATTCTTTGTTATATATAGTCTTTGTCCACGCATGTCAAAATGACGCCGCGCATGCGTCGATTGTATTCGGCCTCATTGCCTGTGCCCAGGAAGCCAACCTCCTCCAGATTGGTGGTATTGCCAGCCTCAATATGCTCGCTAATCGCCTGCAGATCGGGCACATCGTCACCCCGCATTGTCACGATCGGCAGCACCATCATGGCAAGCAGCAAACCCACGGCGAATTTCTCATGTAGCTGCGCCTCAAACTCTCTGCGTGGAAATAGTTCGCTGCCGTTTGCACCAAGCCTGCAAGAAGCGTTCAATTATTTAACGTCTGTCGCGCATTTCGATATATGCCTACCTTGTTAGGTGCAGCGTCAGTTCCTCATAATACACGTCCAGCATGCGTTCAAAGTGCTGGACGCGAAACTCGTGTGTGGTGCAGGTGAAAAAAAAGTACGCCAAGTCGGTTACCGGTGAGGCGTAGCGCATTAATTGCCAGTCGATTAGCCGCACATTAGACACCACCAGCTCAGGGGTCGTCTGATACATGATGTTGTTGTTCCAACAGTCGCCATGGCAGACCACAGCATAGGGTTCACAGTTGGCCGCATTCACCAGAGGCAGCAGGAGCTCAAAGAAGGTGCCGCGTGCGAAATAGGCATCAAGACGACGCACATACTCTGCATCCTGTTTGGCGCACAGCGATTGGCGTGCATTCAGCTTCAGGGCCTCGCAATAGGCGCCCAGTGCGGCATCCTCCTTGCGTTGCTCAAATATATCCACCATGCTCTGGCATAAACGCAGACGTGCCGGCTCCTGTTGCTTCATTGCCAAGGACACTGCGTGCAGCTTGCCATAGACACGCATCAATAGCTCCACATGTGCTGTGGGCAGTGCAGCGAAGCGATCGTGCAATGCATACCCATTGGAGCACAAATCCTCCAGAAATATGCACTCATCGTTCTCCACATCTGAGCTGCCATAGCACTGAGCGTGATGATTGAAACGTTTTTCAATTGGTATGCCATGTTTAGCCTGAAATTCTTGTGTCAGCGGCAAGAAGTGTTCGTAGGCGAGGGTTTCGCGCAGAAAACAGGGACGTGCAAAGAATTGCTTTCGGCGCACACGATTCTGTGGCGGCAGCTTCAAAATCAAACTGCGAGGCGTCGATGTTTCAAAGATTCGCACCCGCCAGACCACACCTAAGTAGTTGTCTCCCTTGGCACTGCCACGCTCCAGCTCGAAGCGCTCACAATTCCATAATCGTCTCAACAGGGACTGCAGCGTAGTCCGCACATTGGCATTCGGCAGATTTTCATCTGTTGCAGTTTCCTCTAGCATTATTTTGTTACTGAGTGGTGGCGGTGGCTGCTGACTGATCTATATAGACGCTGAGGCGGTAACCGCAGCACCACACAACAACGACAAAAACAAAAACGAACCACAATTACCGCCACCACATCACTTGTATTACACCTCGCATGCTATCTCGCTTTTAGTCGTAGGTTTTCTACATACGTACATAGCCTCGCCAGAATTGTATTACCCCCAATCTTTTAATACTATATGTATATCGTATGCATATGTATATGCTGCTAGAGCTCGACCCAATCTGATGAATTGAACGCTTAGTTTGGTTAAAAGCCTTTACAAGTACTCAAAAGAAGGATTAGAGTTTGAAACAAGCAGTTGGATCGTTCGGGTCGAAATATCTCTATAAGTGTCTATATATGTAGTATATCTTGGTGTTGCCGCCGAAAAGCGATGCTCCTACGATTAACTAAATTTTACTTTACGTCTTTTAAGCGCAGTTTGCCGCGTACAATCTAGTAGATCTATACCCTGTACCCAAAGCGTAAAAGGGTATACTAGCTTAGTGCGAATACATGTAACACACAGAAGTTGGCGTGGCAGACTCCCCAAAGTGTATATATTATTGATCAGTAGTATGACGAGTCGATATTGCCAAGTCCGTCTGTCCGCCCGTCCGTCTGTATGATCGCAAAGATCTCAGCAATTACAAGAGCTAGAAACACTAAAGTTCGTATTCTGGTTCTGCTGAGTCCTAGGCAGATCGAGTTTTGATTTTTTTTTCTGGTGCAATTCCCCACTCCCTCGCAATTAGTGATTTTCTATAACTCCCGTAATTCTTATTTTCTATATACAATTTGTTTTTTTTTTTTCTTTCAGTTTTGTTAATTTGTTTCAATTTATTAAATTATTCCTACTATTACTTACTTTAAAAACATTCTGCCATGATAGAGACACAACCAGATGTACAGAAATTGTCGTTCATGTAGTATGTTGTAAATAAGAATTTTCACGTTTGTGAGTACTTTTTACTTAAAGGGTACTAGAAAGTCTAATATGTAGGTCAAGAATACGTATGCACATTTGTAACAGACAGAAGAAGGCTTATACTTACTCTATATGATCAGAAAGCTAAGACTAATTGGTATAGACTGCTCGTTCGTTTGTCCGTCCGTATGAACATCAAGAACTCTTAAACCACAACAGCTACGCACCTTAAATGTACCATATAGACTTGTCTTGTCAGAACGCAGAGCAAGTTTATTACAAACCCAAAATAGCAACATTTTTTTATATAGCTGTCATAGGACCGATCGGTGGAGAAATCATGCAAAAGAACAATTTTGCCCTTATGCAGATATCGTAACTAAATTGCACAAAAGTTGGTGGCCTACAAGTATATTATCGTAGAGCTGCCATTGAAGAAGTAGGTCAGTAAAAAAAAATGGCTGATCATTACAATGTCACAAATAAGCAGTTTGTTTCCAATCGGTACATTGTATAGTAGGACCCATATCTCACTATATTCTGAGGTCCACTATACCCATATTATTAAGCTGCGAGGAGAACGATTGTGCACAGAGCTTTCTCCTTTTCGATAGAAATTCTCCTCAATATCGAAATACATTTAATATCCATTCATATTTCGTTGCAGCGCAAAAATAATATGACGGCATCGAAAACTACAAGCACGCCTATTTTTAAACGTCCCCTATCCTGTTCCAAGCGACCCTTGGGGATACGCACTCCGTTCAACACAAATCTTTACACACCCGGAAAAATTGTGCGTCAACGCTCGGATATGGGTCTCACGCCTAGGGCTAAAGAACGGTACGTACCACAGCAGAGCCGGGCAGTGTTACCGATCCAGTTATAAGCTATAATATCTATTCCACAGTGCCCGGAAGTTATTGCATTTGGATAATGTTGAGGCAGCGGCATCGGCAGCCACTAATGCAGAACAGCCCTCCTTCTTAGAACCATCTGCTATTTTTGATCCTTTTGCGGATGTTAATGTTGCTTGCTCTACACCAATGAATGGCTGGACAGTCGGCGGATTAGAGCGTACGGGAGCTGAATGTAGTTCCATCGCCGTGCCCAGTCGGGAGGAGTTTGATAATCTTAAACATCAATATTTGGATTTGACCGTGATTCTCGACAAGATATATCAGGTCCTGACGCCACAACAACGCCAGCATTGTGCGCTGCCAGCAACAAAAGCAGCAACAAAAGCAGCAACACCCAACCAGATGGTAAGCACTTCCTCGATTTTAGCAACTATTTTAACAAACAAAAATATATATATATAGTTTCTCTAGCAGTCTGACTGGACATGTTCTTAATATTTACAAAATTTTGTAAGCCTGGTCTCTTCCATGGCAGGGTTATGTTATATTGATTCATGTCTAGACAATTGCCAAAAATTCCTATGGCAGCTATATATAGTTGTTCAATCTGCTGGCCTCTAGCAACTGAAGCAGTTATTTAAGGATGCGGTTTTTACATCGTAATTGGAAATTCATGTTTGGCAAATGTGCTGTTCGGATCCTTTTTGAAAGTAATATTTAGATTTGTATAATCTTCTTCAAAGCAACAGCTTGATTGGACCAACCAAACTATCATTATAGCTGAAATTACTCGTTGTTTGAAAACCGACAATTCTATGATTTCGAATCGAAAGCCAATTTTTAGAATCCACATGTAAATCGTTGTTTCTATGGGATATGGGTTTCTTTTTATCCGAGCGAGTCCTCTTTTTTTACTCTATTTAACAGTGTTATAATCTTAGTTTATTTTTTTCAAGCCAGCTATTTGGATGTTTCTTACTGTTTAGCGTAACTTTTCAATTTTTACGATAGTAAACACATCTTTTAAGAAACAATTGCATTGCGAGAAAAATACTTTATTATCTTTTTGTATGCTGACATAATAGTTGGAGTATTGCGTTTATATTTTAAACAGTTGAAAAATATACTATAAATAAATAAATTGTTAAAGAAATGGTAGAAATGTAAAAATGCGGAATCGGAATTCTGGGAATTCTGTGTCGCCAAATAGGTTTCAATTTTTTTTTTTTTTTTTTCAACCATAAGATTTCCATTGCATTTCATTACAGATGAGCTTTATTGGGAGACGAGAACTATCCAGAGAAACGCCCGCAGAGCAGCCAGAGCGAGTGGAGACAAGTCTGCTGCAGACCTCTGGCGATAGCGTAATTGCAGAACAGACAACTGTACAGTTTCGGGTTTCCAGAAGCCCCAGCGAAATGGCAGCAGAGTCAGCTAAGCAGGATTCATTCCAAAGTCCTAGCAGCAACATTGGCGCATCGGCATCGGTATCCGAATCGGCTGCGGCATTGAATTTGCAGCGAACGAGGCTTCCATTGCGTCGCTCCACACGTCTGCTTAGTCGAACAGAGTTCAATCCAACTGAAAACTTGAAGGATCGACGCCGTAGCGAACGCATATCAAGAAAGTCCATAAAGAAAGAGACCTCACCTGCGAATACACAAAAAGTCGCTTCACGTCAGCGCCTAAACAAACATTCCGCCGACATGCTGGAGCTTCTGAATAGCGGCACAGCCAAACAACTTCAGTTGTTGCCCACCATTGGTGCCAAAACTGCGCTGGCGCTGGTAACGCAGCGGTAAGTTCCACTCAATTGCCAGATGTAAACAAACTGTAATCATTAATTACTTTACCTGTTCATTTCAGCAATCTAATGGGTTCATTCGAGGACTGGGCCCAAGTCGAGAAGCTGCCAGCATGGAGGGGTAGTGGCTTTAAGCGCTTTAAAGAAGCAAATTGTTTGGTCTTATGAGTGAGCTTATGTATTGCCCACCTATTTCCTATGTGCACCTATTTATGCAAAACTCATCAATTTATTTATAGTTTTTAAGTAACTTGTATGGCAATATTTTTCTAAATATTTAAGAGTATTTGTTGTATGCGTCACTTAATAGCCTCTTTAATCCCTAATTGCCAAATATTTCAGCACAATTTATATATCTAGCAATTTACATAAGATCGTATATACAGCTTCATTTGATTTGAATTTTATTCAAAACTGAACTACATTTTGGCTTTGGTTTGTCAATTTGTTTAGTCAGAGAGTTGAGGAAACCCTTTTAATTCCGGCATTAAAATAAAAGACAAGCCAAACTCTTGAATATCCTGTATTCAGCCATTTGCCAATAACAATCTTTCAACTAAACATCATTGTAGCAATCATTCCTATTACTTGTTGACCGATTTTGATAAGATTTTATAATAACAATAATGGTCAGGCATCGTAAAAGACTGATAAAATGCTTTCGATATCTTTACAAATAAACAAGCGTGGCTTTTGCATATTTTGATAATACTTCAGACTATGATGAATGCAAAATTTGTTAACGATAGAGTTAATCAGGAAAGAGTTATTCCACGAAGAGCGATGTTGGCAGCTTTGCGATATACATACATATTGCATCGATTTTCAAAATACTTTATAGTTATAGTGAGGTAGTATGAAACCCTCGTACATAAATAAATAATAAGCTCAAGATATTCGTAGTTATTCTACTAAGATTGATCGGTGCAAACAGATCGGTTCCATGGCAGCTATATAATATATATAATGGGGCTTGTTTATAATAACCCTGCTGTGCTAGTTTGTTGCCCCTAGCCGTTAAGATTCAAAAGTTATTGACGTTGATACAGACAGACATGTCTATATCAATTTGTCTCGTCATGCTGAACTTGCAACGTCTTTTTCTGACTACTTCTACTAGTACACCCATTTACTGTTCGAGGAATAAATATTAGCCTTTCTTACTCTCCAATAACAAGAGTTATAGAAGTAATTATAAAAAGAAATGTTGTGTTGTTTTGGTAAAAAAAAGTAAACAGTCAGATTAGCCTCATAATCGTGATGATGCATTAATTGGGCGGCAAACCAGTTATCTATTGACAAATAATACAAATAAACCTGCGAAATAACAATCGCAAAAGGTGTACTATCTAAGAAAGGGTAAACAGTCGGGGTATGTATTTGTAACACGCAGAAGGAGGCGTGGCAGATATATGATTAGCTTGATGAGACGGATCTATATTGACAGGTTCTCCCTGTCCATTTGTTTCATTCTTGTCTAAAAGCAGGTAATTATTTAAATTATCATTTCATGATTTTTGATACTTCGAAAGGGGGACTAGTACGTCACAAATAAAAGCGATGGTCAGACAGGCAGACGATTTGTACAAACATCTCCTTAACTTGTCCTTCAATTATTTAGTGTAATTACAACTTAATATAACAATTTAATATTACAACTTAATATAATTTCGGAAGTAGGTCGGTTTGTGTGACGCTAAATTATTCATTTGGACGTACCGTAAGATATTATAAATAGGGCTCAAGAGAAATAGTTATGCTCGTAGGTAAAACTTGTTTTTCGTCGATAGAAAAGGATTAATGAGGAGGAACCGAACTGAATTTTACAAAAATTGAAGCAGTTGTTTCGAACAGAAGCATATTAGGTCTTCCCAGATCCAAAATTTGTCTGTTATAAAATAAGAAATTATACATATGTTTCTATGGGCATCCATTATTTGTACATATAGTATTTCTGTATATGAGAGAGTATTTGGGAATTGTAGTTGTGACTGACTAGCTTCTCTGGCATGCTCTAATCATTTCCTTTTGCAAGTCCAATTCTAATTTAACGTACAAATGTGTGCGGTTGTAAACAAGATAGCTTGAAGTGGTAAGTACATGCACTTATTTCAAATCGCTAATTTTATAGATAAAGTGTAAATTTTAGAGCACGTTTGTACATAACGCTCGTATGTTCGGCTCTCTATCAAGAACTAGCCGACCGGGGAGAGGAGGGACGCGTGCGACTGCATTGAATTTTATGTTATTTCTCAAACAGTCGTCCGATGGTCCGACCGCAGCCCCAGTAGTAGTCGAGCAATAGATGGGTGTACGAGTATGTGTGCGATTTGCCTTAGTTGGGTACAAAGTGCACCCTGTATATCGCAAAGATCGTTTAACAATAACAAGCACCACAACCACCACAACAGCACCAGCACCACGAAGGCACGACACACAAGAAATCAGCAATAAAAACAAAACGAAAAAAGCAAAAAGATGAAAGCAAAACAAACAGAAAAGACTTTCAAGCTAGGCGATTGCTCAGTACGCTGCACGATCTTCAGATCAGGGTAGGTTTCGTTCTAGATGTATTCGTATATATGTATGTATATACATGCGTACATATGTGTTCGAAGGCACGTAGGCACCACTGTCGGAGTACTACGTGTTATCTCGGGGGTAGGTACAGGTTCGGCATGAATGTGTGCAGTTCCACGCAACTTCTCTCAATGAATACCTATAATTAGCAACTGATTCGTTATGGAATATGCTTTGTCTTGAATATTCTGAACAATTCCTTAGATCTTGTCTATAGTTTGATGTGAAATCTTTCAAGATCGCTGAACACACGTTCTCTAAACTTAGCCACAATCGAAATTATTCGCTGAAGAGTAGATACAGAAAATACTCGTAATGTGGGAACATTGTCAAATCCCTATCACCAATAAAAAACATAGGACCTACTATATGTTTGAATGTAAACTAACTCAAATCCGAACGTGTGATTATGTGTATGGAAGTAATTATGGAAATTTTTAGTTACAGCTCTGCCCCATTACTCATTATTATTCTCTTAATTTACAGTTTTACTTAACTTATGGTCCCAGGCAGTATCGTCCAATCCATGGGAAAAAGGTCGCAAATGATTTCCAAAATGCTCCATCGACTAGAGAGAGAGAGAGAGAGACATTATATATTTAATAGAAAACAACTTTGAACTTTATTTTCTAAAATTTATTTAAAAAATATCTCATATACATAGTAATTTAAAAAAAATGTATGTTTTTTTCGAAAGTTAATTTGATTTTCAAAAAAATGTTGATTATCATTCAGTTTTTCTTGAAAAAATTTAATTAATTTTTTCAAAAAATGCATTTTATTTTTCTATTTGCTAAAAATGTATTTCTAATTTATTTCAATTTGTTTTAATGTTATGGCATTTTTTTTCTACTTTTATGAATTATTATACAAATACATGTATTTCGCATTGTTTTTAAATTATTTAAAAATGATTTCAAATTTACTTTGAATATAATTCAAAAGTATTTCAAATACATATATTTTAATTCCTTTTTTTTCTTGGTCCCCAAACTATTCAAGCTTTTTCAACTTTTTACGGGTAATATCATTTAAACAATGCCTATTGGACTATTTATTTAAATATTTATAAAAGAGAAGCCTAATAATTAGACTACTACTTATTAGTAAAATTAGTATAAAACGTTTATATTTGTATGTATGTATAATTTGTATACCCATGTAACCAAAGTGAAAAAAGGGTATATTAGGTAACAGACATAAGGAAGCATCTCTCATCCCATAAGTATGTATATGAAAATTATTAATCTATTGGCCTGCTTCTCTGGATGAAAGCCCGAATTTTGGAATACTAAGCAACTTTAGTTTTCCCCCCTTTCTGTCAATACTGTCCACAATTTTAAAGCTTCCTCAACTAAACTTTGCATACGCAAATTATATGTAAACCTATATCTTTGTTTTAAATCGAAACCATTTATACCCACAAAGTGTAGCAGAAGGTTCGCTCTTCTTCTTCTTTCACCGTCGGTCTGGATATTCTATCTTGGTTTTCTTTTTTACACAGAATTAGCGAATTGTCTTTAATTTGAGTCCAACTTATGAAAGAGGCTTATCAATTCTAGAACACAAATTAGTTCAAGTATGTGTATGTTTATGTATGCATGTGTGTACATGTATAGTACATATGTATGTATATATTTTCGATACACATATACATGTACATATGTATGTATGTATGTATGTATGTATTTTCAGTGCAAATATGCGTTGGGCCACACCCATCTCGAGGCGTCAAGAGCTATCTATACACCTTTAAATAACTTTTGAAGTGTAGTGTCCACACACATTCACACACACATACGCATTTAACTTACATATACATATGTATATGTATTTATTGATATGTGTACATAGTAAATTGGTATGTATGTATGTATGTTTATATCTATAAAATGCGCCGCAAAAACCTGCGAGCCACTACAATAACAACAACAACAGCAACAACTAAAGCAACAGAAGCAACAAGCAACCAACAGCAACAACAACAACTTAGTATGCACTGTCAACAACAAAGTGACTATCGCAACAACAACAACAACAACAAGAATAACAACAACAGCATTGAAAACGAAAACAAAAAGCAAACAAAATAAACGACCGGCTCCGGCTTCTTTTTTATGCGCTGCTTCTATACAATAAGCAACAACAACAACAACAGCAGTTCCATCAACCTGAATGTCCATAATACACACTTACATACATACCTACATATATATGTATATACATAGATACAGATACATACATACATACATACATAAATGTTGTCCAGATATTGCCGACGCGTAGTCGTCGACGCAGGCGCAACAGTGTAGAGCTTTGTCTATGCACTCTAAATGCGTGCGGGGGCTATACACTATCGGAGGACGGGCATGTCAACTAACCTATAGAATTGGTAAACAAAACTGTTCTCATACCAAACATACATATTTGATGCACTCATCGAAAATTATGTGCATTCTAAATTCTAAATGGATAGTTTCAGGGAATTTTTAACGTTTTACAAATTTTGTTCTTAAATTAACAAAATATTTGATATAGTATACAATATAATATATACAGTTTGAAATATTTGTATGCATGAATATTTTATTCCAAAGCCCTTAAATTTAGTAACACCCAGAAATTGGCGTTTAATAACAAATATTCAGGAGTAAATTATTATTATGATTAAAAAAGATTTATCAAAAAAAAAAAAAAAAAAAAGTTCGGAAAAATTAAAATGTACTTTTTGAAATGAAATTTTTGAACTTCAAATATTTTTCAAATATAATGCGGCCTTGAACTTGAAGAATTTGGCCAGCTTCGTCGACATATAGAATACCCATATCCCCATGTTTATTAAAATATAAGAATTTCGAACTTTAAAAATGTAAACACTTTCCTAAAACACGAAATCGACAGAATAACAAATCTTTTTATAAAAGAGTCTGTCCCCTCAAATGTAATCGTACAAGCAATGGCAATGTAGTTGAGAGTTATAAGAGCCTGTTTCCATTGGCGAACTTGATACGAAAAATGTTTTTTTTTTTTTAAATCTGCCTCTAAATTAGCCATTTTGACAATGATACTTCAAACCAATCTCATCTCTCTTCTTTTTATAGTATATTGTTAGTTTCTAGAATACGAAAAAGAGAATAGAGTTGCTTAAAAATAATCTTATGGATAGGCTACTTAAAAAGGAAATATAGATATAAAATCGAAATTGTCAAAATATATGTTTTTGTTCCGATATTGTGCGCTCGGTCTGTAGTTAAACATTTCAGAGCAATTTTTATTTTTACCACAAATCTAGTTTTTTTCAATGTTCATCAACTAAATCATAAATATTATATGTATATATAAAAATATTCAAAAAATATGTTGTTAAGAGATTCCCTTAAAATGTAGCTCAAAATCTAACAAGTAAATATTTCAATATTTTAATTAAAATATCCTTGTAACCTCATCCACTTTTCTTTTTTGTCCATCTAAAGACAACTATAAAATACTTGTAAAATTCCTTAAAAATCGAATCTAATTCATCAGTTATAGTTCCATTACAATTCCACAAAATATTCATTAAAGCACCCATTAACTTTTGTATATAAAACTAATTCATTATAATAATTCATATTATTTTTAAGTTAAGCTTAAGACCACGTCGCTATAGCTTAGACCACCATAGCTTAGCTGTAAATAAATAAATAAAATATCCTTGTAACCTTAACTATTTAGTGCGGTAATAACAATTACTGTTTCGTCGATTGTGTAAGGGCATAGAGTGGCCGATGTGGCTGCTGTTGTTGTTGTTATTGTTGCTGCTGCTGCCGGCGCCGGCGATGTTGTTGTGGCGGCGACTGCGACTGCGACATTTTAAATGCTTGCCGCTGCGGCTCTGAACTCAGTCTAACAACAACAGTCGGAGTGATCGCAGCTGCAGCTTCAGCTTCGAAGGAACTATCAACATCGTCGTTGTCGTCGTCATCGTCATCGCCATCGAACCACTTAAAAATTATAGCCTTAGGCGGTCGTCTAGTCGGCTCAGACCAAGAAAAGTAATATTTGTTGTGAGTGCAAAATTCGATGCGTGTGTTGTGTTGTGTGCGCGTTTCTTCTATTCATGCCAAATATCAGTTAGCCAGTGCAACGACTTAACCAATCTATAAGTCTATAAGCAATTAGCCAAGTCAAGACAACAACAACAACAACAAAAATGACGCAACCCGTAAAGTTTTATTTTGATTTCTTGAATCAATCGAGTCGAGCCCTCTATATTCTGTTCGAGGCATCCAAGATACCGTTCGAGGCGATACCAATCTCGATGCTCAAAGGTGAGTGGGAAGCACATACATACATACATATATACATACACCTAACTTTATGTGTATGTGGAGGTGTAAATCAAGAAACTACTGCAGCAGTTACAGAAACAACAACAACAACAACAGCAACAACCACTCAAAGGTCGCTCTGCACTTGGCTTAACGAAAATATTCAAAACCATCCACATACTCGCACATACATATGTGGATTTTCTATCTCTTTCTGTTTAGTTTTTCTGTTTTATTTTTTGTTGTTTTTGTTTCGATGTTTTTACAAAAATTTTCCGCTCGTTAAAATTCCGTTGCTGTATCGAAGGGGTGGGGTGGGAGGGTCAAGAGCAAGTGTGTGTGCCAATCAAAGAAAAAACAAATTTGAATGCCAGATTTGGAAACCCTAATTGTTGCAACACAACAACCATAGTTTAACAATTAATTTAAGTTGTCATCGAGAATTAGTCCGAAAGTTTCAATTCTTAAACTCTTTCAGCATTATTTAAGCATATACTACTTATTTACAATTCAATTAAAGTCTTTGGCAGTTTTTGTTTTGTTTTAGTTTCCATTTAAGCTTATCACGAACGTGTTAAGGAATTGTGTTAATATGGCACGTCCGTTGTGATGACCTTTCCCTTCAACTTTTTCAAAACTTAGAATCGTTTTTGAAAACTGAAGGCTGGAACGCTGACGTCAGCAATAATTGCATTCTGCACTTTCTGCTATCCGTAGTTCTCATTATTTCCGCATATGCATGCTAATCGGTATGAGGTGAGCTCTGCCTTTGTTTGAAGAGACCCCGACACCTCAGACTCAGAGTCAGCCTCAGCCTCAGCCCCAGCCCCAACCTCAGTCGCAGTCTTAGTCGCAGCCTTAGTCTCAGTCTCAGTTTCAGTTTCAGTTTCATTTCCAGCCTCTGTGGCCGCAAGGCCTTGGCTATGGAGTGCATTGGCTAAACTACTCGTATATACATAGCTACCGGTTCGGTTTGCATTTTAAAAACACGTCGCTGGTCAACAGCCAACAGACAGCAGCCAACAGACCGGACCGAGCTGTCCGAGTTGGACTTTCAACTTCAACTAAAATATATCAAAAATCTGTTCAATTGCCTTCAATTAGCCACAGAAATGTTACAAAGAATCTGTAGATTTTCAATCCCATCAATTGATAAAAAAACATCTTATTGTAATCCGAATTAAGCACAATTTGTTGATTTATTAATAAAAAAAAAAATAAAAGAAATAATTACAAAGAGTTTCTCTTATACTAAGTATATATTCGGAAATATCCATATATATATTTCTGTTCACTTAATCGCCTTCAATTTGCCACAGAAATGATAAAAAGAATCAGAAGTTTTTGAATCCCATCAATTGATTATAAAAAGATTCTCTTATACTAAGTAGATATTCGGAAATATCCATATACACGTATATCTTTCAGTTCACTCAATCGTCTTCAATTTGCTACAGAAATGTTACAAAGAATCTGTAGATATTAAGCCCCATCAATTGATTACAAAGAGTTTCTCTTATACTAAGTATATATTCGGAAATATCCATATATATATTTCTTTTCACTCAATTGCCTTCAATTCCCATTCAATACCCATACATCGTAAGCTTTATCAATCGATTACATAGTATTAAAGAGTTTCTTTTATGAGAAAGAATTATATAGTATACATATGCTATACAGTAATACTATATGCTGTAGATCTATAGTATACACTAAGTATACCTGTATATTTGGAAATATCCATATATATATATTTCTGTCCATTCAATTGCCTTCAATTTGCTACAGAAATGATAAAAGGTACCCATAGACCGTAAGCTTTATCAATCGATTACATATTATTAAAGAGTTCTGTACTATTGTCTGTAGATCTCTAGTTTGTATATACAAGTATGTATATTTTAGACCACGCCAGATTTTGTTTCGATTTTCTAGCTGCATTCGATTCAATAGCGTCGCAGCAACGATAACCTTCAAAAGTTGAATGGCTTCGTACTACTACTGCTTGGTTTCGGATTTTGACTTGGTGATGGCGTTATATACTTGCTACGAGTATAGTCGTATATACCTGTACATACAAGTATGTATAGGATGTTTGCACGCTTCTTGATTAAAGCCAGCGCCGCCTTTAATAACTATATTAATGTCATGAAATGTCGCATTCACGTGTTCAATGATTAAACAACTGCCTTATCAAAATCTACAAAAATTCACTTAATTTTCTTTTCAATTTTGTCAAATGAAAGCAATTATAAAAGTTGCAATTAATATTTGTCCAGCAAAAACAGAAATTAATTACCAACAGCCCCCTAGTACTCGTACCCACCTCTAGGCTGTCCAATAAAAATCACATCAGCTCTTTTGTTGAGTCCGTCAAGGGCAGCGTCAGTTTTGTGGCACGTTTGTGTGTGGCAGCGGAGAGGCCTTACAGTGTCCACATTATGAGATCAGCATCATTATTAGATACACTATATATTAGATACACTATATAATTGCCATTGCTATTTGCCTGCAGTTAATGGGAACTGTTTTATCTCTCTAGATAAAAGGTTTTTCTATTTATTGCAAGCAAATATAATAAGTTGCTTGGAAGTAGCCGTATGGGATTACTGGGGCTTTATTGCTAACATACATAGGTGTATGCCGAGAAAGATTGTACTTTGCACAGTCTCTTTATCGAATCTGTTCCCGTTTTGGAAGTAGCCGTACGAAATTACTTGGGCTTTATTGCTATCATGGGGGTGTATGCCGAGAAAGATTATACTTTGCCTCTTTATCGGTTCTGTTTTTTTTTATTTTGCGACTGCGATCGCAAATCGAATAAAAATTTGGTATTGAAAATACAAATACTTGTATATGTATATCCCATAGCTCCTATATATAATTGTTACGAATAATATATATGTTTTCATTATACAATTTTGAACATAACATTCAAAGGCAAGTCAAATGCTCATTATTTTAAACTTAATTTATACACTTTCAAATTATTTGTGTAGTCCTTAAAAAACATCTTAGATTTTAGAAAAAAAATTATAAAAAACTCTTCATCTCCAACACAGGGAACATATGGAAATGAAACGCTGGAGAAGTGGAATGCGGGAACTGCAACCCGTAAGCAGAACTGATTTCGTTAAAATTTCTAAAGACGATTTTCTCTATAATGAATTGATTAATTCCCATAATTGTAAATTTGTACATAGTCCATGACAACTAAGTATAACCCAAAAAAGTTATTAACAAAGTTGTTGACTTGTCTGCAGGAAACTTTTTGATGATGTCCTGAGCTCTGATTTTAGTTGCCAGCCTCATTCGCCAGGAAAACTGGCCAGATCGCTGGTTCAGTTCTATATCCTTGACAGAGTTGTTTTTATCTACATGTGCAGCCCTAAGTTATTTGCGATGGCATCGAAAAATAATTCCTAGCAGTTCGAAAAAAAACTTTGCATTCCGTTGAATAGAGATCAGCAAGAAGTAACGTTTGAATCCAAATCATCAATTCTCTAAACCTCAGCGGGTTTGCCCAGGCCCTTCTATATTAAAATCGTCTACTAAAACCATTCCATTTCATTCGTTGGTATCAGGACATAGCGTGTTTGGATACTTTCTGGATATTATGATAGTTTGTAAAGATTCAAAAAAATTGAAAAAGAAAATGTTATCCAATCGTATGGGAATTAAATATAGCAAATATTTCTTAAATGTTAAATGGAATTTGAATGTAATATTTTCTTAATTAAAAATATGTAAATTTAGGTATTTTTTCAATACATTTTGAAAGCAGCTTTTAAAAATGGCAATAACTTTAAATATACTTGTACTACTAAATCTTTTAATTAACAAAAATTAACTTCAATTTTTTTTAAAATTAATATTGAAAGCAGCTTTTAAAAATGGCAATATTTTAAATATACTACTAAATTCATAAATCTTTTAATTTAAGAAATTAGTTAAGTTAAGCTTAAGGCCACGTCGCTATAGCTTAGACCACCATAGCTTAGCTGTAAATAAATAAATAAAATATCCTTGTAACCTTAACTATTTAGTGCAGTAATAACAATTACTGTTTCGTCGATTGTGTAAGGGCATAGAGTGGCCGATGTGGCTGCTGTTGTTGTTGTTGTTATTGTTGCTGCTGCTGCCGGCGCCGGCGATGTTGTTGTGGCGGCGACTGCGACTGCGACATTTTAAATGCTTGCCGCTGCGGCTCTGAACTCAGTCTAACAACAACAGTCGGAGTGATCGCAGCTGCAGCTTCAGCTTCGAAGGAACTATCAACATCGTCGTTGTCGTCGTCATCGTCATCGCCATCGAACCACTTAAAAATTATAGTCTTAGGCGGTCGTCTAGTCGGCTCAGACCAAGAAAAGTAATATTTGTTGTGAGTGCAAAATTCGATGCGTGTGTTGTGTTGTGTGCGCGTTTCTTCTATTCATGCCAAATATCAGTTAGCCAGTGCAACGACTTAACCAATCTATAAGTCTATAAGCAATTAGCCAAGTCAAGACAACAACAACAACAACAAAAATGACGCAACCCGTAAAGTTTTATTTTGATTTCTTGAATCAATCGAGTCGAGCCCTCTATATTCTGTTCGAGGCATCCAAGATACCGTTCGAGGCGATACCAATCTCGATGCTCAAAGGTGAGTGGGAAGCACATACATACATACATATATACATACACCTAACTTTATGTGTATGTGGAGGTGTAAATCAAGAAACTACTGCAGCAGTTACAGAAACAACAACAACAACAACAACAACAGCAACAACCACTCAAAGGTCGCTCTGCACTTGGCTTAACGAAAATATTCAAAACCATCCACATACTCGCACATATGTGGATTTTCTATCTCTTTCTGTTTAGTTTTTCTGTTTTGTTTTTTGTTGTTTTTGTTTCGATGTTTTTACAAAAATTTTCCGCTCGTTAAAATTCCGTTGCTGTATCGAAGGGGTGGGGTGGGAGGGTCAAGAGCAAGTGTGTGTGCCAATCAAAGAAAAAACAAATTTGAATGCCAGATTTGGAAACCCTAATTGTTGCAACACAACAACCATAGTTTAACAATTAATTTAAGTTGTCATCGAGAATTAGTCCGAAAGTTTCAATTCTTAAACTCTTTCAGCATTATTTAAGCATATACATACTACTTATTTACAATTCAATTAAAGTCTTTGGCAGTTTTTGTTTTTGTTTTAGTTTCCATTTAAGCTTATCACGAACGTGTTAAGGAATTGTGTTAATATGGCACGTCCGTTGTGATGACCTTTCCCTTCAACTTTTTCAAAACTTAGAATCGTTTTTGAAAACTGAAGGCTGGAACGCTGACGTCAGCAATAATTGCATTCTGCACTTTCTGCTATCCGTAGTTCTCATTATTTCCGCATATGCATGCTAATCGGTATGAGGTGAGCTCTGCCTTTGTTTGAAGAGACCCCGACACCTCAGACTCAGAGTCAGCCTCAGCCTCAGCCCCAGCCCCAACCTCAGTCGCAGTCTTAGTCGCAGCCTTAGTCTCAGTCTCAGTTTCAGTTTCAGTTTCATTTCCAGCCTCTGTGGCCGCAAGGCCTTGGCTATGGAGTGCATTGGCTAAACTACTCGTATATACATAGCTACCGGTTCGGTTTGCATTTTAAAAACACGTCGCTGGTCAACAGCCAACAGACAGCAGCCAACAGACCGGACCGAGCTGTCCGAGTTGGACTTTCAACTTCAACTAAAATATATCAAAAATCTGTTCAATTGCCTTCAATTAGCCACAGAAATGTTACAAAGAATCTGTAGATTTTCAATCCCATCAATTGATAAAAAAACATCTTATTGTAATCCGAATTAAGCACAATTTGTTGATTTATTAATAAAAAAAAAAATAAAAGAAATAATTACAAAGAGTTTCTCTTATACTAAGTATATATTCGGAAATATCCATATATATATTTCTGTTCACTTAATCGCCTTCAATTTGCCACAGAAATGATAAAAAGAATCTGAAGTTTTTGAATCTCATCAATTGATTATAAAAAGATTCTCATATACTAAGTAGATATTCGGAAATATCCATATACACGTATATCTTTCAGTTCACTCAATCGTCTTCAATTTGCTACAGAAATGTTACAGAGAATCTGTAGATATTAAGCCCCATCAATTGATTACAAAGAGTTTCTCTTATACTAAGTATATATTCGGAAATATCCATATATATATTTCTTTTCACTCAATTGCCTTCAATTCCCATTCAATACCCATACATCTTAAGCTTTATCAATCGATTACATAGTATTAAAGAGTTTCTTTTATGAGAAAGAATTATATAGTATACATATGCTATACAGTAATACTATATGCTGTACTTTGTCTGTAGATCTATAGTATACACTAAGTATACCTGTATATTTGGAAATATCCATATATATATATATATTTCTTTTCACTCAATTGCCTTCAATTCCCATTCAATACCCATACATCGTAAGCTTTATCAATCGATTACATAGTTTTATAGAGTTTCTTTTATGAGAAAGAATTATATAGTATACATATGCTATACAGTAATACTATATGCTGTAGATCTATAGTATACACTAAGTATACCTGTATATTTGGAAATATCCATATATATATATTTCTGTCCATTCAATTGCCTTCAATTTGCTACAGAAATGATAAAAGGTACCCATAGACCGTAAGCTTTATCAATCGATTACATATTATTAAAGAGTTCTGTACTATTGTCTGTAGATCTCTAGTTTGTATATACAAGTATGTATATTTTAGACCACGCCAGATTTTGTTTCGATTTTCTAGCTGCATTCGATTCAATAGCGTCGCAGCAACGATAACCTTCAAAAGTTGAATGGCTTCGTACTACTACTGCTTGGTTTCGGATTTTGACTTGGTGATGCCGTTATATACTTGCTACGAGTATAGTCGTATATACCTGTACATACAAGTATGTATAGGATGTTTGCACGCTTCTTGATTAAAGCCAGCGCCGCCTTTAATAACTATATTAATGTCATGAAATGTCGCATTCACGTGTTCAATGATTAAACAACTGCCTTATCAAAATCTACAAAAATTCACTTAATTTTCTTTTCAATTTTGTCAAATGAAAGCAATTATAAAAGTTGCAATTAATATTTGTCCAGCAAAAACAGAAATTAATTACCAACAGCCCCCTAGTACTCGTACCCACCTCTAGGCTGTCCAATAAAAATCACATCAGCTCTTTTGTTGAGTCCGTCAAGGGCAGCGTCAGTTTTGTGGCACGTTTGTGTGTGGCAGCGGAGAGGCCTTACAGTGTCCACATTATGAGATCAGCATCATTATTAGATACACTATATATTAGATACACTATATAATTGCCATTGCTATTTGCCTGCAGTTAATGGGAACTGTTTTATCTCTCTAGATAAAAGGTTTTTCTATTTATTGCAAGCAAATATAATAAGTTGCTTGGAAGTAGCCGTATGGGATTACTGGGGCTTTATTGCTAACATACATAGGTGTATGCCGAGAAAGATTGTACTTTGCACAGTCTCTTTATCGAATCTGTTCCCGTTTTGGAAGTAGCCGTACGAAATTACTTGGGCTTTATTGCTATCATGGGGGTGTATGCCGAGAAAGATTATACTTTGCCTCTTTATCGGTTCTGTTTTTTTTTATTTTGCGACTGCGATCGCAAATCGAATAAAAATTTGGTATTGAAAATACAAATACTTGTATATGTATATCCCATAGCTCCTATATATAATTGTTACGAATAATATATATGTTTTCATTATACAATTTTGAACATAACATTCAAAGGCAAGTCAAATGCTCATTATTTTAAACTTAATTTATACACTTTCAAATTATTTGTGTAGTCCTTAAAAAACATCTTAGATTTTAGAAAAAAAATTATAAAAAACTCTTCATCTCCTGCACAGGGAACATATGGAAATGAAACGCTGGAGAAGTGGAATGCGGGAACTGCAACCCGTAAGCAGAACTGATTTCGTTAAAATTTCTAAAGACGATTTTCTCTATAATGAATTGATTAATTCCCATAATTGTAAATTTGTACATAGTCCATGACAACTAAGTATAACCCAAAAAAGTTATTAACAAAGTTGTTGACTTGTCTGCAGGAAACTTTTTGATGATGTCCTGAGCTCTGATTTTAGTTGCCAGCCTCATTCGCCAGGAAAACTGGCCAGATCGCTGGTTCAGTTCTATATCCTTGACAGAGTTGTTTTTATCTACATGTGCAGCCCTAAGTTATTTGCGATGGCATCGAAAAATAATTCCTAGCAGTTCGAAAAAAAACTTTGCATTCCGTTGAATAGAGATCAGCAAGAAGTAACGTTTGAATCCAAATCATCAATTCTCTAAACCTCAGCGGGTTTGCCCAGGCCCTTCTATATTAAAATCGTCTACTAAAACCATTCCATTTCATTCGTTGGTATCAGGACATAGCGTGTTTGGATACTTTCTGGATATTATGATAGTTTGTAAAGATTCAAAAAAATTGAAAAAGAAAATGTTATCCAATCGTATGGGAATTAAATATAGCAAATATTTCTTAAATGTTAAATGGAATTTGAATGTAATATTTTCTTAATTAAAAATATGTAAATTTAGGTATTTTTTCAATACATTTTGAAAGCAGCTTTTAAAAATGGCAATAACTTTAAATATACTTGTACTACTAAATCTTTTAATTAACAAAAATTAACTTCAATTTTTTTTAAAATTAATATTGAAAGCAGCTTTTAAAAATGGCAATATTTTAAATATACTACTAAATTCATAAATCTTTTAATTTAAGAAATTAGCACCAATATTTCAACTTCTTTTTTTATAATAATTTTTTTAAATATTCAAGGGAAATTTTCAGAATCTAATAATTTATGGTGAGATTGAGAGAGATTTTTTAGAAAGGCTTGCCTTCAGCTGCTCATTTCTACAGCTTCTGCCGTAAGTTGTTGAAGAAATGTTACTTCTTTCAACTCTATTCTTCAAATTTCATTATATCATAAATCAAAAATATATAGTATATAACTAGTCTATTGAATTGTTCTTTTTGTGCGACAGTTGAGGAATTGAAATTGAAGTGCAACCATGGCTTATACTAGAAACATTTCTTGCTAGTGTATATGGACTTCAGTGTGTTGTTAGCTATTTAGTTTAAATACTGTTATTGTTTGCGCATTCAATTAAGTTGTTGAATTATCAATCTGGGCAAGTATGCAATTATGGCCTACACACACACACACACACACACACTTCTATTACTTCCAGTTAGTAATTGCGCTGATGAGAGATATCCTACAAGTGCAGCAGAGATGACGGCAAGAATTGATGATGAGTTTAAATACGCGGCATATGTACAAGTATGTACGATGATTGTGTGCTAAGTATAGTCGTAGTACTCGCTTGAGTGGGGAAAGGGTGCCTGAATCTCCTGATTAATGGGTTTTGATTAGGTGTGTGTACTATACTTACGAGTGCAGATGCCAGCTAGTTTTCGATGACGTCTTCATTCTGGTTTATCGTGCGGCTCTTTGTATTGATAGTGCTATCTATCCGTTGTTGTTGTTGTTGTTAAGAAAATAATGAGGGCCAATAAGTAAACTGTTGTTCTTGTTTCCTTTCCCTTTGGACAACAGGTGAGCACTTGACCGGCGAGTTTCGCGACAACGTCAATCGTTTTCGCAAACTGCCGGCCATAACGGACCATGGCTTTCAGCTGTCGGAGAATGTGGCTATCTTCAGGCATTTATCGCGCGAGAAGCTGGTGCCGGAGCATTGGTATCCACGACGTCATCTGGGACGGAGTCGCATTGACGAGTACCTGGCCTGGCAGGAACGCCACATGGGCGTTGCCTGCACCGATTATTTTCAACAGAAATGGCTCGTGCCCTACTTGCAAAAGACGCGGCCCGGCGATAATGCGGTAGGTTATACTATAATTAGGGATCTCACATATCTCTCCACAATTGAGACTCAATTGAGGTGCTCCGACTCGTTTAGGTGAGCTTGGCGCGCAAACAGTTGGACCATACGCTGAACGACTTTGAAACACTCTTCCTGAATTCACGCAAATTTATGATCGGCGATAATATTTCCTATGCGGATCTAAATGCCATTTGCGAAATCGATCAGCCAAGTAAGCGATAGTGGTGCCGTAATAGGCCGTAGTTTACACATTTTTGAAATAAATCTACCTTTCGCCTTTCCCAGAATCCATTGGCTACAATCCGTTCCAGAATCGCAACAAACTGGCGCGTTGGTACGAGGCGGTCCGTGACGAGCTCGGCCTCTACTACAAGAATGTCCACGACGAGTTCGAGCGGAATCTGAAGTTGCGGAATGCGGAACAGAGTGGGGCACAGGCGCGGGCGCGGGCGCTGGAACAGTGAGCCGCACCTGTATTTATATATTTATATATATATATATATGTATATCTATATATATATATATATATGTACATGTATTATCTATAAGTTTTCTAATCATATAGATTGGCGGTCAAATTTTAGGTCGATTACTTATTAATATATATTTTTGTATATATATTATATACCGATTATTAAGGTGCGACATATTTCTCTGACAAAAATACTATATATATATATATTTTTTTTTTTTGATAAAGTGCTGCAATGTTCTTCTAAGATTTAATGCTAGTGTGTGGTTTGTTTATTGTTTTACTCTAAGTTCATTTTATGGCAGTTTCTTCTTATTATTGATGTTTGTTTTTGCTTTTTAAAAAAGTATTTTTAAAAAAAAATTAGCATATGAGAAAATGTAATTTTTACTGCAATTTGTTTGGCCAACATACTAATTTTTGGGAAAAAATACGAAACTAAAAAATTATTATATATTTTTTAAAGAATTCTTATACTTTTTGTTAATTGTTTTTATTTTTAAAAGAAAATGCTTTTTGAAAAAATTCGCACTTTCTTTGGAGCAATTTTTTTTTAAAGCAAAACAAAACCTTTAAACATGATCTTTCCTTTCTTTCCTTTAAAAAAATAGCTTTTGAACATTTGTACTGTTGTTTTAAACAAATACTTTTCTGAAGAATTATTGAAGATCTATTTGTTTATTTTTTGGTTTGTTCTTTTTTTAAAGGCATTTTTAGCGCAAAGTTATTTATATAATTTGAGTTTGACAAAAATAAATATTTAAACAAAATCGAATGAATTATTCGGAATATTTTTTAATTTGTATTTGAAAGCAAAAAGAACTCATTGCCTAAATTTAAAAAGTGAGAGCTCAAATCAAATGTGGAATACACACTATATATATATTTATTTTTTTCCACGACTTTAAGAAAATAAACCTTTTAATCTTATCACAAAAGTATAACTAACTAACTTCAAAACAATAGCTAAATAATATTATATAAAGAAATTGATGAAAATTGACCGCCGGAGAAAAACCGTTCCAAAATATTTTTGCTTAGCCAACAATTCGTGTGTGCGTTTTCTTTTTTTTAATTTTTTGTTACTGTTATGAATTTATTGGAATATACTCACCATGTATTTTTTTTTTAATGACAACTATGATGCGAAATTATTTATTAGTTTTGCTAATAAATATTGAAGAATGCGAAAAAAATTGAAATAGATTACCGCTTTTCATTGCCAGCAAAAAAGAATAATACGAATAATGGGGAATACGAGAATTGTGCTGTTCATCACTTCGCCAAGGGGAAAGGAGATTTGAAGATTCAAAGACTTCCGAATGCGCCTTAGAGGCGGATCCTAAGCCCCTGCCCGCACAAATATTACCTCTCAGTGTGCTCTGGTAACAAAATTCGTGCCTAACCTCGAATACTTACTTTTGAAATAATGCTGAGCAGGGCAAGGTTACAATACAAAACAAATTTAGAATAATAGTAATCAACTGATTGGGTCTTTTTGTAGAATTAAAAAACAGTAATAATATTAATTTAAATTTTTAGAAATTAATTTAATAAAATAATGAACAGGTCGATGAAATAAATAAAAAAAGAAACAAATATATAAAAATAACCATTCGCAGTAAAAACTAGTGGCTTTTAAATTTCGCCTCCTCCTTATCGCCAATATCGAAAATGAATTGAAAATGAAAAAAATAACAAAATTAAGAACAATAGTAATCAACTAATTGGGATTATTTGTGAAATTACAAAACAGTAATAATATTAATTTTAAATTTTTAAAATTAATTAAATCAAATAATTAGCAGGTCAATGAAATAAATAAATAAATAAAACAAATAAAAAATATATAAAAAAAATAAACACTCGCAGTAAAAACTAGTGGCTTTTAAATTTCGCCTCCTCCTTATCGCCAATATCGAGGATGACGGATTATTGGCAGCTCAGGGAAACTAGGAATTATGTTTTTTGCTTTTGTTTTCAATCTTTATTTCATTGTTAGTTTCTGTGGAATGTTCTTTTAGGCTTATGTTAGAATTACTTGATTTTGGTTGTTTTTTCAATGTAATTGGTTTTAGTTGAGATTTGAAGTTTGTTCTGCCACAATTATTAGTCAATTATGTAATACATACAGCCTATGTATATACTAGAGTATATATTTATATAAGAAATAAGCTAAACTAAGTGTAAAGTATGCCTGTAAGTAGCTACTTATTAGGTAAAAACTAATGGCGATTCGGGCAAGGGAAACACAATATTTCCTGGCGCTTTATGATTTGTAAATGCACTTACAATTAAATGTTTTCTTTTATGATTATTGTTATTATTATTATTATTATTATTACTAATATTATGTTTTCATGTCATTTTTCCCCTTTGTAATTGTCTTTTGTATAATTTGTTTGGCTTTTAAGTATTTGCCGCATTTGATTCAATAATTTGTTTATTGTAGTGTGTGTGATGTGTGTGTGTGTAGTGTATGTGTGTGTGTGTGTGTGTGTGTGTGTTGGTTATAGTTGAAAAGGCACTGCTGCATTCTAATGCATTCTTTTCTTGTCTCTTGCTTGCATTTGATTTTTCTTTTTTTAAATATGTATTATTTTTTATTATAATCATTAGATTGGTTTTTGCTTTGACGCTTATAAGTCTCATAAATATTTGCATTTACATATCTGTGTGTGCGTGTGTGTGTTTGTGTCAATGTCTGTGTATCTGTGTGTGTACATAGTATGTGTATCTATAGTTGTTTATTTTTTGAATATTCTAGCTCGTACGTTTGCCGAATGCCTACAAAAATAATCATCTTAGCGGAATGGGATCAAGAATTAAGCAACATTTACAAAGTTGAAGCAGACAAAAAATTGTTGCATTTCTAGATACATACGATTACTTACCACTGAGTGTTAAAAAAACTTAAGCTTATATATCTTCTATATGCATATCCTACTGCTTTTATGTTGCAAGCAAAAGGGCCAAGACATCTAAGTAGCATGCTCCAACATGCATCCCCAACATTTCCAATACTTGTAACTTATGTAATATATGTGTACTATCTATAAACAAATCTATATATGCATCTATTGCAAATCGGGCTATTGATATTAAAGTTATTATATACGAGTATGTAACTGAACTGTACCTTTGACTCGCAAATGACAACATTATGGAATATGAAGCGACTGATCAAAGGTTTCAACATCATCGTATAAAATATCCTTGCCAGCACCAACTGGGTTTTCCAAATTCTAAACTTCTCTTACTTCAACATCATAGTAAGTCTAATTGTGCGAATACGAATTTCAGAAACCCCTCAACTAGCTAACTCTACTACTGCGCTTGGCAGCTTTGAATCTATATCCTGTGCCTTAAGGAGCCTTAAAAAACTAAAAGTAAGTTTAGTAAAAAAACATAAAACATAAAAAGGATCGTTGAGAAAAGAGATGCAGCGGCATACTCTCTAACTAAACTTTAACAACATTTTATTAAAAATACATATTAGGAAATTAATTTATTTGTATGTGGCATGAAAAAGTTTAACAAACCTTTATTAAAGAAAACTCTTATTAAAAGTATTAAAAAATATAATGATTTATATGTATGTGAAAAAGTTTAAAAAATCTTTAGAAAAAGTATTAAAAAATAATTATTTATATGTACGTGAAAAGTTTAACAAATCTTTATTAAAAGAATTAAAAAACAAAATTATATGTATGTGAAAAAAGTTTTCAAACTAAAAGTCTATCAGTTATACAAAAATGTAATATTGTCTATATAAATTTAAAAATAAAAAAAAGTAAAATTAAAAAAAATTGTTTTAAATAAATATAAAAGACTGAAAACACTGTAGGCATTAGTTATATTTTAAATTCAAATCCATACATAGGTGTGTCTGTGTGAGTGGGGTTTTAATATTTTAATCCGATTATAGCCCTTGGTATAGTATATAGTCCCTTAAATGCATTAAAAGAATTCTTCGCATACATTTTCTGCAAAGCTTGAATTTTAAATGTTAAATAAACAAATGAAAATTAGTAATTATAAATAAAAATAATGAAAAAAGAATAATCTTAGAGAAATTTATGAATGCTTTTAAAATGCTTAAACAAATGAACAGCGCCCCTTTGAATTCACCTATTTATTGAAATATATTGAAATGGGGTTTGAAAATCGATTCATACCTTGCTAGATTTCTGAATGGTTATAATCTTAAAAAAGTTTGATTCTTTCTAAACTCTGTTTTGATTTACGAAAGTTGCACAAAGTCGAACTCGATCCCATTTTTATAAAACCAAAATAATTACCTTTATTTGGAATAGTAAGGAATTCAAAATAATAAATTAATAAATAAATAGGAATAGTATGTAATTCCAAATAAAAATAATTATATAAGCCTAAGAAAAATGTTGATGAAAATCTGAAAAAATATCGCAAATACCCCCCTTTAGCTTCTTCTAAAGAGGGCCCCTAAAAACTGTATCGACATCGATCAAACGTAGGCTAAGATTTGTGCAATAGAGAGAGAGCTTCACATCTGTATTATCTGTAGATAACCTGTACTATATAGTCTTAATTTCTAAGCAACTATTCTAGGTATCTGGAAAATTGTTTAAAGATTCCGATTTCTGTTCACCTTTATAGACACAATTTGAACAATTTGATGTTGAAACCAATTTTCGCTGGCGCCAAATTTTTTTTAGAACTTGCGAGTACACATAATTCTGTTTTTATACCGTCTTTTTTTTACACGATTTCGATATAACACGGTTTGAAAATCAAAAATTTCATATATATTTCTTCAGAGATAAGGAACCAATCACTTATTTTTGCATACGATCAATGCCTTTTTTTTATACGGTTGTTTCTGAAACCAATCTACCGTGTAAAAACAGAATTAGGTGTATACATATATTTAGGAGTCCAACTTCTGCAAAATTGAAAAATACTCGAAAAGTGTTTTCGAGCACGATTTAAATAATCTACAAGTACATACTCGTAAGTATATTTGACTTCTATTAAATTATTTTCTTCGTTAAATCGAACCAGAAAAGAAAGTAATGCAGATTACTTTTACTTTTGGGGCTACTTGGGGTGCACAATGTTGGAATTTTCGGGTCAAATACTACTGCTGCCTGGAGTTGGCCCTTAATGCATTGCAACGACGATGGCGTGGAAGTTATTAATCCAGCTCCGCATTCTGCTCCCCCTCCGCATCTTCGTCGTGTTCGTTCAGCAGGGGACTGTCATCGCTGAGACCCAGACTGGGGGGCAGACCGGTGCCGGGGGTGGTGGGTGCCGAACGCGAGATCCAACCCTTGCGTGAGCGGCCACGATTCGTGAAGAAGTTGGCGCCACTCACGACGCTGCTCACGGGGCTCTTGAGCATGCAGCTGGCCAGGGTGGCACCGGTGCTGCCGCTAATACCGCTACTACCAGCACCACTCGCACCACCGCAACCACTCACCATGGGCATGTAGAGCGCTTTGTTCGGCTTGGGCGTATAGAACTTTTTCGTTTTGCTTTGCGTGGGTGCTGGTGGTGCGGGGGCGGGTGCGGGTGCGGCAATGGGCGCAAATGTGGGCATGGTCGTGCGTGCTGACATGTTCACAGCCTGTGTTTGTTGTTGTTCTTGTTGCAGGGTTGAGGGTCGTCGGTTGAACGACGACGCCTCCAACATTGTGCGTTGCGACTGCTCTGCGGGCAATTTGCTGAGACTGCTTGAGCCGGGTGTGGATAGGGTGTGATGTAATCGGGGCTTGCTGGCAGCACCACCGCCTACACCACCGCCAGTGGTGCTACCCGTTCTGATGAGCAGCTCTTCATAGCTCACGCCCGCCTGCAATTGACGTATCTGATCGAGAATTTCGCGCACCTCCCCCGTTGGACTCGTCGCCTGGGGTGGCGACCCAGGGGTACCTATGTTGGCCAAGCTGCTGACGCCAGACCCTGTGCCAGATGTTGTCATATAGCTGGCCCCCGCTGTGCTCGTCTGTGCCATAACCGTGGGCTGTTGTTGTTGTTGTTGCTGCTGCTGCTGCTGTTGTTGCAGCAATTGGCAGCAGGTCTCCAGACTGCGCCGGAGTAAGTGAAGGTCGCGAAACTCTCCGCTCGCCGAGCCATTGGGTTCGGCTGACATGGAGCTGCAGGAGTTATAGACCTGCTCGCTGCCCGCCGCCAGCTCGGTCTTGAAGTGCGTGGGATTGGTGTGCACGCGATGCAAGGGATTGGGTTTTATGCAACCATTGCTGTAGATCACTGGTGTGCCGCCGGCGGCCACTGCCAGGCTGGAGAGTGAGGCGACATCTGTGGCTATGGCCGCATCGCTACCCTCCACCGCACCTTGGGATCCTAGGCCAAATCCCAGGCCGGCCGCACAGCTATTGTTCACGAAAATATCACTGATGCTGCTGCTGCTATTGCCCATATAGCGGAAGTGTTGATCGCTCTGGGATTGCAGGAAACCGGTTCCCGGCGGGCCGGGCGGCCGTCCATTCTGACTGGTGCTGGCGCTCCCGCTGCGACTGCTTTCGCCACCCGACTCGTCCGGCGAAAAGTGTCCACTCTCCGAGTTGTGCATCCGTGTGCTGTAATGTGCGTTGCCCTGCAGCGTGACGGCCGCGTAGTGTGCCTGTCGTGGCTGATAGGTGGCCGTTGCCGCCGTTCCAGCAGCTGTGGGGGCCGCTGCCACGGCTACTGCCGGATTGTGGCAGACCAATTGCGAGGCGGAGCGTGGCAGCGTGTATTGCGAGGCGCCATGGCCCAAAGAGTTCGTCGGCTGCTGACCCCGCATCGTGTAGTGCATCGCCATGTCGGGGCTGGCCGCACGCGAATACGGCGGTGGTACCAGCGTGTTGGCCTCATTCGCATTGCAAATGAAGCTGGAGCTGAGCGAGTCCACAGTGCTGGCCGCCGACAGCGAACCCGCCGGCCGCACAATATAGTTACGGAAGTATTGCACCATGAGGTAGCTGGAGCCATTGCCCTTGCCATTGTCACTGTTGCAGGTGAATACGAGTGGGTAGAGGTCTGGCTTCGAGGTCACCTGCGAATGAGCAAAACGCCCAACGAGAAGAGGTCGAGGAGACGTGAATATAAGGTATAGTCCAATATGATTTATGTATATTCGAGATGTTTATGATGTTGTCACAGAAAACTTAATAATCTAAGCGCTGAACAACATACCTTTCCCTATTTGTTCTTTTACAAGAGAGGCTTTGACAATTGGCCAGAAGAACGCTATTGGAGCTGATCAGAAATTCGTGCAAGATATAAGCTCACCAGGTTTTTTTAAGCCCCTCCCTTTAGACCGGCTATTACAGAATAATTGGGGCCGACTTGGAGCGTTTTTTTTTGGGTCGAGTAGTGCATTAAGCCTACACCTATCTTAGTGGCTTAGTCGTAGCAGTGTAGTACTCTGAGCTACACTCCGAAAAAAAGACACGTTTCTCTCTATGAGCAGAGAGGGTATGAAGTTATTGAGCAAGACGGGGAAGAAACGATGACACTTTTCCATGTTTTCTTTACCGGAATATCTAAAAAGTGATGTTAATTTTGTCCTGAAGCCCAGAAACGTTCTTTCTTGAGCTTGGGAAACGTTTTCCAATTCATTTTCGACTGAAAAATGCTGAGTAATGCAATTTCGTGGTGCCTTTCTGTTATAAATACGCAGTTGGTTTGTTATGGCGCTATGCACACGTATATCGATTTACATTCTATATATATTTTAAAAGCGATTTGGCGTATTTTTTTTTCTGAGTGTACATCGATACAAGCTTCGCTTCAACAACCATTTCTCTTTACATTTTCGATTCACTGCTTCGCATACTGTCTAAGTATGCTTATTTTCCCAACTCCAGTATGCGAGTGCATCTAGGTGCGTGATATTGTCGTGAGGCTCGTGAGCCGTGGATTAGTTTGTGTCAGGCACCCATCTGTAATGTGAATTAGTGGCTTACCTCTGTGTACGGCGGTGGGGGATGATGGAACGAGTTGCAGCGACTGTATTGGGGTGGTGCATAACAGGAACCAGCGGAATCACCCTCCGATTGCGTATGATGCTCCGTGAAGCCCCAGCCGCAAAGCGTGCGTCGTTTCTTCCATAGCGAGTAGGCGCAGAGTATGGCCAGAATGATGGCAACCACAACACACCTGCAAAATAAAGAGCCAAACTACTTAAGTTGCTGCAGTTCCACTTAAGGACTTGTGCGAATTTCAGGTGACTTGAAGCTGACGATATTGCTTGGATTAGGGGGAAAGGCAACTTGATTTGAGATGTGAGGATTTAGTCTCGTTTATTGAGCAGTCAAGCTGAAGCGGACTTCAAAGTTGTTTTTAGTTCGTTTGATTCGACACAATGGTGTGTTAATTTGGAGACGCTTTACTCTTCAGTCTGTAGCTGCCGCGACTGTATAAAAAAGCCCATGACCTGGAGCTGCTCGCTTCCGTCTGCTACGACGGTCGTTATTGAATGACAACTAAATGTGTTGGCTGCACTTTTGGACACAAGATTTGATTATGTGAGCATGTCTGTATGTCTTGACTTGGCCTGGCTTGGCTTGCTCGGTATGTGCTCATTAGTTGGCATTGCCGTTTGTCGTTCTATGTGTTCTACATTCTCGGTCTCGGTCTCTCGGTTCTGGGTCTTGGTCTCGGGTCTGGGGTCTGGGGTGCGTGCACTTGCATAAGCAAATCTGGGCCCAGACCGAGGCCCGCCCACTGAGCCACCTCTGCTGCCAATAATAAGTATCACTGCTGCATGCCGCATGCCACATTCCCATACAATGTCAATCAGGCAGACAGACAGACAGACAGACAGACAGGCAGGCATATATATATGTATATATATAAGAACGACCTTGGGGGTCGCTTTGGGACTGTTGCTAGCAGGCGTGTGAATGTGATTGCATATTTTCGGCAGTACTTACCAAAAAAACCAGTGACTAATGAAGAACAGATTCAGGACATGCTCCGATGGCGGCGGCAATTGGCGGGGTCCACCCTGGTATGGCGGACAGCAGCCTTGAGTGCAACATTCACGTGGCAAGGAACATATGTGGCCGCCTTCGCAGAAACGCGCTGTCACCTGCAATCGAAATAAGTAGTTCAGAAAATAATCGTATACTCCAAGTCCATAACACATCACAACTAACACAAATTTCTTGCAATTTTTTCACCAACACGATTACGAATAAATATGAACAAGTTTTAAAGCCAAACATTTCATAATTTGTGCTTGAAATACTATATATTTTGTTCTAGAATTTTCTACCAATTACATAAACACACGATTCTTACTTTAATATCCATGGCAAGCAGTATTCACTGAAATGAAAAAAATAAATAATTAAAACAAAAAATTATATTAAAGGCAGTTCACTGCTTTGCTCTAGCTTGCTAGTTTTTATATTATTTATTGGCTCCAGGAAGTAATATTTCATGCAGTTTTTCAGAAGCAGCAGCAGGCGGCAGCATTAACATGCGATTTTTATTGCAATTATCTGTGCAATCGATTAAACGAATTTGATATGTGGGTTCAACAATTTTTCAATTATAATATAATTAAGTGACTATGCAGAAATTATTCGCAAATTAGCTGAAGCTGAGAATTTAGCAAGATGTTCATTTTGGCATTGAAGCTGTTCTATAAACGTTTTGAAATCGCTCAAAGGTTTCTCTTGCAATTTAGAAACCATATCCACTTAACAGTAGACTATATATTCAGAGCTGTTGCCATATAGAAATATACAATGCCTGATTTTGAAATCAGTTCCGCTTTTCGGTGAAATTTTAAAACATATTTTAATTAAATTTACTTATTAGAGCAGCCTAAATCATGGGCACGCCAGTCAGATGAAGATCGACATCACCTTTCGGGGTCGCATGAAGCCGATCTTTAAAGCTCTTTTCCACTCAAAAAAAGATCTCGTAAAATTTCGAAACACACGGATCAGAAGATAATTTTGTAAAAAGTTCATTACGAAGTTAATGTTCGCTCTTGTTTAAAGTATTTAATTAGAGAAAAAAAGAGGGGCGTGCTGTAGGCTGTCTTTTAAAATTGTTCTTAAAACCAGATTAATTTAAGTTTTTAAATAAATTTAAAATTAAAATTGTATATGTTTTTTTTTTTATTAGAAACTGTTCGTTCACTCATACACTGTAAAAACACTTTTTAAATCTTATAAGGTCTTATAACCTGAACTCCTTGTTGTTAATTAATAATAAAAACACATAAAAACTAACTTATAATTTTTTTATAATTGCATGAAATGAAAGTTAAGAATTTTGTGAAAATAAAAATCTCAATTGTAGAGAGTGGCTTGTTTGTAGCTCTAGCTTTTTGTGAATCTTGTGTTCATACAGAAAAACAGACAGCCTATATATAATGGCTATCGTCGATATGCCGACCATAACGAATTACAGATTATAGAAGGTAAAACATTTCATTTCTATAAACATTTTTCAAGAAATTAAAACGGTGTATTATTGTCTATAAAACAGAAATCAATAGAAAGAACGAGAAGAGCAATTTTCACAAATTTTGATCAAATATCTAAACATAGTGAGGCATAAAACCCAACATTGTTTACATTCGAGCGAACAAGTTTCTGCTACTATGATTAATTTTGCACCGATTGTTCCTATGACAGCTATATGATATAATAAACCGATTTTGTTGAACTTAAGAATATCATAAGGCACTAAAAAAATCTCTTAAATACCAATTTTGATTGAAATATCATTATAAACAACAATGTTTGTGAGACTGATTTTTGCACCTATCCTTCCTATAATTGTTATTACTGCATCGATTTTGATAATTCTTTAGATGATACTGAGATATTATAAATAACTCACAAGCACCAATTATAGTTTAAATGTTGTTATAAACAACAAAGTTATGCGACTTGAAATGATTTTTGCACTGATCGGTCCTATGGCTGCTATATAAAATAATAATGATTTGCATGGCTTGCAATAAACTTGCTCTGCAAGTGGATAAGATAAGTCTGCATACCAAGTTTGGTGTCCCTAGCTGTTGTGTTTAAAAAGTAATTGGGGTTCAGACGGACGGACAGAGGGCGCACAAAAGGATAGGCGGCGGTGTATCTATTTGCCTCGTTATGCTAGCCCATATATTTTAAAGTTTGTAACACACTTATTTTATTTATATGGAACAGATATAGGTCCTAATTTCCAAACAGGCGCACATGGCTGAATTTTCTTGTTATACTCAAAGGCATACCCTTTAACGCTTTATTTCTAAGTTATACAAATGCGTGCAACTACAAATACGAGTATTGGATAAACAGAAATCGGAGTATTGTTTTGTACATTTTTTTTTTATCGACAAGGCAGCATGTCAATGTAATAGCAACTATAAAAAATTAGAAAAGGCTATAAAATAACAAAAATTTCTTATAAAGAATCTTACTCCGGGGGGAACATTTTATTTGTTTACCGACCCCGATTCCTCTCCGACTGATTGGAGTAAACGAATATGAATTCAGAATTTACTCCAAAACAACATAAAATAATTTCAGTAAAGCAATCGGAAATAATAAATTCCATTTATAAATAATTGAAAATACTTGAAAATGAAAAACGAAACTAAATAACATTACAAAAAAAAAAAAAAACATTTTGAAATTCATGTTTGAGAAATACTTATAAAAAATGTATAATGAAACATATTTAGAGATTTAGAGAATGAAATGTCAAATACTTAAGAATAAAGAGAAACTAAATAACATTACAAAAGAAAACATTTTGAAGTTCATGTTTGAGAAATATAAAGAAATGTATAAAGAAATATAAAATACTTAAGAATAAAGAGAAACTAAATAACTTTACAAGAGAAAACATTTTGAAGTTCATGTTTGAGAAACATAAAGAAATGTATAAAGAAATACTTATGAAGAAATCGAAAATAACAAATTTCATTTACAATTAATTGAAAATACTTAAAAACAAAGAGAAATTTAATAACATTAGAAAAGAAAACATTTTAAAATTCGTGTTTGTGCTAGTTTTTAAGTATTCCATTATTTTAGATTCTCCACAAAATACACAATTTAGGAACTTTTCGTTCTTTGTTGAAGGAGTTCGGTTTCATAAATTTTTAAATTATAATTGCCATAAGATTACTAACAATTGTTGTACATTTGCAGCAATTTGGTATAAGCTTTAACCCTTTGGTTGCAAAAAAGATTCTATAAAAAATTTCCATTCCATCGTTTATTCCATTCATCCAGAAAATGAACAATTTTGGAACTTTTCAATATTTGTTGAACAAGCTTTGTTTGCAAAATTATTACAGGTAATATAATTGCCGATTATTAAAAATTGTTGTACATTCGCAGCATTTTGGTATAAGATTTAACCCTTTAGTACCTTGCAACCAAGGGGTTAAAGCTTATAAAACAAATTAAACAAAACGAAATATTTGAGTGTACATATTTGGCATTTTTTATTGGAATTCCATCAATTCCGTTTGTTCATTCACCCACAAAATGCACAATTTTGGAATACGTATACTTAGTTTTAAAAAATTTAGTAAAACTGCGATACAGTAGTGGTCTGAAGCGTATGGTTATGTGAGTAATGAAGATTGTTGTGACACAACTTACGTTTTGGGGCAGCAGCAAGAGGTGGAGGAGGAGCAGCAGAGGCGTTGCATGGAATAAATATGAGAGCAGCAGAGTGGAAAACCACATGCTGGTTGGTTGCACGGCCGTTTTGGCGACTCGTCCTTTATCCGACTGACTCTGCTGCTTGGCCTGCCTGCCTGCCTAACTGCCTGCCTAACTGCCTGCCTGAATGGGTGACTGACTGAGTGGCGCCAATGTCAGTGTTGCTTTGGCCGATGTTGTTGTTGTTAATGTTGTTGGCGATGGCGCTGGCTGGGGAGGAGGTGGGGGCAGCAGACAGCAATGGCGACGGCGACGGCAGCGGTGCGTTTGCAGCCTCCTTTATTCTTTGTTGCTGCTGTTGTTGTTGTTGTTGTTATTGCTGTTTGTTATTGTTGTTGTTCTTGTCGTTGAATTCAAAGCATACGCTTTGTTTTGTATTTTGGTATTTTGCTTTGTTTGTGATGCTTGTTCGTTATTGTTGTTGTTGTTGTTGTGGTTGTTGTTGCTGCTGCTCGTTTTACACGCACGGACGCACGCATGCACGCACACACTCGCTCGCTCAGGCTTTGGCTCAGGCTCACGCTCTCTCACTCACACACTCACACACGCCAGCGCGCCTATGCGCTACATGCTATGGCGTTTTGTTTTGCCCTTGACAGACAATGCAATTTTTTGTTGCATACTTTACGGCGCTGCGGTTCGCCGTTTTGCGCGCGCATACGAACAAAGTTAAATTGATCGCGTAACTGCAGCAGCTGCGGGAAATATATGCACACATATATATATATATATATATATACATAAGTACAACTATATTTATTTATTTTTGCCTTTTTCTTGTTCTTCTTATTTGCAATTATACATATATGTATATATTTGTGTGTGTGTGGGTTTGTGTGTGTCCTATGTCCTTATGTAAACACTTTAGTTGGCCAAACAAGCTGCACCTTTTAGTCTCTGTCTGTCTGTCGGTCCGTTCGTCTGTCTGCCTAATTGTCTCGTTGTATGTGTGTGTGTGTGTGTGTGCATACATACATACAAAAGATAATGTATGCTTGCTGTGTACACGGAAAATTACATGAAAAATCCATCACAAATACAAGAAAAACAACAACAGCAGGAGCAGCAACAGCAACAGCAACAACAAAAACAACAACGCGGAGGCGCCACTTTGTCGTTGTTTTGTGTGTACTGTTGTTGTTTTCTTTTGTATTTTTCCCATTGTTTCCCTTTTTCTTTTTTTTGCAAAGTGATGTAGTCGCACACACACACACACACACACATATATAGGTATATATATATAATTGCGCAAACGTTGGTAACGCGACGCCAAGAAAATTTTCTTCTGCTTCAAATTCGCGTGACGCCACTTTTTGGGCTTTTCTCGTCGTCGCTCCAACACCCCCGCCCGAGCACTTCACATGAACGCACTTGCCATCTTTTATGGCAATCGCGACATAACTGCACGCATTTCCTTCGAATTGTCTCCAAAAATAGTTTATCAGAAACTTGCCAAATGCTTCACGTGTTTATATGCGTTTCCCACAAAGGGCACACAAAAAAAAAACACACACACACACAAAACAACAAAAAAATGCCCGCGTCGCACCCAATGCGAAAAATAGAGGATAACACACACACACTCACAGGCACACACAGACACATACACATACGCTCGCACTCGATAGAGTGTGGCTGGGTAGAGCTGTGGCTGCTGCTGTTCGTACGTGCGGGCAGCTCGACTATTTCAATCGGGGTGCAAGAGAGCTTCTATTTGTGGCCAATGGGTCCAATGTGGACTTGGCACAGCAACAACTGACGAAACTGAGAAGCCAACAACAGCAGCGCAGCAGCTGCGAGCTTTTGGGGTTGCCACAGCGACGGCAGCAACGATGTGGGCGCGCCTTACAGTCGGCAACGGATACCTGGCAGCCCGCCAGTGCCCAACCAGCAACAGTGCTGCCAACTTGTCAGTTCGGAGACTTTCAAAGTTCAGAAAACCATGTATGCAAGCGCTCATGAGTACAATCTGCTTAATAAGTTTATTTAATACATTTTTCACATTTCGACAACTTCGACATAACCATTACTAACCTACTAAAACCTGATTATTATCACGACATAGCTTCCCTAAAATAAAACATATTTGGGTATCTATCCACAATAATGCTACTGGGAACGAAACAGCTGATTCTTTGATTCTTTTCTTTCTCGTATTATTGTTATTCTGCATAAAGTTTCGCCAATTTATTGAGAATATTTCTAGTTGGCAATTTCTAGTATGTTAGTGAGAGATTGAAAAGAAAACACAGACTACCTTCAAGACTTTTAGAAGAAAGTAATAAATTGTCATTTCTATAGTTTTGTTTCTAATATAATGTTTATAATACATTGAATACCCTTCGATCTGAGACAGATAAGGTTGAATTTTCATGCTTCCTTGATCCTGAAAAAGCTGCTTTCCTGTTGAGACAAAAAAAAAAAAAACGTAAGTTGGCAGCCTGGCTCGCAGGCTAATGAATGCGCACGCGCCAATCAAAGTGCGAGTTAAGCTTTTTGTGAGCTTTGGAAGCTGTTGAGATTAAAAAGAGCCGTTGCCAATATTTTGGTCTTCCCGTAAGAGGACGAATCTCTGCGTTTATTTAAATTGGAATTTCGAATAGTTATCATGTTTTGTGCAAATGCCAATTTTCAGTTCTTAGCTCTACAGTGTTTTCAAAAAGCATCCATGTCCATTGGGCTAATTCTGGTGGTTTGTTTTTTTAGCCACTTAGAAGTCCTTGTTCCATTCAGTGTGCACGCCATGGAAGTTGTTCTGACGCTGGGCGGGTGCGTTGCGGCCGAAGGGGCTCTTGGGGTTCACCTGGAGGATGTAGTCGCCCTCGATGTCGTAGGCGGCATCGATGCCCATGTAGGCGCGCTTGCCGAAGCCATCGTTCTGCTTGTACTGTTTCAGCGAGTTGGCTGGGACGGCGGGGAAGTTGCGCTCATTGCCAGGACGAACGGATTCGGCGAAGTAGCGGGTGGCGCGCATGGAGGCCTCAACAACGTTGTCAGCACCGGGAACACCATTAGCAGGGCCATTGGGATAGAAGTCAACATTGCCGGTGCGAATGGGAGTGCCCATGCCATAGACAGAGGTGTGGATGGCATCAACGAATTCGGCATCGCCACGGGACAGACCGACGAGGGTGTTGCGGCGCTTGGCGACAATCTTGGAGGGGTCCAGAGCGGTGATGCGACGCAGCTTGTGACCGGTCAGGCGGGTGAACTCATTGGCGGCGGCACCAGCAACATGGGCGCTCACACCCTGGGCAACAATGTGAACGGTCTCGTGGGGAACATCCAATTGGTTGACCATTTGGACAATCCATTGGCCAATCTTGGCACCGGTCTGCTCAATGTCCAGCATAGCGTAGCGCTTGAAGTTGGTCAGAGTGGAGCCCAAGTCGATGATCTGCGACACAAATCAATAATATTAGAGCCTGTGGGAAACTGTCGTAAACAGCCGGAAACTTACGATCATATCACCAGTGTTGGTCTTGGCATTCTTGGCCAGTTCACTGTAGTCCTCCTCGCTGGATGTGCGCTGCTCCTTATCGTCGTAGTCGTTGCCGTATTTCTGTCCCTGTTCCTGCTGCTGCTTCAGGTTGTAGCGCTGCATGTAGGCCTGTACGAGCTTGCGGGTGGCCTTCTGCACGGTGCGGCTGGTCTGGGGCAGGCCAGTGAGCACAATGGTGACCTCATCCTGGCCGAAGTTGGTGTTCTGCTTCAGGTTGGAGATCACCTCAGTCAGAGTGGTGCTGATCTTCTCACCGTTGGGGCGGGGAATGTACACGGGAATCTGGCTGGGCACAAAGCTAGGCTCCAAGTCATGATTGATTTGGGACAGATGATCTGTAGGACAGACATACACAAGTATTTGACATTACAAGGATCACAAGGATGAGAGGATCGTTTGCTACTTACACAGCTGCTGCAACAATTCGGCACCCTTGTCCAACGGCATGCTCTCCAAACGCTCCAGGGTCAGCTCATCGATGGATGGGATTCCCTCCAATTCCTGCACTGAAAGCCATTGGGATGGCTTCAGCGCCTGGCTGACCGAATTGTCCATGCGTTTGTTCGATGTGGGCGTGGCCAGGCACAGGGCCAGGCAGCCCAAAAGGCTCAAAACTTTCAGAGCGTTCATTGCAAGATTCGTTTGGTCCGGAAGTCTATTGTTACTTCAACTACACGCCAAGCAACTGTGTCCCACTACCGTCTGTAGCCGACATTTATAGCGCTGGCAAAAGTGCTTAGCACTGCTGCCAACGTTTCGACCGATTTCTGTCAAGTCAGGTGTTTCGAGGGCAGTGCTTGGCCCATATGTATTCGTTCTATATGCACTACTTACACGTACTTATGTATATGTTTGTGTGTCTTCTTTGTTGCCAAAGGGCTAATCATCAATGAAAAATCTCGCCAAGTCACCAGGCAACAAATTGTAGCTGATAAATACTGAGATTTGGAGCAACAATGTATTTTGAGATTAACTGAGCTCGAGCAGCTGCTAAAATATAAAGATTCCAGATCAGCCAAGGCTCATGTGCATTATCTAATATACAAGTAGGAGTATATATAGATCAGATAACATTTTTATACTGTATACCATTTCAAACAAAAAAAGTGCCTTACAACTTTTCTAATGCAAATTTTTTATACTTATACAAACTTACAAATATTACTTATGGAACGGCCGTCCAAAACCTTTTACAATACTATATATGAAAAAAACACAAACAAAATGTAATTTAAAGCATTAAGCAAAAACAAAAAGCGCTCTCACAATTGATCTATTAAAGTTTATTAAATTTTCCTTCGCAAAAATCATTCAAGCAAAAGCTTAACTAAGCCGAAAATACAATCTGTTATGACTGCCCCAAATAGTTATACATATTAATTGTTATTAATAGCATCGCTCGATATTGTTGCTCGAACAACAAACGAACTAAAACGACGTACACATTTGAATATTCGATTTAAGGTAGAAGCTCTAACTACTTTGTGTCGACAAACAAAGCGGACACATAACATTTATATTGCTATTAAAGGCGACCAATTTGTGTACTTTTTCATGCAAAATCGCTGGCAAATCAAACTATTTACGCACAATTTAATTGCATTTTATTCCCTTCTTTCATTACTACTTATTGCATTTAATTTTCAAAAAGTTCTTGCATGTTTTTTACAAACGAATTCCGAGAATGTTAAGAACAGAGCTCTGTTAAGTGCAGGCTGTTTAATTGCACAAAATTCTGTTAACCTCATCTGTCGTTCGCAGCCAAGAAAGCAGTTTTTAAGATAAATTTTTTTCGCTATCCGATATTGAAATAAAAACAGTTTAATTAGTCATATGATTACAAACTATTTTATAGACAATTTAATTGCATTTTATTGCTTTCTTCAATTATTACTTATTTCCTCGCTGTCTTCCAAAGTGCACTACATTTTTAAATGTAGACGCCCAGAATGTTAAGAACAGAGCTCTTTTATTTAATTGCATTGCTCTGTTAACCATAGCAGTTGTTCGCAGCCAACAGTTCAATTATTACATATTTCTGCGCTGCCTCCCAAAATGCATTTGATTTTCATAAGAATTCCCAATAGTATGTTAATAACAGAGATCTGTTAACCATAGCAGTCGTTCACAGTCAACAAAACGGTTATTAACATAATTTCTTTTTGGTTGATTTTAGAATAAAAACTGTTTAAGTTCTCGATATGATTAAATTTTTAGAAAATAGCAGCTTAAAGTTTGAAATTACCAAAAAGGTAGAAGACATACAAAATTTGTGGAAAAATTAAGTTTAGTTCTACATAATTCCCTTTTAGTGCGATACACCTTTCTCAGCTATGTTCAATAGCTTCTACTATATATCATTATAGTGAGAAACTTTTTCATTATTGGCCAAATCGTTTTTCACTTTCGAAAAACGAAAGAAACCGAGGCGATTAAATTGATCTTTTGCTTGTTTTATGAATGAACATGTAACATTTTTTGATAAAAGTTTTAATATGTAGTTGATTGCGTTTAATTTTTTCTCCTTTTGGAACATAATCAATCCAAACCTCTTCCACATGCATTCAAAAAAATTGACAATGACAGATGGAACTCTCTTTGTCTGCATTGGAGACGATTCTTCTCCCCTTGCCGTCTATTGTTTTGCCTCTTCCTTCGCCTCAGGTGCGAAGTGTTGGACTCAAGTTGCATCCATGGTTATGAATCGACGCGAAAATTGTGCTTTGTTGTTATGAAACATCGCCAATAACTTACATTTTCGTTGTTTTATATGGCTTTTAATTTACGAAATTTAATATTAAACATTCAATTATGCATACAAATGTATAATTGTTGAAAATCAATACAAACATAAGTACCAATGCACGCATGTTAATATAAGCAGATAATAATCTTATGTTATCTACAAGTTATCTGTCACTGTTGCATACGAATGTAAGCATAAAGAATATGTATAGCAAAAGTGTCAGTCTCCAATAAAACTCTAAAGCGAACAGACGCACGGCGGTCCGCGACTATTGTCTTTTACTTTACTCCTACTGAGCCCTTCCCTTTACAGCGAATATATAATCTATTCAATAGGTTATGGGCCCAGGGCAGATAGGCTCATAGGAGAAGTTCAAAGTATTGTGAAATAGTAATCGTTTGGTGACTCAAGAAATATAACATTTAAAAAATGAGTGCGCTATATCAAATAGACAAATTGGAAGAGCATAACTATGACTCATGGAGCATACAGATGCGATCTGTCTTAGTGCACGCGGAATTGTGGAGTGTGGCATCAGGTGCTGAACCTAGTAATACTGAGAGTTCAAGGCCAAAAGATGAAAAGGCATTAGCAATTATAACGCTAAGTGTAAAAGCTTCACAATTGGGCTTCATTAAAAATTGCAACACTTCGTACGAGGCATGGAAAAAGTTAAAGGACGTTCATCAGCCGAGTGGACCTGTACGGAAAGTGTCGCTGTACAAGAAATTGCTAGGCAAACGCATGTTTCAAGGCCAAAGCATTTCAAGTTACATACACGAATTTAACGAAATTCTGGATGGTTTGTGTACAGTTGGCATCGAATTAAATGATGAGTTAAAAACAATCGTGTTGTTGTCAAGCTTGCCCGAACCATACGAAAATTTTGTCGTCGCCATTGAGACGCGTGACAATTTACCGTCATTTGATGTGTTATGTATCAAGCTGATGGAAGAGGGAGAGCGCAGAGGCAATGCAGATGGAGAGAGCGAGAATGCAAGAGCATTTATAGCTACGCAGCAGATCGTCGCGCATTCCAAAGCGAATTCAAAAAGGAATTCAAAAATCGTCGTTTGCTACAACTGCGGCGAAAAAGGGCACTACAAGGCACAGTGCAAGCGTGAGAAAATTCGCGGTGAAGGGAAAAAGCAATCGACAAAGAAAGAGATGGAAAAGCAGAGCAGCTTGTTAAATGCGTTGGACGTTGGAAAGATAGAGAACAACATGTGGTGTCTGGACAGCGGAGCAACAAGCCATATGTGTTGCGATAAGACGTTATTTTCAAAATTTATTGCGCACACTGAAATGATCGGTTTAGCTGACGCTGGTTTCCTGAAGGCCGAAGGCAGAGGAGAGGTGAAGTTACAGACAGAACTTTGTACCTTGGTGTTGTCAGATGTACTGTATGTACCGAAAATGAATGGCAACTTTATGTCCGTCAGCCGGTCAGTGCAAAAGAACAATGTTATACATTTTGGGCCACATTTTGCTAAAGTTATACAAAACGGCGAGTGTATACTGAAAGCGAATAAAGTTGGGAACCTTTATATGTTTCAAGGCAAACAAAATAGGTGTTATTCCGCAACTGAATCAGATGGTACATTGTGGCATAAGCGTTATGGCCATTTAAATTTTACCAGTCTGAAGGAAGTGATCAGCAAAGAGCTAGTGCGTGGTATTGGAAAGGTTGTTTTCCCAGACAACTTGAATTGCAAAACGTGTATGCTAAGCAAAATACATGTACAGCCATTCCCAAAGGTAAGCACTAACCGTGCCGAAGAGCTGTTGGAACTGGTTCATGCTGATGTATGCGGCCCATTCGACACGAAGTCACTTGCTGGATCCAAATACTTTCTGACCTTCATCGATGACAAGTCCAGGCGTATATTTGTTTATTTTTTGCGGAAGAAAGATGAAGTGTTCAGTAAGTTCGTCGAATTTAAAAACTTGGTTGAACGGCAAACAGATAAAAAGCTCAAATGTATTCGAACCGACAATGGAGGCGAGTTTGTCAACACAACATTCAACGGTTTCCTGAAACACCATGGTATTGCAAGGCAATTGACCGTGGCTTATACTCCGCAGCAGAACGGCGTGGCGGAAAGAGCAAACCGGACATTAACGGAGATGTCCAGATGCTTATTGGTGCAGTCGGGCCTAGGCGAGTCTTTGTGGGCCGAAGCAGTCAACACAGCAGTATACATAAGAAACAGATCACCTACCAGTGCACTGAACAACCTGACTCCAATGGAAGCGTGGACAGGTAAGAAACCCTGTGTTAGCCATCTAAAAGTTTTTGGTTCCATTGCAGTTGCACTTGCAAAGGGTCCCCGTAAAGGCAAATTCAAACCCAAAGGGCATGAGTACCGTATGGTTGGGTATTCGGTAGCAGCCAAAGGCTATCGGTTATACGACCCAGAGACGAGGACGATTGTCGAAAAACGAGACATTCTATTTGATGAGCGTTGTGGTGGTCATACCAATGAAGATACCGTTACGGTAGATTTTCCTGCATGCGAGGTTCAAGAGCATGTCACTCACACGGATGGTGACAGAAGCATCGACGACGATGACAGTGAGCACAGTTCTGACGACAGCAGCTCCAACGCATATGAGAGTGCAGTCGAAAAAGAAGACTCTGACGAGGATACTGTGAAGATTGGGCCAGGCCGGCCTAAAATTGTTCGAAATGGTAAACCTGGTCGTCCAAGAAAGCAATACAATGTGCTTGGAGCATTGGTTGCTAGTGACGTAATGGTTCCGACATCCTATGATCAGGCCGTTGGTAGCACACATGCAGTATTCTGGCAAGAGGCGATGCAAAAGGAATATCAGGCACTACAATCAAACGAAACCTGGCAGATGGCTGATTTACCAAAAGATCAGCGAGCAGTTGGTTGCAAGTGGGTATACAGCCTGAAACGTGACTCTGATGGAAAAGTCGAACGTTTCAAGGCACGACTCGTTGCTAAAGGGTGCTCCCAGAAGTATGGCGTGAACTATGTAGAGACGTTCTCACCCGTTTGCAGATTGGAAACCGTGCGGTTTATTTTGGCGTTAGCAGCGGAATTGAAGCTGTACCTTCACCAGATAGATGTGTGTACCGCCTATTTGAATAGCGACCTGCATGAAACTGTTTATATGAAGCAGCCACAGGGATACACAGATCCCAATAATCCAAGTAAGGCTTTATTGCTTAAAAAGGCAATATATGGATTGAAGCAGTCGGGGCGCGAGTGGAACTCCAAGCTCGATTGTGTACTACAAGGCATAGATTTTGTAGCATGTGAAAATGAACCGTGTCTTTACAAAAGGAACGGAAGAGGTGACTTATCATTAATCCTTGTTTATGTTGATGATATAATTATAGCATGCCGATCAAAAGAGGACTTGGCCAACATCAAGTCAGCCATTACAACATCGTTTGAATGTGTTGACAAGGGAGAGCTGCATTTGTTCCTTGGCATGGAAGTGCAGCGCGACGGTGAGCTTGGCGAAATTTCGCTAAGCAATTCGCAATACATCAAAGACATATTGCGTGAACATGGATGCGAGACCTGTAGACCTACAGCGACCCCACTGGATGCTGGTTTCCAAGTGATATGTACCAGCGAGCATTGTCAAAAGGTTGACATTGCATCCTACCAGTCTTCAATTGGCGAGTTAATGTGGCTGGCGCTTACAACAAGGCCAGACATATTGCATTCCGTTGCCAAGTTAGCTCAACGGAATCAAGATCCGCATGCAGAGCACCTAGTGGGTGTAAAACATGTGCTTCGATACCTGGCGTCAACTGTGGACCTGAAGTTGCACTACAAAGAGTGTGGACAACCCCTTACCGGCTATGTGGATGCAGACTGGGGTGGCGACCGCATCGATCGCAAGTCGTATACTGGCTATGTATACTACTTGGCTGGAGGACCCATATCCTGGCGATCTGAAAAGCAACGCAGCGTGGCACTTAGCAGCACGGAGGCGGAGTATATGGCTCTTTCAACTGCGTGTAAGGAGGCCATATACCTACGGCGTCTTATAGTGGAGATTGGCTGCGGTGACTCGAGTACTCCAACTATTCTTCATGGCGATAATTTAAGTGCTCAACAATTAGCTAAGAATCCTGTACACCATGAAAGAACAAAGCATATTGATATTAGATATCATTTTGCAAGACAGGTTGTAAACGAAGAACAAATTGTTTTACAGTATACATCAACCAATGAAATGATAGCTGATATTTTAACGAAAAATCTCCCTAAAGCGAAGCATGTTCATTTTACAAAGCTGTTAAATTTGATTTGAAAATTTTTGTAAAACATGTTTGCATTGAGGAAGGGTGTTGAAAATCAATACAAACATAAGTACCAATGCACGCATGTTAATATAAGCAGATAATAATCTTATGTTATCTACAAGTTATCTGTCACTGTTGCATACGAATGTAAGCATAAAGAATATGTATAGCAAAAGTGTCAGTCTCCAATAAAACTCTAAAGCGAACAGACGCACGGCGGTCCGCGACTATTGTCTTTTACTTTACTCCTACTGAGCCCTTCCCTTTTCAGCGAATATATAATCTATTCAATAATAATTAAACTGATGTCTCTAGCAAGTTGCCGGCCATAAAATATTCCATCTTGAAATTTGAGTATTAACTGAAATTCGTTATGGTAATAACTACGAGTATATTGCTAGATAGTTATTGTTAAGAAATGTTATTGAGCATATAATTATGAATTCAAGACCCTATAAAGAATAATTTTTGGCGATTCATTTTGATAATGTAGACAATTTTGACCTGAAATGGTTGCTTAATCTTAAAAAAAAGAATATAATATACCATAAATAATATCTTAGAATGCCTTCTCTACATCTGGTCCACATCAAGCATGAAGGAACATCTAAAACTCTTTCAAATTTATAATTTTACATAAGGTATGAAAATGAAATAAAAACTAGAGAAATAGATTGTTCTTGTACAAAAATAAAACCTAATTGTTGTTTCAATCTGCTTGCATTGGATAAGGGTATATAAGAACTGAAATAGATATGAAATACAAGTATTCTTAAGCCTTGAAGAAAATTGAATTGAATTTCATTTGAAGATTAAAAAAATATAAATAAAATCGAGAGAAACAGATTGTGGACGACTTATACTTAAAAAGCGTTCTCAAGATATTAAAAAAAAAGCTTTATTGTCGTTTTAATTTCTTGAATTGAATTTCATTTGAAGATTACAAAAATATGAATAAGAACTGGAGAAATAGATTGTGGCCGCCTTATTCTTAAAAGGCTTTCTCAAGATATTACAAAAAAAGCTCAATTGTCGTTTTAGTTGCTTGAATTATCTATATAAGAGATATTTTCAAGCCATGGAGAAAATTGAATTGAAATTGAATTGAATTTCATTTCATTTGAAGACTAAAGAAATATCAATCAAGTTTTAAAAATATTAGGTTTATATTTTTGGTAGTTCGCAAATTTGAATTCATTTCATGCAACTTTTTTGTCGAAAACAATTACCATTTTAAAAATTACAAGTTCACAAAAAATTGCTTATACAGTTGAAATCAATGGCAATAGCATGCTAAAATAAATGAACGTTTTATTAACGTATGTATGTATGCATGTATGTATATATAATTTGTAGTCGCTACAGAAAATTGACAAAAATGAAGAAAAAGAATGAGCTGCAAAATGAAATTAAAATCATGCGCTTATGGACTTGTTGGACACACATTTTGGCAGTATACGCAATGTAAGCTTCTCGGATACATTGACCTGCGTTTGCAGACCAAAATTTTGTTGCAACATTTGCAATAAAATGCCTGCAAAATGTTACTGTGTTTGGCCAAACTTTTGCTGACTGATTATGTAAATTGTCTGATCGTTTAATTCGATCGCATGTACTACATTACTCAATAAGTGATTTTTTATTAAAAAACAAGAAAAAAAAACAGGAAAAAATATCGCACACCTCATCAGACTCGTCCGATGCGCGTGTGTGTGAAAAATTGCGAAAATGCCAAATCAGATTGATTGTCGATTGCACTTTCTAGTCTGTTCGTACTCTTTCTAGATGGATGGGCGAGTGCACAAAAAAAAAAAACAACAACAACAACAGCAACAAGTGCAGCAAGAAATTGCTGAGCCCGCTTCCGTTGGCAGACACGTGTGGTGTCTATGGCAGAATACGGTCAACGAACGTGCCCAGGGCTAGACGGACTACTCTGGACTATAAAACTGACGAGTGAAGTGGCAAACAATTGTATTACGACTCTGTGTGGTATCTTGACAAGACAGCTGCTCTATAGCTCCCAGAATGAATCCTCTGCGCATCTTGTGCCTGATGGGCTGCCTTGTGGCCGCCTCTATGGCGTCTCCCTCCTGGCAACAGCAGCGCGGCAGCAACTCGCTCCAAGGCTATCAGGATCCCAGCAACTGGGTGAGCTCCAACGACATCGAACAGTTGCCTTCTCTCAACGAGGTGACGTTGAAGCGCGTGGAACAAATGAGCGTGGAGGAAGGTGCCACCATGCTGAACCAGCTCTGTAAGTAACAACAACACACAAGCCAATTAATTCAAACAGCCTCAATAATTCACATTAATTCGGCAATTCGTTGCAGACCATTTGGCCCAGGTGAATGGTGCCCTCAAGCCCACATATGTGCCCGAGCCTAGCCAGGTTCAGGGCTACATTGTCACCCCCCGCGGCGAAAAGATCGAATTCAATCTGAACAACTTTGTGCAGACCGTGCGCCGTCTGCCCAACTTTGGCAACGAGGAGGTCACCATTTTCATCACCGGTCTGCCACAGAGCATCAGCTACATGGGCAAGGCCACTCGCAAGCTGGTCCAGGCATACATCCAACGCTACAACCTCCAGTCGTACCGCAGCCAATACCAGTATGGCGAGCAGGACAACGACAACGACAGCGAGGAGCAGCAACAGCTGCAGGGTCGTAGCAAGCAGAACGGTGACAACAACAACGAGAACGAGACCACCGGCGATCTTGTGGTGATCAATTTGGGCGACGCCATCGAGAACTTTGAGCAATACACCACCTTCAATGTGGAGCGCTTCGGTGCCCTTCTCGGCCAGCAATTGGTGCGTTTGACCGACGAGGCCAATGTGCCACAGGAGATCATTCATTTGATCGGTCAAGGCTTGGGTGCTCATGTTGCTGGCGTCGCTGGTCGTCAGTACACACGTCAGACTGGCCACAAGCTGCGTCGCATCACTGGTCTGGACCCTGCCCGTCTCTATGCCAAGGCCGAGAGCAAACTGAGCGGCTTGGCCCGCGGTGATGCTGACTTTGTTGACGCCATCCACACATCTGCCTATGGCATGGGTAGTCCCGAGCGCGTCGGCGATGTTGACTTCTATCCCAATGGACCTGCTGCTGGTGTTCCCGGTGCTGACAATGTTGTTGAGGCTTCGCTGCGTGCCACCCGCTACTACGCCGAGTCTGTCCGTCCTGGCAATGAGCGCAATTTCCCCGCTGTTGCCGCCACTTCCTACCAGGAATACAAGCAGAACAATGGCTATGGCAAGCGCGCCTACATGGGCATCGCCGCCAGCTACGACATCGAGGGCGACTACATCCTCCAGGTCAACCCCAAGAGCCCCTTCGGACGCAACACGCCCGCTCAGCCCCAGAATGGTTTCCACGCCATCCATGGTTCCTGGAAGCAGCAGCAACAAAACCAACAGCGCCTCAACTAAACACCAGTCGTCATCCACCCGAACTGCCGGACCCAATCCAATCCAATCCAACCCAACCTAACCACAACCACAAGCATAAGCATAAATGCATTTCCTTCCTCATCGGTTATAAATTAGTTACGCTTAGTTCGAAATAAAAATTGCATTTAATTTAAAAACGAAAAGTACTTTGAATTTGAATAACATTTTTTTTTTTGGAAACTGAAATTGCATCTGATAAAATGCAAAAATACTTAGAACACACAATCTCTTTACCTTATCTGCGACAAGTTGGGGCGTTCGAACTCCCACTCTCCAACATGTTCGTACACAATTAGATGCAACTCGTTCATCTATCAAATCCACACACACTTATATGCATGTATATATCACACACTTATGTAAATACGTTAAGATCGCGCACACACACTCAATATGTCGCGCAAAATTAAGCCTTGACCTGCAGCTGCCAGCTGTGCGCTCTCTGTTAGAATGGAAAAGTGAAAGCAAACAATAGAAGAGCAATCAATTTACACAACTCGCATGTTGGTATGGGCGTAGCAAGGATCATAGCAAGGGGGATTTCATGTAAATGTTCTTTAACATTAAATTGCTCTAATTATAAATTTATGTATATTATTATAAAGCATAAATTAAATTTTTAAATCTCTATATAATGTCCTGTGATATGTATGTACACTGATGTGATGTGCATTAATTAATTGTTGTTCTTCATTTATTTAATATCGCAATATCGTATTGCAAACCCTTATTCTGTCTACAACCATGTTGATAAGCCGTTAGATACAAATTTGATTTGCTTTGTCTTTTGTTTCTTTGCTGTCCCTCTCATCTTAAAAGAGAGCGCATCGTTTACGAGAGAGTGTGTTTGTGCAGCAACGAAGACAGTTTTTAGTTTTGTTTGAACTGTTGCGCCGGGTCGCGTCGCGTGTCTTTAGCTGCGCAAAAGTATAAATAATGTGTTAACTCTTTAATTAAATAAATAGTATACTACCATATTAGTACAAATATGTCGTTGTTTATCAAAATGCGTATATAGAAATCGTATTTTCGCCCGAGTGTATGTAATTTTTTTGTTTCGTTTTTTTTTGAGTGGTTGTGAATGTGATGTGCGAAGTGTTTAGTGCATAGCTCTACAATAAATTAAATAATAAAATGTTTGTACATACTTATGTATGTATGTATGCGTAAGTAGGCATTAAAATATTTGCGTTCTTTATTAGTTTTATTTGCACATTCCTTTTGCGTACATTTACACAAACTCATATAACAGTGTATAACAGTGTATAACAATTTGGCTTCGTACATATTTGCAGGCACTACAAATGTGAAGGGAAATTGAAAAAATGCAAAACAAACGCAATTGTTTTATAAATTATGCGTTGAATATTTTATTGTAGCATATTTTATTTTATGTTTATTATGTGTTGCAACAGTGTTGCCAATTTAGTTTTTTTTTTTTTTCGCCAGCTCTAAAGTTTTTTGAATGCCGAGCGCGGGAAAAAAGTTGAAATTACGGCTGATAGAAAGTTCAAGTGGCTGTTTTATAAGAGTTGGGGTAGAGCAAAATTTTAATTCGGGTTTTCTTATTTATCTTGTATTCTATATGAGAGTATACAAACCAAGTTTTAAGTTAACTTTTGGAGTTAAAATTTTCAAAAGCCGCTTCTTAGTGCACACCAACACTGAAAGGATATTTGAGTCAAAATTGCAGCTTCGTAGCTCTTACCGATCAACCAGTCAGTCAGCCAGTTAGGACAAACTGTTTTATATACATATGTATATGTACGAGTCATAAGAACGATGGGTTTAACAAAGTATCCTTCAGTTGAAAGATTGTGTATGGAAATGAATATGAAGAGTCGGGCTGGAACCACTTAACGTTCATCTCGTTTTCTCTAGAATTCCTCTTTTTCGGACATTGGCTTAACAATACAATACATTTGGCATTAAATATTTGCTTGGAAATGAAATGTGGCCTATCGATATAGATATTTGTAAAAATATTAGTAAGTAAATATAATTATGAGTTTTATTTATGGAGTAAATAATGCAAAATTCGTTTATACAAATAATTGTCACTTAATTAACTAACACTTAAATTAATTTAACAAAAAAAAAAGAAGAAAGAAACGAATCACACAAATTTACAAAATACGCAAGCAAAATAATTCCAATTAGCGGGGGCGTCCTGGTCAGTGAGAAAAAATTCAGTCATTGCTCTTAAATAAATGTGGTTTTGAATTGATTTTCCAATGCATCTCTAATCCTGACAACTCTGGCCGGCACTGGCCCGAGTACACATGCCCCCCACAGCATCGTAGCTGAGGCCCTTGGGGCAAGTGTATTCCCAGCCAACAATGCCGCCAGTCTCCTCAAATTTGGCACAGGAGATGAATTTGCGACAGGAGAGCGGATGTGGAAAGTTTCCTTGGGCGAGGCATTCGATAATGCCCTCTCCATGCACAATGACCTTCACCTAGTTTTGAAGAGATTTTTTAGTTATAATTTTTGGGTATGGGGAGTAGATCGAATCAATTCACCGGTTGCTGCTTCTGTTTCTGCTGTTTTTTGGGCAATGAGGGCGACACGCCTATATTGGTATCATCATAATACTCATAGTTCAGCGCCTGCTGCCTAAAGCTGCTCTTCGAGCTGGCGGTTGCTGTGGCCAGAGCTGGCTTGCTGGGTGGCCGACTATATATTTCAATATACTTGTGGGGTCGACGACGACTCTGGGTTCCCTGACGCCTCGTTGCTGTGGCTGGGGTGGTGTTGTATTTGGATCTAGTTGTGGATGTGGAGGTGGTGCCCGATTGAGGTCGGCGTGGGCGTGGCACTAGCTGGCGACCTTTAGAGAAGAAAAGAGTATGCTCAAGTGAAAAATATTGTCGTCAAGTAGGGTTGTTGATGAAATATTGAAATCATCACACATGTATTTACGCAATCAACAATCGTTTTCTGGATTATTTCTGCTCATTTTAATATGTTTGACAGTCACTTTTTACTCTGTTTGTCAGTGTTTCATTCGTAAATGAATAAAATTGTAAAATCGAATTCAAAACAAGAAAGGAATGCTAAAATCGAGCAGGCTCAACTCTTAAATATAGGGTATTTATTTATAGGGTATTACCACACTCAAAATACAATTTATTAAAAAAAAATTTAATTAATTAAATTAAATACATAGTCTGGTTATTCTAGCTCTTATACTTTCTGAGATCCTTGCGTTCATACAGACAGACAGACGGACAGACAGACGGACAGATAGACATGCATGGCTATATCGACTCGTCTTGGCTTGTACATTCGCACAAAACTAATATACCCTTTTACCCTTTGGGTACAGGATATAAAAATGCAGCTGAAAACGCTAGTATTAAATAATATTGTTATTAAGCTAGGCAATTGACATTTTGAAGTAGTCCACCCTACTATTATTCATATCTTCAAATGTAAAGATGTTTTTGTTTTTGCATCCCTAAAAGCAGTATACTTTCATCAACTTTCATCTGTTTGGCTAAAAAAATCGACGTACATGGGTTTCTTAGCCTTGTGTGACTCATTAGAGCTACACTACAAGTAAGATACATCGGCAATACTTACGCGTGGCATATACTGTTCCGGAGGCAACTCCTGCGGTTGCTGGCGTCGTACTGCTAGCCGTTGTGCCGGGCCGTGTTAACAACTCAAAAGTGTCCCGGATACTGGACTGCAGCTTAGCCTGCTCGGCGATCTGATTGAAGCGACTGGTGTGTACACTGGACTTGGCCACCTGATCGTTTGAGTCCTCATTGCCATCCGCATTGTCACTGCCATACAGATTGGTGGTCGTCGCATCGATAATATTGCTGCTGGTTGTAGTTCGTGGTGCTGGCGCCGGTAAGGTGCTCAGCGTGAAGCGGCGTTTGAAGAGCGGGTTTTGAGTGCGTGGTGGCTCAGTAGCTGGTGAAGAGCAAGAAAGAAAGGTGAGGCGGTATCTCAAAATGTTAATTGATGAATTTCCGGTCGATACGTTATTGTATAAGCCATTTAATTGCCTAATTTGCAGTTGGCCACAAATTCAGAAACAAAATTGTGGGTTGAGTTGAACATGAAATCCCAAATTCATTTGAATACGTAAGAGTGAACGCGGTTGGAAATATGTAGTTTGAGATTTTGAATATCATCATATCATGATTGGCTTCTTTTTTTTCCACAATTTAACTTAAAACAATTGATGAAATGAATTGTTGGCTATCCTCAAACTGTAGTCTCAATTGGAGTCTTGAGTCTGCTTTTAAATTGTATGCTGTATTCGAATGTGTTCCTTCAATCCCTTTGAGTTTACCTGAAACTTTCTAATTAACTTTCTTCTCCATACATTAGCTTGCATCGTAAATTTATAAATTAAGATAGTATATTCAATTTCGATTGGGACTATTATTTAAAACTCAAAAACGCTTCTGCTCTAAAACTAAAGCCACGATTTAAGTTCCAAAAATGTTTCTAAATTACAAAAATATAAAAATGTTGTAAAACTAAGTTTACAATTCACTCTAGACAGTACATGTATTTGAGATGATAAAGCTGAGATGAGGAGACAATACAGCTCCTACATTTACAGAAGAATACCTATAGTATTTATTGTGAAGAAATAAAGTATAGAATTTTGTTTTGTAATTTTTTCGGATGACATTCTTTAAAAACATGTTAACCATCTGTTATGTATTTTTCGAAACACTCCCTGGAATTCTTGCCGGAAAACACAAATTTCATTTAATTTGGGCAATTTTGGACTATTTGAAATGTTTCTCATAATCTTAACATACTTGTATTTATTTTTGTCGGCAAACACCTTTTTACGGTTTCGCATCATTTCAACTTACTTTTGGGTAATTTTCAAAAGAATCTTCTAGAATTGTTTTGGGAGAGGTTTTAAATGTTTTTCATTTTACTTTACTTAGTTTAGTTAATTTTTCAAATAAACTGTTTTAAGAGTTTTGGTTAGGAACACTCTTTAAACCATATTTTCATCAATTTGGATTACGTTTATGAACTTTTCAAGGGCAATACTCTCTAGCATTTTTATTGGCAGTCACTTTAGTTATTTCATCGCCTTAACTTTCTTTTCGGTCTTTTTGAAGACGAGGTTCTATTTTGAAGAGCTTTGTTTATGATAATCTTAACTTACTTTTGAGGTTAGTCGATGGGAAAATTTCAAATGGCAATCTCTACGTATTAATGAGAAACACTCTAAGTCGCTACATCATCTTAATATAAAATTATTTTTATAGAACGCTTGCTGTAAAAATATTTTTCCAAGTCTTGTTCATCAATTTTTTCGAATAGCTTATTGGTAATACACACAAGTGTGAGGGAGCTTCGAAAATTTTTGAAGATACTACAGATCATTAGAAAAGGATATATCCCATGTGTTTCCTTTTTTGAATCGCTTTTGCCAGTTCATAAAAGTTGTTACCCGAAACGGATTTCCGTTTTGGAAGAGCCTTTCATGTGAGTGATTGCAAATAATTGAGATACCTTTGATTGATTGGTTAACCGATGTACTTAAGATGCGGTTGAAGCTTGAGGGGAACTCACCGCTTTCGTCACTGGAACTTGATGCTGGAGCTGTGGTTGTCAGACGACGCGTCTGAAACTGCCGCCGCAACGCATAGCTGGCCGGTTGGAATTTGTGTTGTTTTAGCGTAATATTGTTGTTGTTGTGTGGCGAGAGCGTTGTAACTTTCGTTGTTGGCGTAGCCCCACCATTGGTTGTTGTTGTTGTTGTTATTGCTGATGCTGATGCTGATGCTGCGGAGGCTGCTGGCCTACTACGTAAGCGATTGTATTTGGAGGTCGCCGTTACCGTCGCTGTCGCTGTCGCCGTCGCCGTCGACGTCGTTGTTGTTGCTGTCAGTTCTGCTGCTGGTGTGGCCGATTCGGACGTGTTAATAATGCGTCTGCGCACACTCAGTACCGGTCGATGCAGAGCGATGCTGTCGGCAACGACTGCGCCAGCGGCAGCAGCAGCAGCGGCTACTGAGGTGCCCGCATTACTGACAACAGTCCCAGTCGTTGGTGAGCGGAGCTGCAGGTCGGCAGTTATAGTCGGAGTGGCAGTGGAAGTTTTTAGCAGTCACATGGAAAGAAGCGCGCAAATTTGTTTAAAAAAAAAGGGGAATATTATTAAATACACATATATAGTATATAGTATAGAAAGGGTACACACGCAGAGTGGCTGTTTGTTTTCTTACAGACTCGTACACAGCAACATACTATACTGCTCGATTGTTTTGTGATTTGTGTGAAGAAGTACATACTAGTATCTGTGTGGTATTTCACGCTTTACGCGAATACCTAGTTGTTGTTGTTGTTGGTTGTGGTGTCAAGTTGTGTTGTGTTGTGCGTTTCGCTTGGTGTGGCTGGCTGGCTGGCAGGCAAACAACAAAATTCAAAAGCGCGCTACGTGCGACCCAACCAACTGGCATTGAAAATACAGAAAGTGCAGTTAATTCATTCAATATAATATATAGAAATCATTGAAATATACATACAATACAATACAATATGGTATATCTTTTCAATTACCATTGCTGATGCGAAGCTCAAAAGTCATAGAATTGTTAAGAGAAGCATTTTCAAAAAGGTTTTATTTTTCCGTTTCCGAAGTATTTCTTTCTTATTTCACAAGAAAATAATTTCTTTCATTAAACTACCGATAATAACAAGCATTTAAGTGTTTAATACGAATGGCTAACAAAAAATCATTTGCATGTTTCTTTGTTTTGTTTTTCGTGCATATTTTTAACAAAAGATAAAAAAAAAAACAAAATCTCTTTATATATACAAAAACCAAATCATGCCACTAAACTCATTCAACATGTTTTCTTTATTATCTAAACAGTTATCTTTAATTTAATTTTGCTCATTTCGAAACACTAATAATTTACATTTCTTTAAAAGTGAAATGCTTTAAAACACATACACTCATATATAGTATGTATTTACTGACTTTTGAACTTCGCATATAGCTTGTAAGCTGTCAAAAGTTCTAAGACTAGGATGCTTTATGGATGATAAGTTGCGAGTTGTGTATGCGCTTTGCTTTCTGAGTGTGATGATGGTTTAATAAAATATTGATGTATTTGGTTTCGATTCTTATTTTGGGCTGGGAATCGAATTGTGTGCTCTTTCAAGAGGTAAGTACTCGTATAAAGCCAAGGCAGACCTTGAAGAGCATTTAGAAAATCAGATTAAAGGTTGATTCATCTGAGCAAACAATGTGGCACAAACTTATAATTGTGTTGCGACATTTCAATATAATAATATATATGTATGTGCGAGAGCGAAAGAAACGACTTTAGAGATAATTATATGGCAGGTTGTTTATTTTTTTTAATGTTTTTATTTTTTAACATATACAGCATTTATGTAGGCTTGCGTCATTGCCATGTGTGTTGAGCTTTTTAATGCCATAGTTGATTACAAATTTGCTGCGGGTTGACAAAAAGGTCGAGCAAAATGAGAAATAATGGTAATAATAATAACAACAGATGCGTGTGCTTCAAACGCTCGCGAGTCTGGCTCACAAAAAAGCTAAAGCTCGTGCTGATGAGCTGAGCTGAACTGAGCTGAGTTGAGGTTGCTGGCAGGCCAAGTGGCTAAACTATTTGGCAAGAGACTGCATGCCGAAGCATTACGCAATGCTCTGATAGTTGTTGTTGTTGCTGTTGTTGTTTTGGAAGATGCGCACTTTGCCGTTTTTTATGATTGACTTTTTGCTGTTATTGTTTGCATGGCAAACAGGTTGGACTTTAATTAAATATTGTGCAAGCGTTCGAGCCAACGACAGACGATGCGTACATATACTATGTACATATGTATGTATGTGTGACGATGCAAATCGAAAGGCTTCAGGCACAAACTGGCCGGCCACACAGCACACACACACACATATGTTTGTATACTATACAAGTATATGCATAAAAAAGTGATGGCGCAGTGAAAGCGACTACATGGGATGTAAGTAAATATGTACTCTATAGTATGTGCGAGTATATAGCGCCAGAATCAACAAAAGTGCGGCCAACATTGTAATGGATACCCGCAATATTGGGTTAAGGGCCACCCAAGAGGAGGGCCACACAAACAGGAAGTAGCGCTTTGCACTTTGTGGGGAGCAGATATTTTATAGACGAGTATATTGAAATGATCTGAGAAATGCTAGCAAGTTAGCAAATTGCTGTGCCAGTTCATTGTTTGCATTTTTTATAAAGGTGACTAATTTTTAGATGAACACTTTTGGGAGCACATATATCATATAGGAACTAGGAACTTTTTCGCCAATTGCCAGCTGGTAACTGGTAAATGTATCTAATTATGATCCATTCTTCAGTTCACTACTTTAACTTTAAAGAAACTGAAGTCGCATTTTTATTAAGTATTTCCAAGCGGATGAAGATGTTGTAATATTGATTGAAACTAATTCGAAAAGTCAGCTAATATATTCGGCTAATTTTGACTATTTGCTCAGTTCATTTCTATGTAGCTAGTTTTCTGACTAATTTCTAAGAGATTGAAGTTGAATTTTGTAAGTGGTAAAGCCATTTAAGAACCTGGTATAGTTCAAATTGTTCTGCTCGCCGCGCTTATGCTAGTTTGTTGACTAATTTGAATGCAAGCTGGTAAAGAAAACCTATAAGTATCTAATATTTTCAGATGATTTTTTAGGAGTTTTTACCTAATATACGGCTGAGAAATTATTATATCTATTTAAGCGACACTATAATGCAAATCTTTAAATTAGTAAATAACTAATTCTGCTATAGGTATCTTCAATCGTTGCATTGGAGTCTTTTTTCTTGTGACTAAACTTCTTAACACCGAATATAGCCGTATTATATTGATCAAATATATAAAAAGTATAATTTTTGAGCTGACGAGATGATGGAAGACTTAGAAGAATTCTGTGATGTATATTTTTGTAGTAACAAGATAAGTATACGATTGGCCGAATTCTATCAAAATTAAGAACATTATTAGAATAATTGAAAAAAACTAGGCATGTTAGATATTTCTATCAAATTCACACCTATTATAATAACAGAACATTTAAGATCTGGTAAGTGAATCGACTGGCTTTTTTAATTGATCTTTTCTATAGCTGATGTGAATTTTGCTTTTTGGAAAAATAAATATATTCCATTTTGTGAAAATGCACTTCAATTATACGAATAGTTGTGAAAATACATTAACGATGAAAGAAAAACAAAAAACAAATTGAATTTTGTGAAGTATGTATGCAGATGATAGTATGATTCCATCTGGGAAGCTATGATTACAAACTGTTACCTGGTAAGTACTACGTGTAAAGAGGCATGTCCAAGTTCATTACGAAACCGACTAACCTGCACATACATACATACATACTATATACATACTTATGTATATGAGATCATTTCGTCAAAGGCATTTGTGGGGTCTATTACACTAAAAATTGACCAAATCTACTATTGCCATGGCGTGCAGATAAATTGAAGTTCAAAACAAGTCTTGAAATCTGTTTCTTCATTGCATGCGCATATTTCAATACTTGATCACTGTTGTTGCTGTTGTTAATATTACTATTGTTGTTGTTTTGGCATTGGCTTTGCAAAAATGCTGACGAGGCCTGCACGATGCAAAAAAAAAAAAAAAATGCCTGAGTGTGTCTGAAGCTTGTCGTAACAAATGTGCAACTGAAATAATTGACAAAAGCAAGTCAAAAACTTGAATTGCATTTTAAAAAGCAGACAGAGACAGAGACAGAGATAGAGAGGGAGCTGAATAAATGAAACGAAAAAAGCTCAATTGAGTGTTTCGAGCTAATCGGAACGGCTATTAGAGAGATCTGATGGTTCAGAGGGCATCGCACATGTTAGTTCAACAAAAAAAAAAAATCATATTAAAATAGTTGTCAATCTTTACAATTCTTATATACAATATACATATGTATCTATGGATGTTTCCCATTCAATTGTATTGGTTGAGTAGTCTTGTTTATATTTATATACATGTGTGTGTGTGTGTGTGTGTGTGTGTGCAGCAATTTGTGGGGCTCAATCAACTGTAAAGATATTTCAGCTTCAAATTGCTTGTGTTGTTGTTGTGGTTGTGGATTTGTATACAAAGTATATCAATTTTTTATTAATTTTATTTGTGCATAAATATTGTACAACTAAAACTAATTGCAATAAACTTAAAATATATAGAGCAAAAAACAGAGAGAGAGAGAGTGAGCGAGTGACTGCGGGGGGAAAAACAAAATTTGTTGTAAGTGCTACAAAAAAACTGCTCGGTGAACAAAAAAAAGAAGAGGAAAAAAACAGCAACAAATTACGAAGCAATTGTTGAGATTGAAAGGAATTTGAATGATAAGTAATAGATTATTGTCGATCTGATTCAGTGGTATGTGCGTGTCTGTATGCTGTTTGTGTGCGTGTGGCGGTGTTTGTGTGTGTGTGTGTGTGTGCGTGTTTGTTGTTGCTTGTGGCTGTTTAGATTATTTATGGCAGCTTGAAGAATGAATTGACATTAATTGACTTCATATATTATTATATATATAATATATTTTTACATTTTGTTTTTTGTTTAGAGAAAGCAGCAGCAGCACTAAAAGAAGCAGCAGCACTTTTGTTTTATCAAATTATTATTATTATTATTATTATAGATATGTATATATAGAGTCGTTTCAATTAAATTTGTTGAATGGCAGAAGCTTTTGTTGTTGTTGTTGTTTTAAAGGCCAATGCAACGTAGCCAATTATTTGGGCCAATATGCTATTTACAGGCAATAGTGGGTTAAGCGCTGTGGTCCGTACTCAAAAGACTAGAAATAACTAACTAATTTTTAGAAAAAAAAAAAAACTGTTACACACAACCGGCCGCGATCTTAGGCTGGTGTGTTGGTTGCTGTCTCAACTATGGTTGTTGTCTGTGTTGGCGGTGTTGTTGTTGTGCTGGTGGTGCTTGTGGTGGTTGTGGGACGACGCAGGCGTCGGCCCGACTTGTGTTTGCGCCCCTTCTTGCGGCGCACCACATGCGTTTCGGTGCTAAAGCTGACTACCTCGCTAGTGAGGGTGTTGTTTGTTGTTGTTGCTGTTGTTGATGTAGTGTTAGTGATTTGTGTTTGGTTGTTGTTGTTGTTGTTGTTACTACTGTTGCTGTCACTAATAGCGCCACTGTCTGCACCCACACTTATCTTAGCCACACCCGCCAACGCCTTGACGGCCGCCTCGGCATCGTAAATGGCATTTGTTGGCGCTTCGACGACAGCCGCATGGCGGCTGGAAAAGGCAGAGCTCGAATCAGCCGGAGGAGGGGTTGGCAGCGTTGTGGTCTCGCTTTCGCTTTCGTGTTCGTGTTCGCTGTGCTCAACCTTGCTCAGTATGACCTTGTCAAGGTTGGCAATTGATATGACCAGGGGTGAAGACTCATTTGATTCGGGACGTAGTAGGGGTACAATAGGTCTTACGTATGTTGGAAAGAAGGTCGCTGGCACACTTGTTGCCTTCACATCGCTTTCGGTTGTAACCTCCACCTCCGTCGCTGGCACACTGCTTGTGGTCGTCTCTGTTGTGGTTGTTGTTGTTGTTGTGGTCTGGGGCGTGGTGGTGCTAGTTGTGCTGGTGGTTGGCGCAGCGGCGTTACTCACATATGACGTCACCACATTTTCACTCTGCGTCAGCTGCAGTTCCTTGCCCTTGCGCGCATTATCGAACAGACCCTCCAACGAGATGGTTGATGTTTCCACACCCTCGCGCAGAACTTCGGGCACTAGGGCCTTGCCAAAGCGTTCCGCTGGCTCGCCATCAGAGTCGCCGGTCGGCAGACTGTTGCGTACCGGCGGGGAGTTGTGCGCCACACTCGGCTCGGTGGGCGTATAATCAGCGACGGTGCTATGACCATCGATAACAATGTCACTGCCATCTACCAGATGTACATACTTTACCACACTGATCTCGCCCAGCTGTTCGACATGCGGCAGCGACTCGACCATGAGACCACTGCTGTTGAGCGTCCTCAGCAGCTCCTGATTGGCCTTGGACTTGCGGTGTAACTTGTCCTCCTTGGAATTGATCTCAACTATACGATTAATTTCGATTACTTTGTGCTTGGGACGTACGCGTTCTGCCACTAGTTTTAGCCGTGAGCTCGGTGGTCGGCTGGTGGACGGCTCGTCTTCGGTGTCACCATCGATCAGTGTAAAGACGTGGAGTAGTGTGGTGGCTGGAGGTGGTGCCGGCGTTGATATCGACGCTTGATTATCCTGTGAAGTGAAGATGGTTGTGGCGTCATTAGACACATTGGACACTTGTTGATGTTGGCTGTTATCTGTGTCTGTGTTTGTGTCTAATTGTAGTGTTGTGCGTGGTGTGGTGGTCACAAAGCCTTGTGAGCTTTCAACGCCATATTGCGCCTTATCGTATACATCATCTGTCAAGGTGTCTGTATCCGTCTCGCTGCCATTCACTCGCAGGCTCACATTTTGTGGATTGGCTGCATCTACCGGCCGATTGACGACCTTGGGCTTAAGGGTCGTGTGCTTTTTGCTGTGTATATCGAAAATCTTCTTATTGCGCGCATTCAGGGCGTCTATGTTCAAATCCTCAATTAGCGGATTCTCGCTGACTGTTTCGCTGGCCTCGGTGGATGGTCCGTTGTACTTGCGCTCGTATGTACGTGTATTGGTCGGTATGAAGGGGGCTGGCTTGATCGGCGTTAATGGCGTCGTACGCTCATAGTCGATGGCCACAGGCTTCAGAGTACGATTGGGTGAGGCAACGCCTGGGGGTCGATTTATGACACGTGGGCGATTGGCAAAGCGATTGCTGGCCGTGCTGGTGCCAGGGCCGGTACCGGGTGGGCGATTCGTGCCACTAATGCCTGATTGGCGGCCGCGTGGATTGAACGGCACATTACCGGAGTTGGCACCACTGCCCGTGGGCGTAAACGAAGGTCGACTGCCGGGAGGCACGCGATTATCTTTTGGTCGGAAGGAAGAGGGAGAATTGGTTCTTGGCTTTGTTGCCTCATCATTGCTGCTAGTGCCGTTTCCGTTGTCGTTTTGTTGTTCAGTCGACTCTTCTTCTTCGTCATCTTCTTCGTCGTCTTCTTCATCGTCATCATCTTCACCTGCGTCTGCCACTGCATTTTCATTAGCAGTCTTTGGATTTTTCGTAATAAACGTCTCCACTGCAGGTCTTCGATTGATGGGCCTAAAGCCCAGCGGGCGCGTATTTACCACTGTTGGTATCTTCTCCTGCTGCTGTTCCTCATTCTCTTCCTCGTCATAATCATCTTCATTGTCCCCCTGTTGCTGTTCTTGGTCTCCAGTCTTAAAACGTGATGAACCCGGTAACCGTTGATCCCGCGGATCACTGCGCACAAAGCCCTCACCCGTATTGCGGACGTTTGAGTTGAACGGATCGAAGCGACCGTTCTTACGGCGTACAAACTTGACCGTCGGTCGGGTGCTTGTGGTAGGGCGCTCGGTGCTTACAGAAGCAGCAGATGCCTTCGGTGGCGTATAAGGTCGCCGAGCCACCAGCTTGCGCCTGAAGACGGGTCGTCCCGTAGCGGGTGAAACGGTGGTTTCACTTACTTCGGCACTATCTTCATTTTGCCCTGTTGCCTTCGCTGCCAATAATTTCTTCAGTCGATCATTAATCACGCCCTGGTCACCATCCCCACGTGCCTGCTCTGCCTTTACTTTGTCGCGAATTTTCTGAAGTGCATCTTCTTGCGTTACTTGACTGCCATCAGCGTCACCAACCTTGTTCAGGCGACTACTGATTACACCATCGGGCCTCTCACCACGTGCCTGTTGGTCTTTGAGGCGGTTTCGCAAGTTGAGCAAATCGGTCGGTCGACGACGTTGTGTCAGTGTTTGGATATTTTTGTCATCGTGCTCCTCCTGTTCTTGGTTGTCATTCTGGGCACTGAGTTCTTCATCATCTCCATCTTCTTGAGATGGTTTGGTTGGCTTGGAAAAGCGACTGCGACTAGGCACAAATGGCTTTCGGGTGGTTGTGGTTGTTGCGCCACCGGTGCTTACCACTTCTTCGTCATCTCCTTCATCATCTTCTTCTTCACTATCTTCTTTCTGCTCTGCACTGGGTTCTTGCTTCGTCTCCTTCTCTTTCTGTGGTTGGCGGTTGGTTACGCCAAAGCGCCCGCGCTTTTGGGTACTGAAAAGCGTATCCTGCTTACCAGTGCGACTGAAGCCTGTTGTGGTGGCGCTAGTGGTTGTCTCGGACTCTATTGCTGTATTGTTTGACTCGATAGCGACGGGTTTTTTAATGAGCTTGCGAATGACCTTGCGGAATCGTTTTGTGGGCGTTGTATTGTCTTGGGTGGTGGTGGTGGTGGTGTTGGTGGTGCTTGTGTTGAGGTTAGTAGTGACGCTATTAGTGATAGTTTGGTTGTTATTGTTATCTGTTCTAGTACTATTGACAGGTTGCACTGGCCGTCTAAACTTAAGCACACGAATGCGCCGAGGCGTTGTGGTTGTGGTTGCACTTTCGGGTGTCGTAGTTGTCGCCTCAACTTCATTCTCATCAGCCTTGTCGGTATGGTCTTCGACTATGTTTAGTTTAGTTACCTGCGCGCGGGTGCGTGCGCGTAGACTGCCCTGCAGACGGCGTGCTGGGGCTCCATTGTTTAGGGTTGGACTGGTTGGGGTTGCGCTTGTGGTTGCTGTGGTTGTTGTGGTGCCCCTAGTGCGGTTCAACTGATAACGATTCTGAAAACGTCGTTTAGAATTAACTTCATTACCCTTGGTATTTAAACTAACAACACGCTGACGCGCCTCAAAATGATTTTCAACATCATCACCATCAGCATTCTCATCATCATCATCATCATTATCGACAACGTTGGCTTCCGGCTGATCTTCAGCCTCCGCCTCTAGACTAGCATCATAATCATCAGTATCAGTATTAGCATTATTATCATTAGCATTTTCTGTGATTCGATCATTGCTGTGGTTGTTGTTTGTGTAATTGTGGTTTAAAATATTTTTGTTAGCAACATTGAACTTTAAGGGGTTATTCAAATAATTGGCTACGGTGCTTTTACTACGATTAGTGCCATAAAAGCGACTAGCTACATTTGTGCTTGTATTAGTATTGTTGTTGTTGTTGTGGTTATCGTTTACCCCTACAGTGTCTTCCACTTCAGCCCCATCGTGATTATCATTGTCACCATCTGCGTCGTCGTCGTCGTCGTCGCCTTCGTCATTGTCGCTATTCTTCGAGGTAGTTTGAGTCTTTGTTTCTGTCCGTATACGTTGTCTACTGGCGAGCAGTCGATTAAGCCCTGTACTGGAAACACGTGCAGGCGAGGCTGTCGTTGTGGTTGTTGTTGTCGATAGGCGTCCAAATCTGAAGCCGCCTTGTAGTCGCGTCGTACTCTGCTTGGGCTTATCAGATTCATCATAGTCTTCATCTTCTTCGTCCTCGTCTTCTTCCTCTTCACCACCTGATGAACCAAGTTCTTCTTCTTCCTCATCCTCATCTGCAGACTGCTGCGGCCGTTTGTATAGATTTCTGTTAACAGCCACAAGATTTCGTTTTGTTGTGCTTGGAGTTGCGGGCGCTTGGGAGGGGCGCGTGCGACGTCCAGCAAATCCAGTGTAGCGCGTTGCACTGCTATCATCCTCAGCTATGTTGGCTTCTTTAGAGTCTGCTGTGGCAGTAGAACCATTAGGCAAGCGCACAAAGACTCGACGAGTGATCGGTCTTAAATTAGGTGATCGTGTGGAGGACACTTGTTGGCCGTCAACCAAAGCGCGATGGCGATTAGTTTGCAGGAAGCCCCCACGGACTGATAATTTATCGTCCCGATTATTTTCCGATTCTTCATCATCATCAATGCCATTGTCGCCATCGTTTTCCGTATCGCTTGGTTTCTCTGTAGTTGTTCTTGCTGTAAATCGGTTACGACTTCGATTCAAAGCTGCATATGGACGACGTGTGTTTGATGAGCTATTGTCGTTATTGTTTTCAGATTCTTCATTGTCATTATCTTGCCTTGATTTCTCTGTAGTTGTTGTTGTTGCAAATCGGTTACGATTCCGATTGAAGGGTGCATATGGACGACGTGTACCTTGCTGTCCCCCACGGACAGATAAGTTATCATCTGGACTAGTTTCGGATTCTTGAATATTAATAACAATGTCATTATCTTTTTCCTTATCGCTAGATTTCTCTGTAGTTGTTGTGAATCGGTTGCGACCCCGATTCAAGGCTGCATATGGACGACGTGTAGATTGCTGTCCCAAACGGACAGATAATTTATCATCATGATCGTTTTCCGATTCTTCACCATCAATGCCATTTTCGTCATCTTTTTCCGTATCACTAGACTTCTCTGTAGTTGTTGTAAATCTACTACTACTGCGATTCAGGCCTGCATACGGACGACGTGTGCTTGGAGTAGTCTCTGACTTGACTGTGGTTACTTCGCTTACTGGAGTTGTTGCATTCAAACGACGACGTATCACAATTTGACGAGGCGGCTTGCTTGTGGTGGAGGAGCTGCTCTCGGTTGTTGTTGTTTTTGTTGAAGTCACATCGATTCGACTGCCAGTTCTTTCGACCACTTCTTCGATTTCATTGGTGTCATCATCATCGTCGGAGTCACTGAGCACAGCTTCCAGCTCAGCATCGCTATCGTCGTCAACCTCTTTTAAGTCCCGGACTGCCTCAGTGGTGGCTGAAGTAGTGGTTGTTGTACTGCTCTCTGTGCTTTCGTCAGCTGTTTGATTTTCCGAGACCCTTTCTGTACTACTAGGTCTGATCACTCTGCGGTTAACACTAAAGCGAGGTCGTTGTGTGGTGGTTGTCTGTTCAGGAACCGTTGAACTATTAGTCGTTGTACTCTCTGTTGTGGGGCTGGTGCCGCGCTGTCTGTTTAGATTTGCATAGCTGCGTCGGGTGCTACTGTTCGTTTCATCGATATCAGTTGTCGTCGTCTTCTCAGTTGTTGTTCTGCCTCGGAAACGTTGCACTGAGGCATAGGAGCGCTTAGTTGATTCTTCCTCTTCCGGTACAGGGGTCTCAGTACTGGTTCTGGATGTTGGACGTGTGCGATTAAGTCTGGAGTAGGTCCGTAGTGCTCGTGCATCGTCGATATCACGTTGGGCAGTGTCTAGTATAGATAGCTGGACGCTTGGGGTTCCAGCATAGGTGGCTTCTTTACCGACTATATTCGGTTCTATGGTTTTGAATGTTTTACCAACTCGGTTTAGCTTCTGTATAGTCACTTCTGGGTCATCATCATCTGCATCCACATCGGCAGTTAGTTCATTTAAATCATCATCATCGTCGTAAGCGCTTTCTTGCTTTAAAACACTTCTTACTGTGCTGCTGCTTCCACTTCTCGCTTCATCATCAGATCCGATTCCTTTTGCCCCCGGGTGACCTAGGCTGACCCGGGGGTTTTCAATAAAAAATGACCGAGTTCGGCATTGATTTCGTGCGCTTGCTCCATGGCCAAACGTTGCTCAAACTCAGCGGAGGTCTCCTCAGAAGAAATGTGTGATTCATTGTCGCTCACATTGAAGACATCGTGTATCTGCTTATGTATGTCTACCGTAACGCTGGAGACGTCAGGTTGCACTGTAGTCTTATCTATGTAGGTAATCGGTGAATCTTTATAGTATTGATAGTATTTGCGGCGATGATAAATGGGTAGCGATAGATGGTTGTCGCTACTCTCATTTAGATCATTCTTAGAGTGCTCTGAATCTTCATCTCCTTCATTTTTTTGCAAACGTTGAACGGCACTAGTCAGTTTCTTCTTCAGTTCGTCCAAGTCATCAGAGGTAACCGCGGTGGTTTCAGGTGGGGGTGTTGTAGTTGTTGTAGTGCTACTACTTTTCAAACGATTGAGGAAATGGTTCTTGGCCTCCGACAGCTGACGTTCTGTTGTAGATTCTGTTGTGGCTTCTGATGTCGTTGATGGAGTGCTGTTACTTAATCGATTGAAAAAGCCGGGTCGCCGACTGGAGACGGGCACGCTGCTAGACTCCTGCTGTTGATTCTCTGTTGCTTCTTCTATGGTTGGGTCGAGCGTTGTAGTTGTAGTTGATGGTCTGGCGCTGCTTGGTCGTTTAAAGAAAGATGCACGCCTAGTGGTGGCTGCTTGACTTTCTGTTGTTATTTCTATAGTTGGGTCCTGAGTAGATGGGGTTGAGGGTGTGGTGCTGCTGGGGCGTTTGAATGAAAATCCATGCTTGGCAGTGGTGGCCTCGCTGCTCGACTGAATCGATGTTGTGGGCAGGTGTGTTGTGGTGGTGGGTCTGGTAGGTCGTGTGCGTCGTTGGATGAGTGGTCTGGCTGTAGTTCTGACCGTGCTTGGTCTTGTTACTTCTTCGCTTTCACTTTCATTTTCATTTTCGCTCTCGTACTCATACTGTTCCACCTCCTCATGCTCAATAGTTTCTTTAGGCTTTTTCAGCAATCGCCTGCGTGTCTTCACAACAGTTTTCTCCGGATCTTTTTTGCGCTGAGAGCGGCTCGCGAAATCTAGGGCCAACAGTGATGACAGATCATTGCTTTGGAACTTCACAGAGCCTCGATTGCGTGTAATCGTTCGAGGGGTGGTACTAACAGGTGGCTCTGTAATCACATCGTATATGTATTCATACTCAGCGGGTTTTTCCTGCACCGTTTTTGTGTGAATACGTTTAATTACTTTCTGGCCACCATTAGCGCTACCAGTATCAATGGTGCGGACATAAGTGGTCCGTGTACGTGTTACGCCATTTCCTAAAGACTCAGTGCGGGTCGAGGTGCGATTGCGAGCAGCTGCCAAACGCGCTCGGCTACTCAATTTTGTGCTATTGGTAGTGGCATTAACTTCACTTTGCTCGACGCTCTGGTTATTAACAAGCTGTTCTTCACTTTCCTCATTGGTACTGCTCTCTGTGGTCGAAGTGATTTCCCTCGAATGGGTTGAAGATTTTTGGCTACCAAGATAATATCGCCTGCTTGATCCGCCTGCCAATTCCTTGGCCTTCTTGTTTGCATCGGCTGCTAGGAGTGAAGACAAGTCTTCTTCTTTGCGATGCCGGTAATTTCCTCGCACAATCACACGTCGTCGAGCGGTTGAGGTTTGGTTGCTGGCACTCGTACCCAGTTGCTGTTCAGAATCAACTTCACTTGTGCCCCCTTCGGTTGTAACACTAACATCCTTTTTCTTATCATCTCCTTGTACGGAAGTGAGCGTATTCGGTAATTTCGCGATCTTATCCGTTGTATCGGGTCGTATTGTTGTGCTAATATTACTTTTGTGCCGTATAAGCACGCGTCGTGTGTGACTGAACGATGGGGGCTCCGAAGTGTCCAATGCCGGCTCTGCACTTTCTGTTATCGTTGTGTCCACAGCCTGCTCCTTTGCCCCAGATGTGGCTGTGCTTATTGGTTTTCTTAGGGAGAAGGTTGACGGTCGCTTTTTGCTTGAGACAGGTGCCTCTGTAGTTTTTGTCGATTGCTTGTCAGTCGTTGTTCCTATGGTAGTGGTTACTGGCTTTGTGGTGCTATAATTTCTAAAATGCGACTTTCGTGTCGTTTGTTCTGTTGTGCTGCCATCAGAAGTGCTTGTCGTTGTTTCAAGTGGCAGCAGTGTAGTCTCCTCAGTCTCCACAGCTTGCTCTCTCTCTTCGGTTGCGGTTGTGCTAGAGACCGGTACCGCTGTCGTTGTGGTTTTTGGAGAAGTGGGCGGGACTAGCTCGTCTGCACTCGTTGTGTTTAACGTGCTGGCTTCTGGATTAGGCTTGCGTGTTGTTGTGCTCTGCTCCGTTAAGTTGCTATCAGTCTCTGTGTCAATGGGCAAGAGCGTTGTTTCATCGGAGAATTCCTCCGTACTGCTTTCCGCATGGAGGGTAGCTTCTGTTGTGGACGTCAAGAGGGTTCCTTTAGATGTTGTCTCCCGAGAGTCTTGCTCGGCTGCAGTATTGGAATCATCTACATTGTCACTCTTTTCTGGCGCCTGCGTCTTTCCACGAGCTACGGCATGCAAATCATCGTCTAGTATCTCTGCGGCAATATTTTCATCCTCAATCGGTGTCTCTATTGTCGGCAATTGACCGCCACGTGATACCGCTTGGAAGGTTCGTGTGCTTTGCCCTTCATCCAGATGCTTAACAAAGCTGGAGCTGCGTCCTTCGCTCAACTTGGCACCATTGCTGCTCCTCTCTATGGCTTTATAAACGATGTTATCGCTACTAGTTTGTACGGTACTACGATTTATACTCTGATAGCTGCGTCCAGTGGTGCTTGCAGTGGTTCCCGTCTCCACGTCAGCATCATTCTCCGCAGAATTGAGATGACGACTACGGAACTTCAGCTGCTCGTCTTCCGTATTGACATCCGTGGCCAGACGCTTGCCAGCATACTTACGTGCGTTTTTGTCGACCTCGTCATCGAGCGCATTTAGTGGCTTCGCTACGACGGGTGGACGTCGTGTGGGACGTCGTACCGCCCGCCAGGTATATTTAATTGGATGTTCTTCGTGATTGTTGTTGTTGTCGTTATTGTCATTGCTTAACCTATTGTGGCTAACTACGTCATGCCTTAAGATATTGTCACCATTACCAGCTACTTGCTTTATGTCTACGTTATGGGCTTGTGCACGTGTTGTTGTTGTTGTTGTTGTTGTAGTTGTTGGGACAGTGCTTGTTGTGTTTTGGTCCAACAACTCAGAACTACTACTGGAACTCACCTTGGGCCTATCCACTTGGGATAGTCGCGATTTAGCTATGCTTGCAACTGCTTCATTTTGAATATTGTTTTCATTGTCAGATGCAGTTGCTGTTGTTGTAGTTGTTGTGCTCGGGCTCGGACGTGTGCGACGTCTGGGATAACCAAAAGGTCTTGGACTAGATACGCTAACCAGTGTATTGACATTAGCATTAGTGGGTAGTTCGTTGGTAGTAGTAGTAGTCTGTAGTTCTGTTTGTTGTTGAGTTCTTTGTGGTTGTGGTTGCCTTCTACCAGCGGAATTGGAATTGGAATTGGTTTTTCTAATATTATTATTTACGCTAAGACTATCTCTACTCAAACCATTAGAGCTACTACCATTTCGACTAGCATCGGTAACTGCTTCTGTATTTTTGTTGTTGCTGCTGTTGTTGTTGTTGTTGTTGTTGCTGTTGTTGTCTGACTTATTCCTAATGCGTGTACGACTTGCTGTATATTTGTATTGTGTTTTAGTTTTTGTTACCTCGCTATCAACATCGTCATCGTTTGGTTGATTGTCACTGTCAGCGGTCTCGATGCGTTCAGTAGCTGTTGTTGTAGTTCTTGTTGCTGTTGTTGTTGTTGTGGTTGTTGTAGGCGCAGCTTGTGCTAGGTCATTGATACGTAAATCAAGGGGTAGGATTGAGAACTCATTGCTGAGCTCGTCATCGACTGACGGTGGCAAGGTTGTGAATTCTGGTGACAACAAATCGTTGACACTATCAGCCAAGCTCAACGTGTCAATGGTAGTAGGTGGTTGGATAGTGGAAGCTGAAGTAGGTGTGGGTGTGGGTGTGGTTGTGGTTGTTGGTGTAGTGGAAGTTGTTGTTGTGGGCATGGGTGGTGCATTTGTGCTGCTTATGATGGGGTTATTAGTGGTGCTCGCGGCGAGCGCTGAAATGGTTGTGGTTGTAATTGGTTCAAAAGTTTCGTTAGTTGTGACAGTTTGTGGTTCTTGGGTGGTGCTTGGTATTGCTGCTGTAGCTACAATATTATTAGTTTTCACATAGATGTTATTGTAGTTGTTGCTGTTGTTGTTGTTGTTGTTTTTGTAGGTGCTGGCGCTTGCAGTCTCTGTGCCGTTGACTGTTGTAGTTTCTGGTGTTTCTGGTGTTGCTATTGTTGTTGTTGTTGTTGTTCTGCGGCCAATGCTCGTGTATTTACGTGTATTTGTAGTTCTTGTTATTGTTGTTGTGGTGTTGTTGCTCTGTACCGTTACATTTTTCTGTTGCGGCTCCTCCTCGGATTCATTCTCATCGGTCCCATCATCATTGTCATCATGAGCATCTGCATCGGCCAAGCTACTCGACGTCGTGGGTCGTGTGCGCTCAAAGTATTTGTATCTAAGTATATAGAAATGAAAAAGGAAAAGAATTAATAATGTTAATACAACAAAAAGAAGGCTGAGACGTTGCAGGAAACTTACCGATTTGTTGTCGAACTAATCGTACCGGATGCTGTAGTCTCCACACGCTCTGCATTGAAACCACGCGTGGGACTGTTTGTTGTATAGGATTTTTTCACTTCCTCGTCAGCTTCCACCGTCGCTGTCGAGGGGGTAGGACGCGTGCGTCGTAGGCTTGTGTATGAGGGCGTGGCAGCCGTGAACGGACGCTTCGTTGTCTCGTAATTGTCAACTAATGCCTCATCATCAGCTGCTAATTCGATGTCATCCTCATCATCGTCAACTGAAGATTCTCCAGCAGAACCTCTTGTCGATCCACGATTACGATTGATTGTCACGTACTTTTTCTTCTCTTTTAGGAAACCATCAAACTCGGACAGCTTCTCTAGACCCTCGTTCTGGGGGCCTCGGCGATTGTTGCCGCGCAGCACAGAGGAGTACTTGGAGTAGTTTGAGTTGTCAACGCTACTCTCCTCAGCAGTTTTCTCAGAATTTACCGCTCCGGCTGTCTCTGTTTTGCGAGCAGTGTAGTCACTTGTTGTCAAGCGATTACGGAAGGAGCTGAATGAACCTGGTCGACTCAAGACTCGATCGTAAAGGGATTTGCTAATGGTAGGCGGGGTGGTTGGTGTACCGCTGGCAGAGTTCTCTTTGATGGTTATAGAACCGTCTTTATTGCGTAGCAAATGCTTCTCTAACTCCTCAACGCCACCAACTTTACGAATGAGATCAATGAGTTCCTTGATCACCTGTGGATCTTCTTCGGCATCGTTTGACTTGCTCTGGGTCTGTTCGTTGCCATTCTCTGCTTCATACTCGTTATCGTATTCCTCTAGAGGAGACGCTGCAGTCGTAGTTGTGGTCGTTGTGGTGGTGGTGGTGATGCGTGGGAAGATGGGGCGTGCGGTTGGGGCGGCCGTAACGCGATAGTTGCTGGTTGTAGGACGTGTAGTTCTTGGGGTCGTTGAAGTTATCGGCGCTGCAGTTGTGGATCTGGAAAGTAACAAGTTTTAAATACCACGTCTTGGTTGCCTTTCACATTTATTCACTTCTTTGTTTTGCATGGGACATTGCGAGCGAAGTCGCAGGAGTCGGCGGCCGGATTGAAGTACAGACCCGAGGGGCATGTAAACTGATGCGCCACGATTCCTAAGCCAGACGGACCGCTGTCTAGACACCAATAGTATTTCTTGCAATCTCGCGGATGCTGGAAGAATCCCTCTTCTTCACACTTAAAGTCCGAACCTGGATCGGGTGTCGTTGGTGGTGGTGGCGTCGTTGATACACGACCGCCAATGTAGAGTGAAGAGCCCTCGCTCTCGGTTAGCTTTACGGTGACACTGCGCGGTGCTGATGTGGTGCTTGTCCGGCGTGGTGCGCTGGGACGCCTTGTAGTGCTCGGCTCCTGCTGTGCTATGCGATTACGCTGATTATCACGACTGCGGGAGCGTGAGGGCTTTTGCGGACCACTCGGTCTACCAACCTCATTGATGCCCAGTCTGTGCAAAAAATTATGTTACGTTTACATTGCTTTATAAATACGATTTGGACTTGTTAGAGCTCTTACCCCAAAGCCTCTATCATCGCTTCTTTGGCCGCCTCGATTAGCGGATATGGCTTGCCATTGCAGGTACCACGGAAATCGTCATTGTCTATGGCCCAGAACATAATGCCGCCCAGTCCATGTGCCACTACATATTCGGCTTTTTTGCGCACAATGGCTTCATCGTCATAGCCGACCCATTGATTGCGTCTAAAGGCATAGGGACCCATGGCATTGGCGTTTGGCTGCACCACCGTCCACTCGGGATCATCTTTTAGGTTCTGACAAATCTGTAATTAACGCTTTAGATTAATTTCTGTTCCATGGATTCGGTATACAATTCTTACCTCATAGTAGGCGAGATAGCCTTTCTCCCGAGTGGCATCACCCTGTTCACCGGGTCCCTCGGAGGGTGCACCCAACTCTGTGCTCTCCTCATTGATGAGCGTGTAGGAGCGTCCATATGTCGGTATACCTAGCACCAGTTTGTCACGATCGGCACCTGCTTTCAAATAGTACTTGATGGAGTAGTCCTAGAAGGCAGCAGAGAAGGTTCAATCAACATTAAACTAATCATTGACAATGCCTATAGGTGGATATACGTACAATATTCAGTTCTGCATCGTAATTGTATTCGGACTCTTCCTCCAGAGAGTAAAGCGGTGCATGGTGGTTGACCGATGGCTCGTGCGAGGAATGGAAATCGTATGTGAGGACATTGAACCAATCCAAATATTTATTCAGCTTTGGCACATCGTATCCCTTGTCTATGTACTCAATACCCGCTGGCACAGCCATTGTCAGTAACAGACGTGTGCGTCCCGTTTTCTCCGCTTCACGCTCAAACTCCTCGCGCAACTCCTGCACGAATTGGGCGTAGTTGTCACGGTCCCGGGACTTACCGCCCTCACGATGTGCTGGATACTCCCAGTCCAGGTCAATGCCATCAAAATGATTCTGACGCAAAAACTTTAATATATTCTTAATGAACTGCTGGCGTCTGTCCGGACTAGCCACCAATGGTGAGAACCGGGAGGAGGCCTCATTCCAGCCGCCAATAGCAATCATCGTTTTTAATTGCTTGTTGTAGGTTTTGAGGCCCGTAAATTTGGCATATCCGCCTGCAGATTGAGTTTTTCCGGTTGGGGTGGTTTCGGGTGGTGCACAATAAAGTGTGGGCGTACAAAAACGGAAATTGCAGTTGAGTGCGAGTTGCGTATTAAAGGTTTATGCAATAATGTGCTTAAGGACTGTAGTGGCATTTCCATTTAGAAATTAAATAAGCTAAGCCTATAAAAGTATTAAGCATCCAATGCTGGTCATAGAAAAATCGAAAAACTTTTAAATTCTAAGGCGCCTTTCACTGAACACTGTCTGGTGTCTACCCGCAGGAGATCTGTACGTTGCGATAAGAAACTTTTTCGTATTTTCTAAATAATGACACTAAGACTACACGTTCAAAGTAATAATAAAGGTCATACCAAATGGGATATCGTTCCAAACGAGAATTACAGAAAGTTTATACATTTATAAGAACATTTTTATTAAACAATCCCAATTTTAGATTTTCATAGATCTTAAAAACTGACAAAATACTTTAAAATTTAAGGATATTGAAATGAAATATGTACATATAGTATAGTTTGTTGGGCGTTTCTTTATGGATTTAAAACGAAAGTACTGTTTGATATTTAAAAATATTTTCCTACTTTGAAGGGTTAACTTAAAAAAAAAAGAAGAATCTTTGTTCAAACGTGGGGCTACCTGCCTTGGTTGTATTTCAAGTTCAATTTTTAACATTTTAGGGCGATGTGTAATTTGTATTTGATGTTATGCAATGATCCGAATATCTATGATCTGTAATAAATTAGGTTTTGAAAAGAAATGGAGCCCAACTATCTATCGTTTTGAATACCCATGGTCTTTATTCAATAACAAATGGAACCTTATGAGAGTCAAGTTAATTTGAATAATTTGTAATAAATTAGGTTTTGAAAAGAAATGGAACCCAACTATCTATCGTATTGAATACCCATGGTCTTTATTCAATAACAAATGGAACCTTATGAGAGTCAAGTTATTTTGAAAGACGAATAAAAAAATAGTTGCTTGTATGTTAAAGATGTAGCATACATAAATTTAACTAATTATATTATTCTAGTAGCAACCGTAATATGAAAAGCTTAAAATGTGAGCGCATTTAATTAATATTGCTATTTGTCCAGAAATTTCCAGTAAATTAAAGTAATTTTAATAATTATTGCCAACTCCATACTTAAAAGATTTATTCAAAAATATTGAACAAGAAGAAGGTGTAAGAAATTGCTAATCTCTTAAGATATGGAAGCTCAATCGATTAATTCGAACCCAATCTTCTGAGTTGCCTTGCTTTATTCATTTGTTTGTAATTTATTGTGCAGCCCTCGCACGTATTACTTAATGGTTGGGTTGAGTTGGGGCCGTGCTTACCTTGCTCGATATCCTGATATTTGTCAAAGGGTTTCATTTGATTATCCTTGGTGAATCCACCAAATGCGTACACCAAATGTGTACACAAATATGGATTGATGTTCTGTGGATTGAATTTCGCTGTGCCCGGTCGATAGACACTCCAATTGGTGTAATAACAAACAACTCGTCCCTCCGCCTGTGCCTCTGTGAAGCCAGTTCGAACCAGTTATTTATTTGAGTAAGGATCGCATTCAATACTCACCATTGCTGCAAAACGCAATCACACAGAGCAGGAAGAGTGCTTGCCAAGCCGCTCCGCGCCGTAACTGCAACGAGAGAGCGAAGCGGGAGAGAGAGAAAGAGACCGTGAGAGAGGGAAAGTTATAGTTGGGAATGTGCTTTAAAAGCAAGACGGAAGTACTTAAGCTTGCGGCTATGTTAATAGAGAGGCCCACTCGTATGGGCAACATTGACACAGTGACACCGAAACGAATAATAAACGAACAAACGAATAAACGAATAGACGAACAAACGCATAAACGACTAAACGAATGAAGAAGCGTTTGAACTGACGATGACACTGATGTGGAGAAGAAGACGGCTCAAGATTCTGTTGCTTCAGCTCTGATAAATAATACGCCCAGCGGCCATAAATGCATAAATCTTCACACATCATACCACGCATACTGCTATAATCATATCATAATAATGCTATATTCGTATGAAAAAGCGACAAGCGTCGACAAATTCCCATGAAGGTCGAAAAACCAGCTACAAACTAAAGCAGTTACATCACATATCAAATGCAAATTCAATCTCAAATTATTCACATAGTTGTGTGTGCTTGTGAGCGTGTGAGAAATTTGTCATTGACTGTTGTTACTGTTGTTGTTGTTGTTGTTGCTGTTTTTGTTGCTATTGACTGGGCTGGCAATAAGGAAACCTCTGCTGCAAGCCGACACGCAAGGCAATGGTGAAAACAATTTTAAATGGATTTCTCTTGCACATTTTTACTTACATAAAAAAAAACATTCAAAGAAACAAAAACCAAATATATTGAACACTAAAAATCGCTGCCAAAAATAATTTGTGCCAATTAGAGTAAGTATTATTATGATGCCGTGTGCTTACTTATCGATATGTGCCATAAAAAGGCAGGCAGTTCCAAAAACCCAAGCCAGCCAGCCGGTCAAGACGCGCGTCACTGTCATAAACTTATGAGCACATACATACATATACTCGTACATATGAATGCTTTTTGTAAAACCATAAAAATCGAAACGGATTTTTGTACAAAAATACCAAAGTGTGGCAACAGTGCCACACAAATAGCTACTACAATATTAACAACAACAGCAATAACAGCAAGAAAGCAAGTCTTGGCATAAGCCGCGCCCTGTCTCGAGCCATTGAGACTCTCACTATCTCGCTTGCTGGCCTGCCTGCTTGCTTGTACCACTTTGGGTTTTGGCCAGAAAAAAAAAGAAGAAATAACAACACCATTACATAAGCTGTCGAAGAAAACAACAAAATTGTAGCGGACTTTTGATGGGTGTTAAGTGTTATGTGTGCGTGTGTGTGTGTGTGTGCGTCAGCCAAAAATCTCTTTGTCATTCATTCATTAAAGTGGTCTTAACATGTTCCAGGCATATGCAAATTAATTGTTGTAAGCAACTGACAATAAAGCCGAACGCTTGCAGCATCTTTTATTAAGTTGGCCTACAGGTTCGCCAGCAATTAATTCAACTTATATTGAGTTGTTGCTGTTGTAACCGATGATTAATGGTGAATGCTTCAGGTACCTGGTTCAATAAACCGTATCATCTAAAAGCAACATTACTCTCAAAGTTATTCTCTTCTAATGCTATTACAAAATTCAAAATAGCTTTAAGCACGAATTCCATTATAAACTAGTAGACTATATGAAGTGTGCAAAACATTTTTGGCAATAATAGCTATAGAAGCGTACGATATGGGTGATCTTCAGGATGTTTTTAGAATAGCTATTTTTAGAAAAGCGAGAATTGACTATTAATTGCGTAGTTGGCTCATTTGGAAAGTGTGGGAAAAAATGGGTTTTGGATCGATAATTAAACTACACATTCAGCTCGGGGATGTTTTTTTTTAGATAATTGTGATCGCTGATTCGTAGTTGTATCTATAAGTAATGATGATCATAAATGTTTTTGACCGAAGATTCATTTTTCTAAAACATGCTAATTTTCCAAAAAAAAAAATATAAAAGAATTGTGCAAAATGTTAACAAAAACGACAATTTTAACAGCACTTCAAAAGTCCAAGTTCCTGCGCTACATAACGTTCAAAAGCACTTAACAAGGCGCTGGCTTTAAAAAGGCAGCAGATCGCAAAAAAAATGCTGCCATATCTACCTGATTTCTAAAGATGAGGAGTCTCCCAGCTGTTCAAGAGCACTTACATGAACAAACCTTACGTTTGTATTATCTTTAATATTATTTTGGCATGCCCACAATTTTTTGTTTTATAGAAATTCGAACTGCTGCGATATCCACAGAATAACTATGGTACGCTCTTGCAATCATTTCAAATGTGAGTGAACAAATAACAATTTGAAATTTAAAATTGTTTGTCATCTGTTCTGACAGCCTATAGGTATTAGCACCTATACGGAATCCCGAATACAGTGACTCTACAATCCGAAGGATTTCCTTCCAGCATACAATAAATTACTTCCCCCTGGACCCCCAGTCACTAAGGGATCTCTGGTAATAAGAACGCTGACAAAGCTGGGCATTACTTCAACATTCATCACTCATCACCCAACATCTAACATCTAACAGAAAAAACTAGAAGAATGGGGTGTGTTTCTACACAGTAACTCCGCATTAGATCCCACCTGTACCAAAAACATTTGCCTATAGATGGGACATATATGTACAACAAACGCACGAACACATCCTCAATGGAATCGACCACCCTCCCTGAGACATATATCATCAATTGGAGAGCATAAGGGTGTGCATTTTTGAACCCCATCTTCGCTCTTTCCTTTAAGAAACTAATTCAGTCGTCAACATAGCTGAAATAAACAGTTTTAGAAACGTAGCAAAAATTAGAATCTAATCTTGTAAACAACAAGAAAAAAATTCATCATTGCATCGAAGTCTTTATTATAACTTTTTAATATTAAGTGAAGTATTGAATATTACATTTAATTTGTTGAAATAAAAATGGAAATCACTGCTTGAAAATGTTTATTCGCCTAAGGTTAGAAACCCTATTAGTTTTCATTGAACAATTTCGACAAATTTGTAAATTATCCGCCAGTCTGACCATAGCAATAGTTGCAAAACGGAATTTTAATAGTCGTCAATCATTAATCACATAAGCCATATTAATTTCTAGAAGTTGCTTCATTTACTCTTCTCATTATTTACACTTTTTTAATGAGCATAATGCTTCCTAATGGGCTTCCCTCGGCTCCTTTAGCTGCATTTCCTTCCATTTCGAATTGATAACAATCTCCAATTTACGTTGCAAGTATTTTAAGCAGTCGTGGACTAACGTTGCATTAATTTGTTGGCTCTTAGCCGGCACGTGCCACTTCCTCCACATACACTGGCACGCACATCGATTCGATGCGGATCGGTGGGCTAAGTACAGTTATGGGCTGTTTGCGCATTTAAGTCACAACAATAGCCGGTAAGTAAGCCAATAAAAGCCACAAAAGTTTGTATTGAGTCATCGTTATTTGGGGAGCAGGGGGCCCGATGCATTGAACTCGCCGGGAAAATGAAATCAAATAGAAAACAATTTATGGTTTGTTATGAAATCTACATTAACGGACAGACATACATACAAAGATTGTTGGTTTTGTTAGTTAACCGTCTGCATTTTGTATTTGTTTAACAATTTTGTTGTCTGGTGTCCAAACTATGTATAAAAAAAGTCGCTTACATAAAGTTGCATACGTAAAAAAAAATGCTAACAATTTCGATTGTACAATGCGCATGCGCATTGATTGTGAGCGACAAAATGCGTATAAATGCGTATGAGACGTCATGCCAAAGAGCTGTTGACAAATTTGTCAAAGAAAAGCACCAATAGCAACAACAATAACAACAACAACAGCCAACATAGGCAAACGCAAACTTAAAGGCAAATGCAACATTTTCACCGGCATGCCAAAATTGTTTTTAATTGCGCCTTATTTTTGCAATTAAAATTTGCACTGCATGTTGTTTATGGCTGATTATCCACACACACACACACACACACACAAATACACATGTATATGTGCATGTGTGTATCTGTGTGTCTAGCAACCATTTAGGCAGCACATTGTTGTGCAATTTCAGTCCAGATTTGCGGTTTGCCGAGGGCGCGCTCAGAATTACCAGCCTCTGCATGTAAATAAATATATAGTATACAAGTATATGTGTATGTGTGCATATCTATGCTTGACCAAAATCCACGACAGCACCGACAATAACAATAGCAACAATCGCAACAACAACATTTGTCATTCCAGTGCAATTCAAGTCTTGCGGCTGAAATTGAGAATCAACGAAAATGAGGCACCAAATTGCAGACTTCGCACAGTGGGACACTAAATAATTATATGGCAAACAAACCTACATTTGAATACACCACAATTAAAAATGTATGACTATTTTATTGATGTTTAGAAGACAAAGTTTTAGGCAATAGTCTTTTAAATTTGTATACCCTATAGTGCAGGGGTATTCTAGGCACTTTAAATGCCAAACGAAGGATGCTTGGCTGACCTCATGTTATAAGTACATAGATACTCGTATGATTCCATATACTATCCATGTTTGTTCTTGTTTGTTTTTGATTTGTTTGTCTGTATGAACGTCAACATCTTCTGAACCATCACGGCTAGAGACACAAAACTTGTCTTATTCATACATAAAGCAATTCTATTAAAAACCATATATAACTCCCTCAGTATTTGAAGAATCTGCCATAAATCACTCTTATGCTCGCTTTTTCATTTATGAGAATATCTTGAGCAAATATGGAATACCTTGAACATTTGAGTTTATATACAAATTTTTAAAAAATCGATTGATATGTCATAAAGCTA